GTATGTTCTATAGCAACTGTTCTAAAAGGATCACGTGGTCACTAATTATCACGTGACATGTATATTATAATATCGGAAAAACTATTAGAAGATATTTTTCCGATAACGCGCGATGCGCTTCAAGAAAACTTTTCCTGCGATGAGATGCCCATTGTACATTACTTCATTTATTAAAGAGATACTATCTCCTCGAGATATATCTGGGTATCTATCTATATATTTATAGGATTAGCTTGTATACTACTTTATGTAATAGATCAACGAATAGAAATTATACAAGCAATCTTTATAGAAATGACAATCGTTCCCAATTCTAATTCTATTAGGATCTACTCTCTTGCCAATCTACGTCAACATACTAAGTATCGCTACTTAATATACCCACAACATGGCTAGTCGTGTTTGCCTTCTTAAATTGAAAACTATCACATTATCGACAGAAACTCCATTTGTATGGGTCTTCATATATGTAGGTACAGGTTATTATTATTCACAAATAATAGGAAGTTTGGCCGAGTGGTTTAAGGCGCCAGATTTAGGTTCTGGTATCTTCGGATGCATGAGTTCGAATCTCATAGCTTTCATTATTTTTTAATTTTTTACCTCCGGTCACGTGATTTATGGCCAGGTTATTTTCTCAATATGTTATTGTAAATAATACCAAAACGTGGTTTAGTGTGATACTTTTCAGGATGAGAAAATAGTCAGTTTTTTACTTGTGGATATGAACGAACTGAAATTTCTTCGTCCAAGGTGTAAACGAACAAAGAAAATTTGAATTGAAATGATTTGTAGTCAGACTATAGACATGATTTATATTAGAAGAAATTGACATTCATGGTATACCCTTCCAAAAGATAAAGTTTAAAAAAGGAAGCGCGTAAGCACTTGCAAATATAGAACATAATAAAATATGAGTTTTACAACTAGATATACAATAAAGATTGAATTAGCGTAATCAAAATAAGGTTATTCATTAATTTAATACCATTACTGAACATATTAAACATTACCTGATTAATGCTTAGTATTAAAGTGGTCACATTTGTGTATATGTCATATAATTTAAGAAAGAATTTTTTTTTGTGTCATTAGTTTTATAACTAAACACAGGTAATTCCACTTTTATACCTTTAATGATAGTTATATATGTGTTCATTTGAATGTCTCATCTTTTTTTATTCTTATCTTAGATATGAATCATTTTGATACTACCATCTTTGCTTGTGGCAGATCATAACATTTCCCATTAGATTTTAAAGTTGATTTGAATTTAGTTGTTGGGTATAGACATTCAACTTAGGTTACCTGATATTGATATGACCTAATTCTATTTTGTAATTTTAGCTCTAAAACATTTAAAAAATGTTTCATTTGAACAAGGGTACTAGAATATTGTTATATCGCAACTACATAAATATGCACAGGATTATTCAATTCCAATATTGGTATCTAAAAAACAACAAATATGTATGTGACCCTACTATTAGTACTACATCTCAATCAAAAAGAAACAATTACTGTAGAAGATTTGGGCTGAAGCAGACATAATAGAGTTAGATCTTAATTCGTTCAAAATTATAGTGCTAGGTAGAGAGGAGTAGACGTAGACTGAATACTAATGTTTAAAATAAAGCAAATATTATTTCTTATACTTTTCTTATCTTTGTAAGTCGTTTTATTTATAATTTATAATTTATAGAACGAATAGAATCTAACTTAGAATGTAAGTTCAGAATTCTTTGTCTTTGTATATTATTTATTTTATCGATATTATATTTCTTATATCACCTGATTATTGCCTAATATCTGTTTCATCTTGTAACGCGCTTCATAATACATTCGAGATATATTAATCTCACCCAATTTCTGTCATCACCCTATTCTTATTTCTATAGTTATGTGAATATTCAGTACGGTGGATCTTTCGATTGAAGATTATTTAGTTTATATTATCCTGCAAGGAATGCGTTTTTTTTGTTGCTGAATTTGCCCACAGTTCAATCAATCCCTTCTTAAAAGTATCCACATTATAATCGGCAATTGTTAGACAATTATCTATATCTGCACCATTTGGTCTGATTAGAGCCACAAGGGCCAATCCCCTTATCATCTGCTTCAAATATATCATCACACCATTACCCAGCTCCGAGACACTTTTCAATTCTCGCTGGTGTTTTTGAGGCTTCCTGGTGTCGTTAGCTTCAGAAGGAAGTTCTATTTCTTGTGTCTTATACAGATTGAAGAGATCGATAGTCACATCAACAAATTCTGCACAGACTTCATAAACTTGGATATCAACAGGATTGGAATCCGTTGAAACATATATTTTTGAATTTATATCGAAGAGAAAAGCTTTCTCGATTTTGGAATGTTGAATGAGGTTATCAAGCATGTTTTCAAGGTATGATATTTCTGGGATAAGCTTCTGTACGATTCTAGAAAACGCCTCGTATATTGAATGATCAAAAATTGATGTTAAATAGAAAGACACTTGAACGCCGTCAAGACCCAGTTCTAACAATTCTTCACCGGTTCTTTGCATTATGTCACGTTGGGCATCAACTTTGAAATCTTCACTAAGACCATCGACTTTGTGGATTAATACTTCAATATTTATTTTTGGATTAACTTTGTGAGCGTATTCGATTATCATCGCTAGGTTCGTTATTGCATTCATGTATTCGTCTTGTGAATCAATAACATATACTAGTGCGCCAATGTTCTTAAACAATCTCTCAGAATCGTAACTAGGTTCAAAGTAATTCAATTGTCCTGGTAATTCCATAACAGATAAGTCGATTAATGTAGAGAAATGTTCGACAGATGGATTTGATGTTGATTCCAGATAAAGTGTGTCTAATGGTTGCATATTGTGAAACACTACTTTACAAATAGATGATTTACCACATCTTATATTAAATATTTACATATCATATTAATGTTAGTAAGGAAATTTAGTCTTAACAATGTAAAGCAATGCATAGATTTTAACTACTACTACAAAAAAGAAGAAAACATACCTTCTTAACCCCATCAAAAGGATCGTAGCTTTTGAGCTATCCTCAGCTTGTTCCATAGTATATCTAATGTGTTCTCTAGAACTACCACTCTAATGAATATTGGTATCGTTTTGGTGGAATCTGCTACTGTGATGCATACAAATTTTTCGAATCTTTGAGGAAAATTATCTTATATACTCATTTTCGTATTACGTTTTCTCTCCCCTTTGTGATGAATTTCGCTCTACCTAATTTTTCAATTTTCGGTCTACTATGATTATATTATAGATAATAACTCTTATATGTGATAGATCGAAACGATTCAGCATACATGAAACAGGTTACTTGGACAATGCACTTAGGATTACATCGTCCCAGTATCTTTGTGTGTGTTTTAAATAGTATATGTATGTATATCTGGAACTTACAAAAATTAGGATTCTTTAAATAATTAATTAGATGTAAATAATAATAAAAGGTCTATTAAGAAAGGTATACAGGATTTTGTTTGTTACATATAGAAATAAATGAAAAAAAATAAAGCAGTATTTCTAATCTATAAGTGGTAATTAAACAACTGCGATTAGCTGAATAAAAGTGTGTTATTCGATATAAATATGGTATTTTAATTTTTAGTACTTCTTATATTCTTCCAAAGATTATGCATAATAATTTTCGTACCACTTTGCATTGAAGGTATAAAAATGAGGGGGAAAGAACAATACTAAAAAAATAGTTGCTTAACAAACGCTTTATTTTTTACTATTATTATTTATTAATATTAATTTTGTAGTTTTTCCATTTATGTTATATTATTACTTTACAATTATTCGTCCTCTTCGTCTTGGTTCATTAATGCGCTGAACATGTTGCTTGGGGCAGCTGGAGCAGGAACTTCTTCTTTTGGTGGTGGTGGTTTCTGGTTGTTTCTTTGTGAAAAAGATCTTGTTGTAACAAAATTATCCTTGTCCCTGTATGATGCAGATTGTTGATCTCTTCTAGAATTATTTCTATTAGAGTTGTTTCCCCTCCTAGAATTCTGTCTTGAGCTCATTTTTAATGCACGTTCTCTCTCATCCTCTTCATGGATTTGTTGGATAGTTTTTGGACCGGCATCCTTCTTACCATTATTCCAATTCTTCTTCTCTCTCAATTCTATAATATCTAACAACTTGAACTTCATTCTATTCGATATATCATCTTCTTTGACTAAAGAAGAAATAATTGAGAACAAACTGTCTAATAGAGCAGAACCTTCTAGTACTGCTTGACCAGCATTGAAGCTGTCAGTTTCAAATTGTTCACCGACAGTATCTAGTAACTCTACAACGGACTCCAAGACATCTTCAGATGGATTGTCATTCAAATCCTTCATTAATCTTCTGAAACATTCAAACATCATCTTACCAGATAGTAAGTTCAAACGGTATAAGTAACCAATGAAACGGACAAGACCTAGGCCTCTTCTCTTTGCAGCAGCAGCTGTGTAATATTCGTCAGACATCATTTCTGGCTCCAATGGTGAACCATCTTCATTTGTTGGAAGTTTGTCAGTCCAACCCTTTTGGAATTCTGTATGACATCTGTCAACAAGGTAGTGAAGAACTAGTTTTGGACCAGTTCTACCTTCATTAGTCTCATCGTTAATATCTGGGTTCAATTCCTTAACGACTTTACCACATAGTTGAGCATACATAGATGACCAATGTGGTTCATCACAAGCTTTTAGGAAAATTTGTTCAATGACTGTTTTTAATGTGCTACCATCTGTTTCAAATTTGGATAGGTTAGCCAAATCTAGAATATCAACGGAAATAGTGTCAAACTTTTCCAAAGTCAACTTGTTCAATAAGGACTTCATCTTACTTTCAAGTTCAGGTTTTTCAAATAATTCTGTAACACCATCTGGAGCAAATTTCTTTTCGGTCTTTTTAGCTCTTGATTTTGGAACCCATCTGTTTGCAGTTGGAACGAATGGTGCAACTTCTTCCTTTGGTTTTTCTTCTTTTCTGTCTTCATTTCTATCGGAGTTTCTTTCGCGATCTCTTCTAGATGTGTATGATCTATTGGATCTTCTGTCATCTTTTCTAGATTTTCTTTTTGAGGAATTTCTAGAGTTAGAACCATCTCTATTGGAATTATTTCTGAAGTCATTCCCACGGCCACCAAACTTACTTGGATCTCTAGATCTATTAGATCTGTTCATACCTGGTGGAATGACGATTTTCGAACCTGTAGATTGTATCCAAGTAGCATCAGCAACCACCTTAAGAGGAGATTGAAATTGCAGCAAGAAGGCTGGGCCATAGGTATATTTGACAGTTTCCTTTTGGTACTTTACATCTGGGCCATTGATACCTTCTGGATACTTAAATTCGAATATATCTGTAATTGCAGGAACCTCAGATACTCTCTTTAGGATGTCAGAAATACTAACAGCATTCGGATCGACCTCGGTAGTTGCAGTCTCAATTTTGGTTGCTTCGGTAACATTTTCTTCTGTGGTAGATTCTGTAGTTTCCTTAGTTTCTGCATCCTCAGTAGATTTAATAGGTTCTTCTTCTTTAACCTCCTCCTCGTTCGTATTGTCTATTGTCTTTTTATCGTCCGCTACATCTGTAAGAGATTCAGAAGAACCTTCTTCACTATCTTTCTGAAGTTTCTTCAACTTCATACGTTCAGCAAAAGTCATCACTTTTTGCTCTGAGTTATCATTTGAAGAATTATCGGTGCTTGGAGAAGAAACGGTTTGTTCAGGTTGAGCAGTTTCTTTTACTTCCTCCTTTGATTTTTCTTCTTCTTCCTTTTTGACCTGGGTAATAGCGTCAACTTTAGTCTTGGCTTCTGCGTCTTCCTTCTGTTTATCTTCTTCAGACTTCCTCTTTAGAACTTCTTGTTCTTGTTTTTTCTTTTCGATCTCAGCCTTACGACGTTTAACTTCTTCGACAAAAGCTTTTCTGGTTTGTTCAGCTTTAGCCTTTGCAGCCAAGTCCTCTTCGTTATTAGCTGGGGTAGTTTCAGTTGGTTCAGTAGAAGTTCTATTGGAGCTTTGAGCATCAATAGTTGGGGTAGCCATTCCCATTTGCATTTGCATTGGGTTGTAAGTTGGATAGCCATTGTAGAATTTCTGTTGTTGCCACTGCATGTTTGGTTTGTAATAATTGGAACCAGCATTAAATCTATTTTGTTTAGAATAATTAGTGCCGCCGTTCACTGGAGGTTTGTTGTTTTGCAGTTTGCTCTCAGTTTGACTGGATTGTGGTTGCTCTGGGACAGTTTGTCCTTCGGACTGTTCAACTGTTTCCTGGCTAGCCATAGTGCGATACAAGATTAATTAGCAATTGATTTTGATAGATCGTAAGGTGTATCGTTTGATCCTTACAAATTTCTCAATGATATATGGAAGGAATAATCTTCTTATAAATTATGTAACTAAAATAAATATTGTTAACAAATAAAAACACTTCTAAATATTGTTAATGAAAGAGAAAAAAAAGCATCAATGACATCAATTTTGCAAGAGTTTTCACTTTATTTTTCACTCCATCGTTCTTCTCTCTTTTTTCTAACAGAAAAGGACGATGCTTCATCGATCTGAATATCTTTTGCATCGAAAAATTTTCAGGACGCAACTTCGTTGTAAGTGATATTTTAACTCGATCAATTAAGATATGGAAAAGGTGAATCTAAGATTGCATTAACTGATGAAAGCAAGATGAAATATTTTTGTTGTTGTGATATCGTGGTTAGAGCGCCCAATTATATTTTTATTGTTGCTGTAATTTGTTTCATCTGAACTATTTTCATATTCGTAGCTCAAACGTTTAAGTTGTTGGGACGAGGATATAATTACAGATTTAATTCAAGGATATTTGCATTTTGACTAATAACTCGGCTAACCATATTCTTTCAATCTGTTTAAAGATATATAGGTATTCTACAATGCTCATATGATATGCAGTTTAACTTCTGATACATATAATTAAATCTTAAATAAAATATATTACTCATGGATATTAAACCAACGTCTTGCCAAGGTGGTGTTGTGATACAATACTTGCAGTATCCAAAAAAATGTTCCTATTTCAAAAGTATTTGTTGCTCATGTAGCGAGGGGGTAATAGTGTATACGGGTTCACTTTAACATCGTATGAAGGTTACATAGTCTAACCAGTTCTAACTAGGTTTTGTCTGAGATACTTACTAAAATAGGAATGAAATAAGATAAATTAAAATATTACTTAATGCCATTAATAACTTTCATTATTTGGGTGATTGTCTACATCATTAGGAACAAAGTCTTCAACAGTTTTTTGAAGAACGTATTTTAAAAAATCATTGTTGCTGAACAACCGAAAATATCAGAGAACGCGAACTTAATTGAAAAAGGATAGTATATATGCATGTATATCTATACTTAATATTTATCTGAAAGATAGAATCCGAGCCTATTTTATTTTACATCCTTTTCAAATTTGTCGTTTTGAAACGATAAAATATTGGGAAAGAAACAAATCCAAATTTATTGTGTTCTCTGTCCAGTTCTATTAAAGAGTTTGATTTCTTTCTGTAATATTCAATAATAGAATCATTACAATATTGATGTGTTAATTGCCTGAATTGGGAATCAAAAAAATAATAAATCTAAAATTTAAGTAAAAATTTGGGACAATAAGGAAAAAATGATTTCGCCCAGGATCGAACTGGGGACGTTCTGCGTGTTAAGCAGATGCCATAACCAACTAGACCACGAAACCTTATTTTGTTTAAATTTGTCGTATTGGGATCTCTGATGATTGAAGACAAAACTATAACAGACGGTTATATTCAATAATGTTTCGTCTACTTTTATAATTCATATATAAGAAATGAAGGATCATTGGAAATAAGTTCTAATTAGTTAAAACAACATAATAATAGTAATTGATTATAACCGTCTGTTATACTTTTATCTTCAACCATCCGAGATTACCAATACAACATAATTTGTTATATCTGAAACTGTCGAAAACATAATATAAGAATCTAACAATAGATCTGTCGGAAATATATTATAAGAGGGATAATGACCAAGGTTATGATCTATTGATAGGTTCATCCCGCAACAACTTGTTGACGTAGATTGGCAAGAGAGTAGATCCTAATAGAATTAGAATTGGGAACGATTGTCATTTCTATAAAGATTGCTTGTATAATTTCTATTCGTTGATCTATTACATAAAGTAGTATACAAGCTAATCCTATAAATATATAGATAGATACCCAGATATATCTCGAGGAGATAGTATCTCTTTAATAAATGAAGTAATGTACAATGGGCATCTCATCGCTGAAAAGTTTTCTTGAAGCTCATCGTACGTTATCGGAAAAATATCTTCCGATAGTTTTTCCGATAGTATAATATACATGTCACGTGATAATTAGTGACCACGTGATCCTTTTAGAACAGTTGCTATAGAACATACTTGTATGTTCTATCTGTTCATGAATTGTTACCATAATAAGTATCGCTACTTAATATTCCCACAACACAACTTAATAATAGATTACTTACGCCACTGTCGAGTGAGTTTATAATCACGACAATGATAATCCAACATATATAAATGGAACAATATTTCATTTATGAATATAATTGTTTCCATAATTTACTTTATATATTTTTATATAAGATATAAAAAGATCAGACGACTATAAGTTGATTTTGTAATATAATAAAATTTGTTCAGTTAAATAGAAGATGTCTAATATTCAATTTTCCCATCAAGATCAACCCCTCAGTGACATAACATGTAGAGAATCTGAGATAGAGTGTTTGCCTCTATTAGTCTCTTCAAGCTTTACTTTATTTAATTCGGACATTTTATAATACGATAATCGATCGGTCTCTTTATATTATTATATAATTTATAGAACGAACAGAATCTAACTTATAATGTAAGTTCAGAATTCTTTGTCTTTATATATAATTTAATTTTACCGATATTTCGTTTCTTCTTGCTACCTAAACGATTCTTATCTAAACGATTGTTAAGTAGTAAACTGATTACCTAAACGACTATTACTTAATAAATGTTTAGTTCTTATCCGGACGTTTTAGATATCTCGATTCCACATAATTTAGTTAGTTATGATTAGGTAATAAGATGAACAGAATTTCAAAAAAAAATTAATTTTATATAATGATAATGAACGCTGAACTTGTATTCTAAGTTAGTATCCATTCATTTTGTAAAGTTTACATTATAATAAAAACCAGCTTACAAATAAAAGAAATGATTAACATATGACATTTTCTTTACTTTAACTATTTACACTTAAGAAGCTACTAAGCCTCCTCCCTTAACAACGAACAATGAAGGAATCAAGATACAACCCTACTATGCATGATTTAGTATATAAGGTAAAATCAATCAAACGGACGTATTTGTCGGTCTACATAAATATGGGTAATTTTAATAACGTTATGAAAATTTCAAAGCTAGGGATAAAAAACAAAATAAATATAAAAATTAACAAGGATTATTTATTATGTTTTTGGCTATTTTGAAAATATTGCCCCTGAAACACATTATATTTTGTAATAAAGTGATAGTCCAATTATAGCTTAGTAATCTAACCATCCTATAATAGATATCGTTATATACATCACATAATATGGGACCACAGTGAAAAGCTATTAACTATTTTCTTGTCGTAATGTATCTTAACGCATATGTATCCCAGTTTTGCTAAACTTTTAATCTCCGACTGCACCATGTACTTTTTAAAAACCAGTCATGTGCCAAATTTGATTATGTAACATTATTCTCAAGGATAGTCATTGCTCTAACATCCTTTCTCTTCCTCTCCCATGTAACAACTGGAGATCCTTAATATTCCAAATTTACGCAAAATATAATTTATTTACCTTCGGCCGAGAACAAACAAATTTGTAGCACATGACTTCGGAGTTATGACATAGTTTCATGGTACCCCCGAATCTGTTTTGTTGATGTTACTTTTATAATAATCAATCCCTAAAATCATTTCGAGTTTCTTCGACATATATAATGAGAACGACATTATCACCTTTATTCAGAATCATTTTTTAATTCTTTTTTACAAATTGCTTAATATTTCAAATTGTCCACTTATAAATTAGTTCTACATATTGGCATTGAATAATTAATTTAAAACAAGTCAAAAAATATAATAATATATAATGACACTAGCTAAGCAAATTCTTTTCGGTAACACAGGTATCAAAATCTCACCAATTATTATTGGTTGTATGTCCTATGGTAGCAAATCATGGTCAGAATGGGTGGAAGGAGATAAAGAAAAAGTTTTCGCAATTTTAAAACATTGTTATGATAATGGTTTACGTACTTTCGATACAGCCGATGTCTATTCTAATGGTAAGAGTGAAAGATTAGTTGGTGAATTTCTAAAAAAGTACAACATCAGAAGGGAAACTGTTGTAATCATGACCAAGGTCTTTTTTGCTACTGATGAAACCTTACCCTTAACTGCTGACCGAGCTAGCAGGGATGATTTGACTAAATTGGATTTAGTTAATAGTGAAGGGTTGTCACGTAAGCATATTTTAGATGCTGTCAAGAAGTCTGTTGAGAGATTAGGAACATATATTGATGTCCTTCAGATTCATAGATTCGATTCCCAAACTCCGATTAAAGAGACATTGAGAGCCTTAAACTATGTGGTGGAAAGTGGCGATGTCAGATACATAGGTGCTTCATCTATGTTACCTACTCAATTTGTCGAAATGCAATTAACTGCCGACAAATATAACTGGCATCAATTTGTTAATGTACAATCATGTTATAACTTATTATACAGAGAGGATGAGAGAGACTTGAACCAATTCTGTAAAAGACATAACATTGCTTTAACCCCTTGGTCCCCTCTACAACGTGGTATTTTAACAAGGCCTGTCAAGGATAAGAACACAACCAGATATACGGCAGACAAATTAATTGAAGTCAGACATCTAAACTCTTTAGAAGACAATGAAGTTCAAATAGTTAATCGTGTAGAAGAATTATCCAAGAAAAAGAATGTACCTATGGCTGCCGTTGCTACTGCTTGGTCAATCGCTAAGGGTTGTCAACCAATTTTGGGATTAAGTTCTGTTGAACGAGTTGATGATGCCTTAAAGGCATTAAGTATTGAATTGTCTCCTGAAGAAATAAGTTACTTAGAGGAGCCATATAGACCAAAAAACTTTATGTTTTAATGTAAATGTTCTGTATTTTCTAAATATTTTACTTATCCTTTAAATAAAAGTAATATATTCAAAGCAATAATTAGAAATATGATGATGCTCTCAAAAATTTCAAATTGAAATGACAATTCGTGACAAAAAGTTTTTTAAAGAAAGCCTACATGTCTAAAAAAGAGTCTCAACAATATTATTGTATATATATATATATATATATATATATATTTAAAGGAATACTTAGAAAATGGCATAGTTAAAATGTGTCATTTTTTATATGTCTATGCTAGGCCGAAACCTTCTGAACCTTCCGTGATAGCATGTTGCAGTGCACGACGCAACATGTCGTATGAGTTATACGCTGGTAGAATTAATTGGTTAAAGCAAGTATGTGAAGAAGGTAATCTTTCGGTTGACCCATAGTCTCTATGGATAGAAAACTTACAAACACCACCAACACCGCTGAGGCCCTTAAATCCGTTTAATGGTACTTTACTTGTACCAGTAACAAATTGTAATAACTTGGCTCGTTCTTCTGAATCGAATGATCTGACAGCTCTCCAAAAGTAACCCACCTCCTTGCTGTTTACTGTAAAATTAACATAGTTGGTATTATTTTTCCAATCATCCACATCAATGTCAGGCAGTCCATTGATCAATAGTTCGATCTCTTGCTCGTCAAAAATCGAAATCAGATTTTTCGGTATTAAAGCGTAGAACCCCAACAAAAAATTGTCCATTTGTTCTTGAACTGATTTATGCAGTTTATAATCAATAATCTTTTGAACGTATTTTTGTTTATCATCATTCGTAACAGGTATATTTCTACCATTTTCGACCAAATCAATTATTTTATGTTCACCGTAGTCTTCTGTTTCCAACGAGTACGTTTCCTCAATGATATCAGTTATATCATTTTCCAGGATCCAAACTAAAGATTTGTAATAGTCTGGATCAATTGATTCCATGTCTTTTAAGGATACGGGCTTTCCTAGAATATCCTTATATACCTCTCTACTGAAATGGCAGTCCAGATAGCACTGATCTCTTATTGATTTGGCAATAATCATACCAATAAACTTAAAAAATGATAAGTGTTCTGGATTTATTCCCGAACTTCTGTTTGGATGGAATGTTGTCTTATCTGACGCGATAGGCAAAAATAATGCATAATCTGGATTAAACATTTGCCTGGACAGAACCTGATACCATTCCCTCGTTAAACCACCAGCATCAACACCGCTTTCACCTTTAAATGTAATCTCTAGTTTAGAATTTTTAATTTCATCATTGTTCTTAAAAAATAATGAACGATAGGAATCCAAGAATACTTGATCTCTTCTAACACTTACAGGTAATTTAGGAGCCATTTTATCATCAATATTTAATTTCGCAATAAAGTAATATCTTTTATTATCAAAATCTAGAATCTTTGGATTTTTAACTAATAATGCAAATGGGCCACTCATTAATTTAGGATTTGAACGAATCATATGATTCAATAGTTTCTTGTGGATATCTGTGAATGGGAAAAATAGATTTTCAACTTGAATCTTGGAAAAATCTAAGTCATTTTCCTCTACTTTTTTCAATTGACTGTTAGTATTCTTCATATTTGAATGTTTACAGACGACCATTAGCGATTCTATAGCGGGTAGTAATATCGTAGCAGAAGTAGTTATATCCTTTCTTTCTTCAAATACTGATAAGCATCTACTCAACGAACCCCAGATTTTACCTAACTCCATTTTGTTGTATATGGCAGAAAGTCTTTCTATATGTGAATCATTATCTCGTCTTTTATGACTGTATAAAAAGTCGACTGCTGTTAGAATCTTTAATAACTTTGCCTGATCGGAACTAGGAACTATCATTTTCTGAACCAATTCGTTAGTTGTCTCTGAATCATCAGATTCCTTTGATGTTATAAGAGAAAGTTGGGTCAGATCATGGAATAGATTACATGCAGTGGATTTAGCGCTGTTCACAAGTTGTTCTGTAAAATATGTCAATCCATCGTCAATAAATGATAAATGGTGCATGGTATTTAAAGTTTGTTGAAATACTTTTGTATTACAACTATCTAGGTTTATTATGGAGACAACCTTTTCAAAGTCATCCTTATCAAAATCTGGAATCTGGAATTTCTTTTTCGTTTTGTATTGTTGTGAATTTTTTACCATCGCTAGTAATGGTTTAGTACACGTTTGTAAAATATTTGTAAGTAAATCCATTAACACAGTTTCATCTGTTATAAGTTTCCGTTCCAGTAGGTCCACAAGATATTTAATTGGCCATCTTTCGTGTTTTACAGGACCCTCTTTCTTAGTCTTGAATGAAGTTTTGTTTATCATTAAATTATCATGTTCTGTAATAAAGAAAAATTTCAAGCGGTTATCTGAATCGATCAAATTCTGTAGGATCTCGATGGTTTGATTAGCAACAACTAGAGGTGTGCAATCTGGTGGAACTTGACGTTGAGAATTACCTTGTGGTTTAGAAGAACGATTACCACGGAAATTAATAACATTATACATTTTTTCCAAAGAAGTTTGATCACAGGTACCTTCAGCTAAGATCAATAATAAAAGATTAATAATGTCACTTCTATTCTGTTTACTCAAACAGAGACGGTAAAACAATTCGTGGTACATTTCACGTTTAATATATGGTTGGGGTATGAATACCGTTTTCATCAGTGATGCAATACCGGTCCGATCCAAAAGATTATCGAAATAAGTTCGGGAATGTTTTTTCTTGTCTGTAACATCTTTGGGTGGACTCAACTCATTACTGATATGTTCCATCGATCCATTATCGATATCATCGTTACCTGCAAGGGACAACCTACTTGGTTGAAGAACCTCATTTATAGTAGCCCTAGAATTTGAAGAGTCAGAATGGTGTACATGATGTAATTCTTCAGACGCTATGTCCTCTTGGTTAACAATAGTATTACGGAGTGTTTGAGGTAATGCCTCCAGAAAGTTGGGGTCTATTTCTCTATTATTCTGGTTATTGATTTGGCTATTGTTAATCAATTCAGCCCTTCTCTGACCTACGTGTTGCGCAAAGACTTCTGATCTCATATCATCTGGAAGAGCGTTAAAAAATTCAGGATCTATGTCAGTACCACCGATATCAACAGATGAACCATCAATTATCACATAAATCGGCTCGTGATCAATAATATTCCCTTCTACATCTATGTGTGAATTAGTATGACCATGGCTTTGGATTGCAGCAATATTTTCAACTTCATTAATATGTTGGTCATTAAATGAATAATCATCTATTTCACTTTCATCCTCTAAATCTATAGTATTTGCCTCTGTGGCTTCTTGTTCTTTCTTCTGTCTTTCCTTTACTAACTGGGTATTTAAATCAAGACTTTTTGAATAAATATTATTCAGAATGGTATTGATAAGATATAAACCATAGTTTTTGGAACCATAAAACATATCATATGCATCCCTCCATCTTAATATCGAGGATTTTAAAACGATCCCCTCAACGGCATTGTCACTGTATAACTCACCAGAAAGTAAAACATCAGCAAAATGGGTTCTACTAGTCCGTGGACGAACCCCCGATCTAATACTGGATATTTGCTCTGTTATCTCTGACTCGACTTGTTCCAGGCCAGAAGGACTTAATGGGTTAATCAAATTACTCTGATTTCGTCTGTTTCCATTCAATAATGTCAATGAAGGTGGAACCATCGGGACACGAGGATTTCGACGGGATGATCTATGATGCCGAGCACTTATATCCATCGCATTATTTATTGTGAAAAGATTTTGGGTATCTGGATTAAATGTATGCTGGATACCTTGGAAAACACCACGAGACTCGGTATCTGACTCATCTTCTAATTCCGTACCTTCTCCAAAAGTCCAAACTCTTCGTCCGTTTCTCGATCTGCTGATAACTTCGTGTAAATCACTATCGTCGGATTCACTAGAATTGTCACTTATAGAAGATAGATCCGAGATACCTGACTCCCAAGCAGAATCTTCTATGCTGTACTCACTTAAATCTATATTGATATCATCACTGTCGCTAAGACTTACGACATCAATTTCGCTTTCATTCTCACCTTCGCTGTTATAAACGGATGACAGTTGTTCGGATGACTCCGTTGTTTCGCTAAAGCTATCACTTGAATCTACCATATCAATTTCAATACCTTCATCATCGATACCGAAATCCAATGCGGTACCATCATTTTCATTTTGAGCTCCATAATCAGATTCCGCATTTGAATAATCAGATTCAATATTAGCTTCCGCTCCTATATCATCGTCGCTGAACACGACCTCAAATCCACTACCATCATTATTGACAAATGCAATATCCTCATCGTCTCCAATTAAGGAATCATTACCAAGTTCATCAGCGTCATCTTCTTCTTCTATATCGTCGACATCATACATTCCTAATGATGAATTTTTAAACATGTTGGTGACGTCCTCTTTATCAGTGTCTTCATCCACATCTTCTTCTTCATCGTGATTTTCGACTTTAAATAAGTTTTCGAAATCGCCTCTGGTTGAGTTAATGGCATTCAATACTTCTACACCGCTATTGAATAATTTCTTGCAAAATGGATAATTAATATCAAAAACAGACATACAATCGGTTATTATTGTGGGAACATTCAGCTCGATCATCATTTTACATATCTGATAGCGGTCTGCGTCTGTCTTGTTTGCATCCACTAAAGGACGCAAATATGGTGCTTGGATATATAACATCAGAGAAATAATATTAAACCATGTATCAATTTTACTGACATTCTCCTCTAGTGTTTTTTCAGTTTCAGTAGCAGATTTCAGGGCCTTTGCGATTACCTCAATAGTAAATTTTCTAATGTAGGACATATCAGGGTCAGCAATTTTAGGGTCTAATTTCTCATTTTTCTCATCACGAACAGAAGAAATGAATCCTACAACCACGGATCTTGCAAGCATGCTAACAACTTCTCTTCTCTTTGCTTGATGTTTATCATGTTCATCCATTATTGGATTATCTAAAATTTGATAAAGGAAAAAGTTTAGCGCCGTTGATCTAGGTTTGGGATGTTCTGTGTAAACATTACGTCTATCATATGTCAAAAACTCATATTTGCATTGTTTATAACTAGATACAAGCTCGACCAATACTTTCAATAAAAATATCATATATGCACAAACGGGATTTCTTGATGGATCAGGCTTTTCAATATTCAAAATCCCACTCCTAGTATTTAATTGAATATTGGAAGGTTCCGATAACCAATCTTTTTTCCATGCTGCCATAAGTTGGGATAGTAAAAGATGAACTATTCCTGTCCTCTTGCCGGAAATATCTTCCGAATTTTGAGTGTTTCCGGCTATATTAAACCTATTTATTTTAGTATTAGAATCCCTTTTCAACATGAAATCCCATAAAGTATTTTCAGAATCATAATCTAATAAGTGGGTGGTTGTGGTTAAATTTTCAACAAAGATGCTAGGGTTTCTTGCAATGATATGGGGCTTTTCTTCCAACAAACTTACCAATTCGCGTTCTCTTTCAGATTTAGCAGCCAATGTTCTCGTTGTAAAACTTTTTTCGATTTCATGCTGTATTAATTTCGAGACCACATTTGATGATTCGAAACATCTTCTAACAAGGAGTAAATACGCAGCTTCTAAAAAGTTAATTTTTTCGTATTTTTGATACACACCAATTACCTTTAATAATTTAGCCAATATTCCAGAATTTACAATGTCGTTAGTATTCTTTTCTGTTCTTCCATACAATAGTAACACTCTTGCGATTGAGACTGCTGAATAAAAGTTTGTAATTTCTCCAACGCGGATAACGTTATTAAAAATATTCTGTTTAATATTATCGGGAATATGATAGTATAATGGCAACGAAGGTAAATAGTATTTTACTTTTACATCTTCCTTTAATTTTTCAGGTGCAGGTAAGTCAGATTTTACAAGTATAATCTCATATGCATAAAGTGCTTTTGAATACCATTGTGTATTTACGTGTTCAGCCTTCATATTAGTGTTAATAAAAGAAACATATTTCATCAATAGATCTGAACTATGTTCCATAATAGATTTGTCATTCAAGATTATCCCAAATATATGAATTAATGACGATAATGTCGATTTATCTTCCATATTGGTTTTGGTTATTCTTTTAAATATGTATTCAGCGGTGGACTTTAATGGATGCTCTACACAGACCAAAATTTGCAACAAAGTTTGAGCAAATGAATTTATTAATTTTGGATAGAAAGGAAGCACGTTAAAGAATTTTTCTCTAAAATAATTCCCATAAAACTGTTCTCGCATTTCATCGAGTGTAATACCATCTGGGACATTTTTGATAACGCAATTATTCACAGTATCATCTGATTCATACTGTTTTATTTTAAGTGTTAGTATATCCCATTCTTTTTTATTAAATGTAGTTGGATCTCGTACAGTAGGAAATGAATCATTATGCTCTTCCAAATACGCTTTTGCCACGTCTTTATTTAGACCTGCAGACATTAAAATCTCGATCTTTTTGTGTGATGGAGGAATTAGTTCCCACTTTAATTCGTATAGTGTGCAATTGTCATCATAACTAGAGGGTGTAAATATATTTGAGACTATTGTTAAGATCCCTTTATAGATATTGTAAGGAATTGATCTGGTTGTCAAATCAAAAAGGTCATGTTTACTGCTTAATTGTATTATCATCTCTAGAGCCAATTTTTTCATATATGACGTGAGTGTTGAAACAATGTCATACCTTTTTTCCACAGACGGATAAAACATTTCCGCATTCTTGACAGTTTCCATATTGTCTGCTCGCAGAGATCTGTTAATAAAACTTAGCGCATTTATTAAGCAACTAGCAGACAAAATCGCTGGAGTATTTTTTACAAAATACATCTCATCGACAGAGCTAGATATTTTAGAACCTTCATTAAACTGAAATAATTTAATGATGATCCTTGAATATAAATAATACCCACCCTTCTGATAAAACAATACCGCAGGTAGTGTTTGAAGGATATCATTATTAGCTATTGCTGTCCTAGAGTAGGTCATAACATATGTATTGAAGTGGAGTAAAACCAAATAAAATGATATGTTTTCCTGTGTAAGTCCAATATTAAGCATGTTTACTAATTGCTGAATTGTACTATCAAATATTCTGATTTCGATACTTTTATCACTTAGTTCGATATCAGTATTACGTGTATGTGTAAGTCTAAGGAAGCATCTGTAAAGCATGGAAGAGTAGGTCTGTAACTTGGAAAGTAAAAATCTAGTTTCGTAAGTGTTTTTGAATTTGACGCTAGTTTTGTTGTCTTTAATTTCATTTTTCTTAGGATCGTTAGCGTATATCTTTATTGGGGGCAAATTAAATAAATCGCCAGGTGTTGTCTCATCATTTACGGAATCAGGTAAACATTCACGTATGTACATCTCCTCCATCGCACATCTCCTGAATAATAACCCAATATACTCAATCAGCTTAAATCCGTTCTCATCAAAATAATCTGTAATCTGCAGCAGCCTGGTAGGGGACAGTGACGAAAAATTCAAATATACTGTGGTAATTATGTACAACAAGGACGTTAACCCTGATAACTCACCTATAATATTATCAACGTGAGTTAATTTTTTATCATCACCACTTTTTGTTGAGGAGAGAAAAAAACTATATGAATCGTCGTGATGCAAAAATGTTTCGATATCTTTTAGTTTATTCTCAAGTAATATCAGAAGTGGAGTAAATGCATAATTTTTGTCTTGTTCATCAAACAACTGCAACGCATCAGTTATATTAAGCATTGCTTGTGAGGATGAGAAATCGAAAGGTGGCCTCTTTACATCCAGTAGTGGAATTAAATCTTCGATATCCATATTCTGCGCGAATTTTTCCAATGATGTATTTTCTAGTCCCATACCATAAAATACGCTTGAAAAACATTCCATTATCGAAGAACTTTCTTGAATGTCCCAAAATTCCAACTCCTTCTCGTTATCTTCGTTGTTAATTATGGTGTCTTCCTTTGAATAGTAAAACAAGTCTCCGCCAGTCGAAGATTTATACAGAAATGATTGACTAAACGACAATGATTTAGGGATATTTCGTATTAAATCGCAAAAAGCATTTAATATCTGCTCTTTCAAATCAGGGTAGTGTCTAGCAAGCTCATCGATGGCACTTCCATAGTCAGAGGATTCTTCATTCCATGCAAGTAATTTTGCATATTTTGCGTTTGTAATCATGCCAAATAAATAACTTACAAAGTTTTTTTCTTTTACCTGTCTTAAGCCATCTACGTTTAAGCATAACGCTGATATCACGTCTGGAAGGATCAATAATAAATCATCGGATGGAGCAACAAAATCACTAAAATGTTCAAAAATATATGGTATTAATTCTGCTTCTACCAATACAGGATATATGGTGGGTTCACTATTTATTACCCTTTGGATAATATCTAGGGTATAAGTAACCAATGTGTAACTAAATATTTGATTATTCTCAAGAATCTTTTTCATCGATACCAGAATCGAGGAGTCAATCAAATTTCTAATTCTATCCCCTGAATCTGTTTTTAATAATTTCATTACTAGCTTTAACAAACTCCGAATATATGCTTGTTGCCTGAATGATATAGTATATTCTTCAGTCTTGTATTTTGACGGTTTTCCATATGTTGGGTTTTCTAGAGCGAAATTAACTTCATCATTAACTGAATTAATTAATGCATTGAACCCATCATTTGTGATAAATTCAGACGTAGCGTCTGCATTATTTATAAATACTTCCAATAAATGAGTAGCGGATGCCACAGTACGTCTGTACCTAGAATGTTTAACTGAAATGACATCTAGAAGACATGGAATAAGACCTGCAGACAGGAGAGAATTATGCAACGTTGGAACATCGGCAAGGTTAGAGATCAGATAAAAAAATCTTACATTGTATTCTTCATTAATCTCATCACTGTCGCTTCTCAGGAGATTAGATATTTGACGCAAAATTTGGAATAATGTACCATGGGATAAGTTACCACCAAGATTTCTCATAATATCGGAACACCAAATATGTTTTATTGATATACATTCCAAAGCAAAAAGGCAGTCAAGACGTAATTTTGCGGGAATCCGAGGCTCTGCCAGTGAAATAAAGTCTGACAAGCTGTTAAATGTGTATGGGTCAACTTCGAATAGTTTCGAACTAACTTGAGGAGGGGCATAAACGGTATTAATGTATGCAACTGTATTAAACTTGGTTCTTATTATTAGGTTCCTTAGTGCTTCATTTTCTTCGGAATTATCACAGAACGACTTGGCAATTGTCACCTTAAGCGAAAAATCATACCAAAATTCACAGGGCAATGCATTCATACCTTTATCAAATATTTGTTGCAATGAACTATTTTGTAGATCATCTGTGCTTAATGTGAATTTTTTCAAATTAGAAGACATAGAATTCTCAGAACTTGCAAAACTCTTACCTCCGGTGTCTTTTTCAGGAATGAAATAGTTAAATCTCAGTTTAGACCACTTCTCTGGATATGATTTATCAGTAGTATAAAGGTCTACCAAAGTTACATGGTTTCCATTTTCATCAGAAACAGATGATGGTAATGTTAAAGCTAGCTTAAGAGCCTTTTTCTTTAGATGCTGATGACTTAATACATTTTCAGAATCAATTCTCTCTCTTGCAATCAGGTATCGTTCACCCATAATAGCGAGAATTTTTATTGCACATAATTTAATCTCAAAATTAGGACAATTCAGCAAAGTGTTCATGACATCCATGGAAGAGTAAATAAAACGATTCTCGGTGTTATATAAAAGGCGGCATGTAAATTCCATCATTGTCACACAGTTATCTATGTCATTTTGTTCCATACATATCAACCTGACAGCCTTTTTCTTGTAGTCTGTTGACTTATACCCATATTTATCAATGACAGCTGTCAGGGTTTCGTCAATTCTATTTAAAACTGGAATCCATACATAAAGATCATCTCTAATTCTATCCCATTCACGAATTTTAGACAGCTCGTCCAAAAACTGAGTAGAGGTACAGCTAATGAGATGATTTATCAATGGCTTAAATTTCTCCACCACTTCTTTCTTTTGGAAAATTTCAAATCTTGCGAGTTGAATCATAGTTTCAGGAAAAGTTCCACTGCGAATTATAACTTATTATTTCAATAATAATTGTGTTAATTGTATTTCTTATTTTTATTCGGCAATTATAGCTTAATTTGGGGGAAATGTGAAGATTGCCTCTGGATATGAGCTGAGTACAATAAAATAGTAGGTATAGGTAAAAGCTTCAGATAGATCTGTATATTCAATACTACTATGTCAACAGCAATAACTGAAATGTTTTATTCTTATAAAACAATACCTTTTAAAAGGACATACGGTAGCCAAATAATAAATGTTATATTAGATCTAATCTTGGTAGTCTTATATTTGTAACGTTACTAACTAAGAAGGCCATCTCTTACCTGAAAATTATTTACACCGCGGAGGGTAACAAAATAAGAAACGAAACAATTTAGGAGTAACTAACTACTAACAAAAGGAAGAAGGAAAGTATACAACTTTTTCTAAAAACAGCGTCTTTATTCTATACACACAAAAGTGTCAATGCGTTCTAAAGACATTTTATAATATACTAGTAATGAAGCTAATCTATATAATTTATCTATTGCTCTCTTGAATCGAACCCCCTCTGGCTTTGTGAACCATTAGCTTCACTGCCATTTGTAGAATTCTGTGGGTTACTATCCAAGAAAACGGGTTTTAATACGTTATCATCAAAGTTCTGGAACCATTGGGAATCCGATCTAAAAATTGTCCCTAGAGAATCCTTCATATTTCGGCCTTCTGTAGACTCTTCGACTACACTGTTTCTGACGTTCTTTGATGTAACATTGTCGTTTGCCATAGCTGGAATAGGGGAAGTATCCAATGAAATGGCACTATTCGTTTCATTCACAAAATTATTAGCATCTTGTAACATTGCATCTTCAGCCGTAAAGTATCTTGTATTATTATCAGAATATGGTTGTCTAATGGAAGGAGTATTATATTGTCCTAATTCCTGGTTATATCTATTGCCAGTTGTGGTGGCTTCAATATCGAATTCATCGTCACTATCATCATTTTCGTCAATGCAACCTGTCTTAATATTTAACACCTCTAGCATACCTGCAGTTGTACCGCCGAATACGATAACCGTAAGTACAACGACTACTAGAACTGTAGCCAATAAAGTAAACTTGAATTCACCTTGAATACCCAATGCTAATGCTACACCAACAGCGCCTCTCAATCCGGCCCAGAATGTCATTACTTGATAATTATATGGGATCTCTTCTGGAATTACAATATTGCTTCCTAATGTGATATTAGATGACCTTTGGGCTTTGATTCTGTATAACCAGTTAACAAAACGTGAAAGAGGAAATACAGCACACCAACGAGCGATACAAATTGAAATAGCAGTTATTATAATCAGCATTGGTTTATAAACTAGTTCAACTTCAGTAAATAGCTCTAGACCTAAATAAATAAAAATAAAATTCTCAGAAAGTCTGGCTAACAATTGGAATATGTATTTTATCGTTAATTGAGTTCTTCTAGACATGTTATAGTAAGCGTAATGTTTCAAAGTGATCCCACAAAACAACAAAGAAACGATACCAGACATATGGCAACCATTAGAAAAGAAGTAAGATTGATATGCAATCAATAATATTATACAACTCTCAATCTGAGGGAATCTTCTTATATGGGTATGTTTTAAGAGTAACGCAACCAATATACCAATGAATACCCCAATAACCAATGAAATAGAGAAAGTCATCATAAATAAGCCAACACCTTCAAATATGGAGCTTACGGTGGCTGGTTGACCACGAAACTTCTGACAAGTCTCAAACATAACAATTGAAATGGCATCATTCAATAATGACTCACCAAAGATGATAGTGTATAACTTTGGATCCACTTTATAAGCATTGAAAATAGACAAGATTGTCACAGGATCTGTAGCTGATAATGTTGCTCCAACGGACATTGCATCGACAAACGATATATCGACACTCTCTAAACCTAATGATGTCCAAATAAAAAGAATTATACCTAAAACACATGCTGATATAAAGGTACCAGGTATTGCAAAAGTTAAAATCGACAACATATTATTGAAGAAATTCACTTGATTCAATTCATATCCAGAATTTAGAATGATAGGTGGTAAAAGAATATTAAAGAAATATGATGAGTTAAATGTAACAGAGCTCTGAATATAGTGACCGGGAGTCAATCTTAATATCAGACCTACGACCATTCCGTAAAAGATGGAAAGTACAGTTTCATGAACAGCTCTGATTTTTTTCTGTGTCAAATAATAACTAGACCATAATGCGAAGATCAACAACGATAACATGATGAACAAAGCCCATGATGAAAACATCTCCTCTGTAACGGGGCTGAGATCAACATCTGGATCGCCTGTAAGTGGGTCACCTTTATCTGGAAGATCTGGAATCGGTAACAATTCATCTTCATCGCCATCTTCTGACGATACTGATGCAATGGCTTTTACCAATGTAGAAAGTATTAGTTTTATGAGTAGTCTTACCAGCATTAAATTGGATAATGTGTGTATATAATAGAGGAAGAAAAATACAAACCAAAAAGGGTTACTGGACAGCTATATGTATCTATTAACCTTATTATAAGTCAGTAATATATGATTGTTACACTTCTAGTTTTGTTTCCGATGTAAGTAATTTATAAGTATATAACAAAATCAAAGAAGCAGGAACAAAAACAGATAACTTGAGGGAAACTGGGAGTATTACTAAAAAGTAATCTAAGCACCTATAAACGCAAATATGCCTAATGAAAATATATATGTGTAACTATATTTCTATACCGATATACATTGCTTATATAAGAGGTATTTTGGTAATACATCCTTGAATTGTGAAGCTAGCGAGCCTCTTAATACCTTAAAATAATTGATAATAATCTGAATAGGGAAAATTATTTCATGATTTCGCCCAAGAAGAAGCTCGAAGGACAGACGCGCGACCATTTTCTTAATGCCAATCGTGCTACATGATATCACGCACTAATAACATTTCAATATACGTAAAATGGGCCTCAACTTGTTTTTATCGTATATATATACATATATATTGTTTACCAGTGCAGTATATTGTTAAACAAGTAGGTCTGGGTATGTTTTAAAGATAATCGATTGATACAACTATTATTGCAGATCTCAATACTAGAAGTCAATCTACACTTTCCACGCTAGATAATCTTTGTAAAACATAATAAACATAAACTCATGTGATAGTATCAGTAAATAACGCCCTTGGCTAATCAAGGATTAATATATAGCTTATATCTTTATAACCTTTTTAGAAACAATGTTATATATCATTCTCTCTCTATTGCATAGGAAAACGTCACGAAAAGAGAAATTATTTGAAAGAAATAAGTAAAACAAAGGCTATTTATTATCACCAACTTTCGTCTTCCGCAATTGTTGGAAAAGTGAAAAAAAAAGTTTTTGTTTGGCGCCACTTGGATACTGACAGCGACAACAAACAACAGCGTCTCACTCTCTTTACATATATATATCGTTACAGAACAAGAAATATGGTAAGATGCGTTCTATTGTTACGTAATCTGAAGTGGGAAAGGTTATCCAAACGGAGTATTCTTTATTGAAACGAACTGCCTCATTCATTCATAAGCATCAAAGTACCAAAACTTCGAAAATAATGTCAGCTGCTATTGTCCTATCTGGCCCAAGTGGTACCGGTAAGTCTACATTACTAAAGAAATTGTTTGCTGAATTTCCTAATAATTTCGGTTTCAGTGTATCTTCTACTACTAGAAATCCAAGAGAAGGTGAACAAGATGGTAAAGATTACAATTTTGTGACTGTTAACGATTTCAAGAAGATGATTGATCAAGATAAATTTATCGAATGGGCCCAATTTTCCGGGAATTACTATGGTACCACTGTAGATTCCGTTAAACAAGTCATGGATTCTGGTAAGACTTGTATTCTGGATATCGATATGCAAGGTGTCAAGAGTGTCAAGGGTAAGCCTGACTTAAAAGCAAGATTTTTATTTATTGCTCCACCATCTGTGGATCATTTGAGACAAAGATTGGAAGGTAGAGGTACTGAAACCGAAGAATCCGTGTCTAAGAGATTGGCTGCCGCCATTGCTGAACTTGAATATGCCGAAACCGGTGCTCATGACCAAATCATTGTCAATGATGATCTTGAAAAGGCATACCAAGAATTAAAGAAGTTTATCTTTGAAAATTGAAGGAGAAAGGGATGACTGGCAGACAACTAAACAGTCGTTATAATTAAATATAATTTTTAGTACTATATACCAAAAAAAATCACGTAATATTATTTTTTTTTAAAAAAAAAATGCATCTAGATCTTTATGAAAAAATATCAATATTATCTTGTAATTACACCTTGTTAATTATGTGATAAGAATATCTAATAATCTAGATTCATTTCTTATCTTACAAAAAAAATATTGATTAAAATAATTTTGAAACCTTACTGAGTAGTAACTCATTCGTTTCTCGTCATTCTGACTGACCCTTGTAATTGGAGTACATACCATTTTAGCCCATATCTATATCTCTGTATCAGGTACTTTCACGTTGTATTACAACTTACTAAGTAAACGAAGATTTCCAGGTCGTCGAGGCCCTCAACATTTGAAAAATTAACGATCGCTCAGATATTCCCGCAGCGTAAAAAAGAAATCGTTTTGTCTCGCTTCGTTGCCTGTGGTAACGAAGTCTATAATTACCAAATCTTCCTGTTTTGTTTGCTTTTTTTTGTCGATGGATGGGATGAGCAAATTATGAAATAAAATGAAATGATTAAGTAATCACTGGGGAAATCAGAGCTGGTTCTGGAAGGATAGTTCCCTCCCCTCGTTCTTTTAGGCTGTGACAATCGGAATAATTACTAAGAATAATACCGTCTCTAATTCTTACTTTTTTCACAAAAAAAAGGTCTATAACTTGGCATCTTAAATTATAATTCAGAAAAAAAGGTTGGAAAATTATGACATATATAAAGGACAAACAGGATGATCAACGAACCTTAAAGAAATAGTAATCTTTTTCTTCCTCTTACATGTCATAAAATATAGACAAGCCAATCAACAAGATATTAAACGATTTTGTTAAGTATCTATTAAAACAAGATTCTAAAAAGTCACACATTATTTTTAAAATAAACACCGCAATAATGATCGCTCAAGTTCAAAAACCAGCTCCTACCTTTAAGAAAACTGCTGTCGTTGACGGTATGTTTGAAGAAGTTTCTCTAGATCAATATAAGGGAAAATATATTGTTTTAGCATTCGTTCCAATGGCTTTTAGTTTCGTATGTCCAACTGAAATTTGTGCTTTCTCAGATGCTGCTAAGAGATTTAGTGATATTGGTGCACAAATCATATTTGCTTCTACTGATTCTGAATATTCCCTATTGGCTTGGACCAACATGCCAAGAAGCGAAGGTGGTTTAGGCCCAGTTAGTGTCCCATTAATATCCGACAAAAACTTACAATTGTCTAAGGACTATGGTGTTCTAGTTGAAGAAGAAGGTGTCGCTTTAAGAGGGTTATTTGTCATCGATCCAAAGGGTGTTGTGAGACATATTACTATTAATGATCAACAAGTTGGTAGAAATGTTGAAGAGGCTCTAAGGGTTGTCGAAGGTTTCAAATGGACTGACGATAATGGTACTGTTTTGCCTTGTAACTGGACCCCAGGTTCCGCAACAATTGTACCAGATGTTAAAAAATCTAAGGAATATTTTGAAGAAGAAGCCGAAAAGGCTCAATAGACATCTTGATTTGTGTTTATTTATTTTTTTTAAATTTCCATACTAATAATGTTCATAATAAGAATAAATAATTTTAAATATCCAACTATAAAAAAAAAATAATAAACAAAAAAAAATAGTAGTAAATATAGAAATGTTTTTTTTTACTTTTAATGATAATAGAATTGTTATATGAATTCTAAAACGTCTGTATCAGAACATTTTATTAGGTTCATAGCTATTCCTCGCTATATCCAGAGGAAATAAATGCCCTATCCAAGAATTTGGTCCATTCAGTTGAATCGTCGCACAATTCAACAGCGACGTTCAAATAATCTTTCACTAATAGCGACTTCATACTATAAGGTTTATCGTCAGAAGTATATTCTACCTGAAACTTAAAGGCTTCTGCAGCTGCTTCATCTTTATTTTTTCCATCCTTCAACAAAGATAAATAATTTTTATTTATTTGTTCCAAGTCAGCATAATACTCAATAAACTTGGTTGGAGAAAATAACTGTTCAGTATAGGCAGGACCCAATGGACATTCTGCCGGCTTCTTCTTTGGTATCGTCTTATCGGGTTTCTTCCTTCCACCTTTCTTACCCTTCATGATATTCATCGAATTTCCACTGCTGTCAGATGACGATAGCTCATTATCTATTTTAATCTCCAAATCAGCAAAAAAATCATCCCATGGTTTATAGTCTTCAGTAGTTAAGACTTCATTGTTAATACCGGAAATATTATATTCCCAAATTCTGAAAGATGGGTTGAATGTTGGGATAACAGACCCTGCAATATTCACAATAGAGTATTTTTCGTAAATTTCATCCTTGGTAGGTTTATTCCCTTTCTTTTTCTTATGTTTCTTCTTACCCTTCATGGCATCTGCAGGGATGTCAGAATTGGTATTTTCCTCTTGGTCCTCATCAAAGGGATTCTCAGTCGAACTTGCAAGTTCCAGTTCTTTTTGAATTCCTTCATAATACTCTTCCTTTACCGTGTTCATATAGGACACTTTATTCACTGGTTTTGCACCCATCAAATGTGCTTCACTGGCAGCCTCGGCATACTGATATATATCTAACGGTTGCTGTTTCTCGTTCAACTCATCAAACCAAAAGTTCTCATCCTTGAGACTCTCCAGATCACGTCTTGCCTTCTCACCATCGATAGGAATAAAATGGTCCATATTCATGTGACCATATACACCGCCTACTATAATATCTCTATATTCGTGAGTCCATAATGTGAATTTGTCGTAGCAACTCTTATCGAAATTCTTTGGAATTGGTGGTACGTGACCTGAAAGCCAGACCTTCATATTTCTTTGTCTAAGTTCTTCTAAGGTATAACCTAACCATAGTAATAATTGATAGCCTGGTTCTTTTTTGGAGTTACAGTTATCCACTAGTGGATTAGCTTTGTATAGATACAAAGTATTGATCGATATCACGGCAAGTTTTCCAGGAATGACTTCCTTTAAGTAAGTCACACCCCTATCGAACCAACGTCTTTGTTCTTGAGGAATAAAAACGTCCCATATTTTGAACATTTCCCTGGTTTGTAACGTTGGTCCCAATGAAAACATGTTATGTGGGAAAACATCATTATTTCCCAAACTTGGGACAACCTCTATGTCAAAATCTCTTGGGTCTGCAGTTCTTTTATTCTCAAATATATCACGAAATTTCCCAGATACTATTTCATTCATTTCAAATATCTGAGATTCAGTTCTAGGTATTTGTCTGTCATTATCATGTCTAATATTATCGCCAGTCCAAATAACAAAGTCAATATGACCCCTTAATGTTTCGTTAATCCACTTCAAGGTATATTCCATCAAATCAACAGAGGCATCGCAACCAGACATTGCTTTCCCAAACCGAGGAGCTAATGATGACGACCAATCATTCTTTCCGCCATTCTGGAGATTGGATTCCTCAGTGTCTGGGTGACAAAGGTTCTTGATAGGGGCGTTCTCCTCATAGAACCGATCAGGGTGAATGTCAGTGATATGCAGAAATCTACCGTGCAATCTTCGCTGACTGTTTGTCCTTATGTTTCGTATGTTTATAGGATCTCTAGTCGTCAACCCTAGCTCGATTAGTTTGTTATCCAGTTGACCTAATGGTAACTCCGTATTATTCTTACCTGCATCGATAGTTTTAAAATTAGGGAGTTTATCTAATTGTAAGAATGTATACAGTCCACACAAAGAAACAATGAGTGAACCTAATAAAATGGTGTTTTTTCTTTTAGATCTGGTTTTCATTATTGGTCTTTTTTGTACTTCTTTCCTTACAGCCATAGATGAATATTGCATTAATTAATATCAGTGGAAAAGGGTCCTATAAAATCATCAAAATATGAAAAATACAGAGTTTTAATAAAATATTCTATCGGTACGTTTGATATGTGTGTATCTACCACAGATTTTTAATCAGTTAGTCCCCTTATAAAAATGGCTACTTGCTTAAAGAGATATTGTTTTGTTATATTAAGTTATGTATGCTTACTCCCTCCTTTTCCTAAGGTCCCCCACGTTCTTCATCATTTATAACCGCAATTTCACGACATTTAGGTGATTTACGCACCCGCGCTGATTACGTAGAAAAGTTTGACTATAACGTAATTAAGTCAATTAAAATTTATGATAATAAAGGGAAGAGTTACAATATATTATATAATACAATGAAGTAGAATAAATGTAGATGGGAATTGAAGATGGGAAATTGATTATTATTAAGTCTAAATAATATATTTCTGTCTAAAGATAAAGTATGTAATATTTGTAATAAACTACAGGGTGAAAAAAATAGGAAATCGTTTGCAATAAACAATATACTATTTTTAAGTTTAAGATCTTCTTCTACCAGTGGTCTTGGTGTGTTGACCTCTGACACGTAGACCCCAGAAGTGTCTGACACCACGGTGGGCTCTGATCTTCTTTAATCTTTCCAAATCGTCTCTTAACTTAGATTCGACTTGGTTAGCTAGAGCGTGGTAGTCCTTACCGTCAGCAATATCTCTTTGACGGTTCAAAAACCAAGCTGGGATCTTATATTGAGTTGGGTTTTGCATAATTTGAACAATTCTTTCTAGTTCTTCTTGGGTTAGTTCACCAGCTCTCTTGTTCAAGTTGACATCAGCCTTCTTACAGACAAGGTTGGAGTAACGACGACCAACACCCTTGATGGTAGTTAGGGCGTAGACGATCTTGATGTTACCATCGACGTTGGTGTTCAACAAACTGTATAAAATATATTTCAAAATGAAATAGTTATTGTTAGTAAATCTTGTTATTATGTTTTTTCAAGTCGAATTGCCGTAGGATATATGAAACATTATATTTTAAGATCAAACGTAAGAGGTTAGTCTTTCTACTCATGGAAGTATTTCCCTGTAAGGTTACTATTATAATGTCAGTTAACATCTAAATCATATTTTAATTATTTTCCACAATGTATTTTGATTCTCGATGAAGTATCTTTAAATTATAACGTTGAATGTCCTTATTGTATCTCTTGTCTATCATGATCTTTCTTCTATCTTTTAATATAGACTAAAAATATATCTTTTCCTCATCGATATTTTTTTTGAAGATATTCAAAATTTTATTATATTTTATCTTTAATTACTCATTCCATTATTATAAAAAAGATTCAAGCCTCGATTCATAGACATTTGTTACTCATTTCTCATTATTATATTATCTTGACCTATAGCTGGCTATGTTTATCATAAATCCTTTTTCTTATTTAATATTCATTAACATACCGCAAAATGTGTTGGAAAGAACCTTGTTCTTGGACGACTAGAGACATTTTTAGATGATTATCTTTTCAATTCGATCAAGATAAAATAACTATAAACAAAATATAGTACCAAATTATAGAGATTAGCTCTAATATCTTAACGATTTTTGATATAATACTTACAATACATAATACGCCTAAAGGTACTCAAAGTTTACCACTGCACTGTATGGATAGTATGGGTATTGCCATCAAAGCAATAGCCAGTACGGACCATGCCTAACCTGGAAATTTTACACACATTGAATGAAGACTGCACTATCAAAGCTAAAACGATGGGATGATCAGGTTCACCATTACTCGATGGGACAAAGTGACGAAAAGTCATCCAGCATCCGGTAGGTTCCCACGAAATACTTTGCAAGTTAGAAGGGAATCTATCCCTACCCTCAGTAATATTATCTGCCTAGAAATTTGTTGAGCGGGCTCACTTATTTTGGGGGAGGTGGGGTGCGTTCAGAAGTTTTTTACTCTAGGCTTTCAGAGAGGAAAAAAAAAAAATAATTACAAAAATACTCCGGAAAACTAAATTTATCATTAACCAAAACAAATGTATGGGTTTTAAAATAAGTCGTCACAAATACATTTGCAAGATAATCATATTTATATTTAACACGATTTTCAAAGACGATGAAAAACCAAGAAGCTGATCCACTGACTTTCGAAACACACGAAAAATTATTGAGTTTTATATATGGTATAAGATGTATATATAATGGGAAGACGGAGAGTTGGCACTCATTGCAAATTGTAAGAATTTATGTAAATTCATGGTAGGAAACAGGTTAAAGTATCCTTATATTTTTTTTATTCTAACATTATCTTTCCACATAAACCGTACCATCTGTTAATTATAGGCGTAAAATGGCCTATGTACGGCATGTAGACAGTTTTTGCAAACTCATTGAGATGTATCTTAACTTCTGTCTCTTTCAGTTTGAATATAGAGGACAATGAAGTTTTCGGAAAATACAGATTTGTGTTTCCAACTTTATCCCTTAAATCTTAATATATTATGCAGTTACGTATTGCTTTTTGTTGGATTACAGAAACATAACCCTTGGTCTAAACTCTTCCTTAATTTCTGATTGCTTTATATATCCTCTATAACATCAGCTTGGTTGTAATTATTGTATAGTACGTTGTTTTCTTAGCTACATATGCTCATCGCGGATTTCAAATGTAATATTCGGCAGAAGTGAAAATTTTATTAAAATAAAATATTTTTGGAGCTCATCGATACTGATACAAAAGAGCCACTGTATAAAGAACTATATTGGCATTTACAAGAAAGTAGTAATACTATTAAAAATCATATCAAGCCATAATGTCATCCAAAACTAGATATTATCTGGAACAATGTATTCCAGAATTAGATGATTTAGTAGACAAGAAGCTATTTACAAAAAATGAAATCTCCAAAATCATGAGAAAAAGAACTGATTTCGAACATCGTTTGAATTCCAGAGGGTCCAGTACTAATGACTATATGAGATATATTGCATATGAAAATAATGTGGAAAATCTACGTAAGAAACGTGTGAAAAGAATTTTACAAGCAGGTAAGACAAACAGTATATCAGATTGGTCTATTGGTCAAAGGATTATATTTATTTACCAAAGAGGAACGAATAAGTTTCCTCAGGACTTGAAATTATGGGCAATGTATTTGCAATACTTAAAGACTAGAGGTGCGGAAACGTCTTATAAGAAAATACATACTGTATACAATCAATTATTAAAACTACACCCGTCCAATGTGGACGTATGGATTAGTTGCGCTAAATATGAGTATGAGATCCACGCCAACTTCAAGAGTTGTAGAACAATTTTTCAAAATGGTTTGAGATTTAATGGTGATTCTGCCAAATTATGGTTCGAATATGTGAAGTTTGAATTAAACTTCATTGCAAAGCTATTGAATCGTAGAAAGGTCATGGGATTAATTAATGAAAGAGAACAAGAATTGGATATGTTGAATGATGAAAACAAGAATGGAACAGAAGATGATAGTATTAAATTGCCAAGTACTGGTGATGCTATGAAGGACAAATTAAACCAATTACCTGAAGCAGATATGAATATGTTAGGTAACACCGAAACAAACCCAGCTCTTCGTGGCGATATTGCTCTGACTATCTTTGATGTAGCTATCGAAACTCTAGGGAAATATTATGTTAATAAGCACAAGGGGTATTATGTTGGTACAAACACTGATTTCGAACAACAATTGAATAAGGATGCTGTTGATGTATTGTTTAAAAAATCAATGGAATATATTGCTTTGTTCGATAAGTTTACTGATTTAGATAGATTATATTTGATAAACCATGTTATGCAGTTCTGGAAAGGTGATCATTTTGGTATTAACCTGGAGGCAGATTGTCCTAAATTATACATGGAGACGGTATATTTGGATATTATATTAAATATAAGATATATGACTGTGGAGAACCTAGATATTGACCAATTACAGATGTCTGTTAAGAAATACATGGCATATTCTGTTAAGCTGAGTCCACCCGTTTTGAAGTCAGTCCAAGCTAAATACAAGGAATACATTAAGGAAACATTCTTGGATGCTATGGAAAAAGAAAGTGATCCAAGATTTAGAATATTAGAAATGATATACAATAAATTATAAATTAGATAAATATAGTACTAAATATTAGAATTCTTTTGAACAAAAAAAATTATCATTATATAAATAAATATGTGTTGGTTCATTTATATTGTATTTGCGACTCTAGTGATATTAATATCGCTACTGTTTTTTTATTGTTTTGAAGTTCCTGATTTCTCAAAAATCTTCGTATGCATATTGATTTTCGTTATATTTTTACAATGTTCCTGTTTGATTGAAAAGTCTTTGATCCTTATTGAAAGGAATTGAAAGAAAAAAGATTACATCCAATTCTGAGTTTGGAAGAAATCATAAATCTTATTTCCTTTCATGGGATCAATATTGAGTAATTCTCTGCAAGATTTCTTTTTCAAGTTACCACCTGTACGTAATAACTCTCTGAAAATCATTTCTTTAATGGCAAGGTATGGTTTTGGTAATATTTTTAATTGCAGACAGAGTTGTTGTTCCTCATTGGATAATAGACCAAAGTCACTACCGTGTTGAATATCACTGATCGTAAGAGTCTTTTTACGATTAGAGTTTGATTGATTGTCGTTGTGGTTGTGGTTGTTATTGTTACTGTTAATGGTTGTTGCTGTGGCAATTGGAGGAGTTGGATGGGACGTGGTAGTCCTTCCATGCCTTGTACTTATAGGACCTGAATTACCATTAATGTCACCATTACCAATTTTCTCTAGTGTAGCAATCCTTGCCTGCTTATCTCTTTCATATTTGAGACCAGCCTCCATAGCGGTTATCCCATTCCTTCTCCATTCTTGTAATTGATGTATTCTAGATCTACACCTCATCTCTTCTAATATATCTTTACTAAATTCTTTGAAATCCTGTGCAGACATCAAAGTAGCATATGGTTTGATCTTATTGTATAAATCCTTAACTTCTTTACTTCTCTTTTTATCTATACCTTGCAATTTTCTATATTCCATTAAATTATTTTCAAATAATAATCTCTTCTTTTCAGTTCTAGAAGTTAATCTCGAATTATAGATATCTAAGATAGCAAACTTCAATTCAATATCCAACGGTTGATCATCTGGTTCAAATACCATATCTTTCACCGGTCCTTCTGCTTCATTTTCAAATTCGGTCTCAAATTCCAATCTACCAGGCATAAACCCTTGGACTTCATGACAACTTGGAACAGAAGCCAACGGTTTCCTTGGTGGTTCCAATGGCTTATCTCTAAATGCCTCTATACGTCTCTTTCTGGCATCCAAAAATTCATCCTGTGGAACATGAATGGACTTTGTAATATCAGGAATTGGATAGTATTGACTGTCCAGATAAAAAATTTGGTAATGTTCTGCTACTTCTTCTTTAGTTCTACTACCTATATGTTCCGCTATATCCTGCCAATTCCCAAGACCTAAAGTCTGCGCACCTTTAATTAAAGATAATTCTTCATCTGCACCCCAATCTTCACTTAATATAGGGTATGAGTTTGTTTCAATGATCCTATAGTCATGAAAAGGCCTATGATTACCATTGTATAAACCTTGGGAAAAACATGGCACACATAGATCATATTCGGGACATACTGCACATGATATTCTTACACGATTTGTACAATCAGACGAACACACGTCACAATGAAACTTATTTGACATGACAAAAAACACTTTTCAAAATAAAAATGTATCTACCCTTAAAATTACAACCCAAAAAAATATTACCTAGAAGTGTTATTAAAAAAAATGAAAAATGCAAAAAAAAAATGAAGATGTATGTGCTAGTAAAATATCCGTTTTAATGTTAAATCGCCATACAAAGCACGCGATCGATATATTTTTGGGAGATAGTATTAGTGTTAAAACAGAAACGATATATGTTTAGTTGTCTTCTATCAAATAAAACTAATATATTAATAAATCAATAATCAATTATTTTCTTAAAGTTTCGATTTATCTGTAACAGCCGATCCCTTATTTGATATATTTACGTAAAGTGTCAAATTGCGTATCTGTTTGTTTGTTTGTTATTGTTGAACCGTTGGGTGGGTGACTCTGACTCTCTCGTTTCAATATTAATTTTTCCATTTTTTGTTTATTCTTTTTTCTTCTTTGATAATTTTGAAAACTGAGCTATTCCGTAGGTTACCCTGAATATAACAAAAGTATTTAATTTTGACTGTACACCCATACACCCCTCATTACACCCATGCATTTATCTCAAAAATTTTAGTTTATTATTTTTTGGAATATTTGAACTATTTTTTTCTTTCAGCAGTGAAATTTTTCCTTCGGGCGAGTAACAGGAATCCAATCATAGGAGATATGATATACCGATTATGTCATTTTAAAATAAAACTAGACAAGATTTAAATATATCATTTTATTAAAAACGTTTAAAAAATCATTTGAACATTGTTTAAAATACCAAAGACCGACATTCACAATAAACTAAACACATAATGGTATGTTTAATATAAGTTATATGTGAAGGAAGAAATATGGTCGTTTCAATTCCAGGTATATTTGGTAATCTGATATTATTGATATGCTCAAGCTATTTCTCTTTAAATTGGTAATACTCTTTGGAGATGGCGTGGAATAATTTTATTATCCTATAATTCTATAGATTGCTTAATTGCGTATTTATAGAGCTAGATTGTCACAATTTACTTCGTTTATTTGACAATGGATATTGATTGTACAGCTAGGGGACGAATATTTCTAATCCTTAAGCGACAAATGTTCATTCCTATTTATTAGGGGTGGATTTCTATATTTGTTGTGATCTCATTTTTTTATATATTTCTTCAATTTTACTAACTATTAGAAAGTGATTCACCGAAATAAATGACTACATGCATTGTCATTATATATTCCGGTTGTATTCATTGTTATATTTTAAAAACAGGGTAGAGTTAGAACTAAAACCGTCAAGCGTGCCTCCAAGGCTCTTATCGAACGTTACTATCCAAAGTTGACTCTAGATTTCCAAACTAACAAGAGACTTTGTGATGAAATCGCTACTATCCAATCCAAGAGATTGAGAAACAAGATTGCTGGTTACACCACTCACCTAATGAAGAGAATTCAAAAGGGTCCAGTTAGAGGTATTTCCTTCAAGTTGCAAGAAGAAGAAAGAGAAAGAAAGGATCAATACGTTCCAGCTGTTTCTGCTTTGGACTTGTCTCACTCTAAGGGTGTCTTGAACGTCGACAAGCAAACTGCCGAATTAGTTAAGGCTCTAGGTATGAAGCTACCATTATCTGTCATTAACGTTTCTGCTAACAGAGAAAGACGTTTCAACAAGAGAGCTTAAGAAAGTTAGAATAGTAGAGGACGATAATTAAAGTTGTAAAAAGATCAAAATAGATTTTTTTTGAATTGTAGAATAGAATCTGCAGTAGTAGGGAAATATTTCTTATATAATTGGTTACTGTCCTCATTCTGTCTTGTGTTAAGACTCGAATTGTATATGTAAATTATAAAATATAAAATACAATAAATAAACTCATACATAATAATAATCTTCTTTTTATGATACTTTTCGATGATATGCATATATATTTAAATGAAAGCAAAAAAAAAAAGGGGGATACCTAGCAAGAGATAACTTGTGATATGTTATAATAAGTTCAATATATCGTTGCCAATAACCTTGATCCTGTCCAATTTCTCGTCTAAACTTTTCTCACTTTGCATTAGATAATCGGAATTATCATTAATTAATTCAATTATAATTCTAAATTTGTAACTTAACTCGATTCTGAGTTGAACTAATTGTTTTGTCAACTCGAGATGTCGATTGTTTAATTCCTCACCATAGTTGATCCATTCGTCTAGCGATCTATCAACTTGTCCTTTACAAAACGATAAATCTTGTTCATCGTCCAAGCCTTCGAATACCTCTTTTAAAAGATCTGAAGTGCGAGAGGAAATTTCCTCGTCGTCTATTGGATTAATATCAAACAATAAATTCTTCAATTTTTTAAGTGCAAGAGGGTTTTTTGGTATGGTATCACATTTATTCAGGTCTTGATATTGAGTAGATGTTTCTTCCCTCGTAGGAGTCAATAGATCTTTCGATTTTTTAAGTTGAGACTCATCCTTTCTATGTTTCTTTAGCGAGGAAGATAATGACGACGATGAAGTAGCCGTCGTCTTTTCAATTCTTGAGTGGGAAAGCTTCTCAGAAGTTTTGTTTTCTTTAGAAGGTTTATTTAAGTCGTTATTGGGTTCCCTTTTGACAAAATTTGTTGTAACCTTCTCTGGGGTATTGATTCCGGGTTTTAGTGGAATCTGAATGGGATCAGTACTAATCAAAAAACTTTTCAATTGATTAAGATTATTTCTTTCAGCAACAATTGTAGAGTTTCTCCTCTTAGACTCATGATTTTTCATTTTTTCTGTCTTTGGACTGTTTCCAGAAGAAGAATTTGAACAAATGGCCACCGAGGAATCATTATGTAAATATTGTGAGTTGATTTCGATATCTGGTTCAGGTTTCACAAATGAGTGCATGTAGAGGATATTTGTCGGTCTTTGTAATTATGTTATGTCTTTAAAACTATATAATTTTACAAATTATTAAGATATTGTAGGATATCCTCTATTTCAATTAAATCCTGAAGATATGATTAAATAGCCGCCAACAAGCGCTGTATGTTTAGTATTTCGGCTCGGCAATAAAACCATCCGCAAATATATTAGCCCTTTTTCAAGAAAACATGCAGTAATCAAACATACAGTAATTATTTTTCCAAAATATGAGATAATATGAAAGATAAAATGCATTTTGATAATTATGCGGCATATTATTAAGTCCACAGCCATGTATGTTCTATTACTTATCAGGGATTATTTAGTCACTAGCTCCCCAAATTAGTCAAAAGTTCGGTGTGCAAGGTCAATTTATCACGTGCCCGCTCATATCTTTTGGCTTATAATGGAATAAGTATCAGTACCTGCTGGTAAATAATTGTACTGCTCGGGAAAATCGCCTCGTTGATAAAAATGCATATGCACCACACACACACGGCACAAAAATTTTTCACTCATGATCGATAAAGTGTGAGCCCGATATTGTTTAAGTCAGCGAAATATACTTCCTGTGGTTAAGCGATGCAATCGTCTCCCCGGTACGTTTTTTATGTCAACTTCGTATATATATATATATATATATATATGTTCAATGAATTTCAAGTTTTTGAATATTTAGTTATTTTGCTTCTCAGATTTGTTACTAATTAAAGTCCACCAAACACCCCGCCAATTCACATCATCATATAATTATGTCATACGATAAGAGACACGACGTTATCGATCTAGTTGGTAACACTCCATTGATCGAACTTAAAAAGCTACCAAAGGCCCTTGGTATTAGACCAAGAGTCTTTGCAAAGCTTGAGTTATACAACCCAGGTGGTTCTATTAAGGACCGTATCGCCAAGTCTATGATTGAAGATGCTGAAGAAAAAGGTATAATTTCTCCAGAGAGAACCACTTTGATCGAACCAACTTCTGGTAACACTGGTATCGGTCTTGCTTTGATTGGTGCAATCAAGGGTTACAGAACTATTATCACTCTGCCAGAGAAGATGTCCAACGAAAAAGTTTCTGTTTTGAAGGCTCTAGGTGCTGAAATTATTAGAACCCCAACTAATGCCGCTTGGGATTCTCCAGAATCTCACATCGGTGTTGCCAAGAAACTTGAAAAAGAAATTCCAGGTGCTATTATTTTGGATCAATATAATAACAAGATGAACCCAGAAGCTCATTACAGAGGTACTGGTAAGGAAATCCAAGGTCAACTAGAAGAATTAGGTCTATTCAACAAATTGAATGCCGTTGTTGCTGGTGCTGGTACCGGTGGTACCATCACTGGTATTGCTAAATACATCAAGGAACAAGACCCAAAGATCCAGATCGTCGGTGCTGATCCAGTCGGTTCCATTCTTGCTCAACCAGAAAACTTGAACAAGACAGACTTAACTGAATATAAGGTTGAAGGTATTGGTTACGATTTCATTCCAGACGTTCTAAACAGAAACTTGATTGACACATGGTACAAGACTGAAGATAAACCATCCTTTATCTATGCTCGTGAATTAATCTCTAATGAAGGTGTTCTAGTTGGTGGTTCTTCCGGTAGTGCTTTTGATGCTTTAATGAGATATACTGAAGATCACCCAGAATTGACTGAAGATGATGTTCTTGTTGCTATCTTCCCAGATTCTATTAGATCATACCTAACCAAGTTTGCTGATAACGAATGGTTGAAGAAGAACAACTTATGGGACGACAAGGTTCTAGCCAACTTTAACCATTCAAAGAAGACTACCAACTCAAGTGCATCTGATATTTTCAACGGTGCCACTGTCAAGGATCTACATTTGAAGCCAGTTGTCTCTGTCAAGGATGATGCCAAGTTTGCTGATGTCATTAAGATTCTAAGAGATAACGGCTTTGATCAATTACCAGTTTTGACTGCCAATGGACATTTGACTGGTTTGGTTACATTGTCACAATTGTTGAAGAAGATCTCTACAGGTGTAGTGACCAAGAACGATTCTATCCACGGTACATATCTTGATTTCAAGAAACTAAACGATTTTGACGCCGTTTCATCTTACAATGACAACAAGTCTGGTAAGAAGAAGTTTGTCAAGTTCACTGAGGACTCTACTTTGAATGATCTAAACAAATTCTTTGAAAAGAGTTCATCTGCCGTCATTACCGATGGTCTAAAGCCAGTTCATATTGTCACCAAGATGGATTTGTTGAGTTATCTAGCTTAAACAGCACGTATAGACCAACTGACTTGACTGACAACCACATCATATACATCCGTTAAATCTCACTTCACATACATACTTCCATTCATATATTTGTATAAATTAAAATAAATTTCAAATTGAACTATATATTGAAGTTCAGAAGATATCTGAATAAAAACTGAACATATAAAGAAAACCCTTCTTAGAAAGGTTCTGTTACTCTTTTGTATGGTCGCTGTACACGAGCGAAATCACGGCGCGCTGCGTAGCCCTAAACAATCGAGAAATATAGTATAGAGAATAATATTTATCTAAGTACGTCTATCTATAATATAAAAGTATTCAAATAGTTTTCAAGAAGTGAGGATGTTCTAATTAAATAGGAAAGTGTACCACAGAAAACCGAAGTGATTAGGAACAGAAACACAATGTCGGTGGATCCCAGAAGAAGACTGAGCCGTCATGAATTGACACCTGAAAACCTGCAAACATCTTTACAAGTCAGTAATTTACCTGCAGAATGGGCCGCAGAGACTGTCTCCTCTATCGTTGCAGGTTCTGGTATAATAGTGAAAGTAACTCCTAAATTTGATCCACGTACTGATAAGCTTATGAATGTGACATATGATTATTCTAATAGTAGGGAATGTGAAGATGCTTATTCATTATTAACTAATATAGATAAATTACCATGTACCATAGAGAAAACAATCCCTAGTGACTATAAAACAAAACTCAAGGCCATTGAACAGGGTCAGACTATAGATATGCCTGAGATTGAATTGAATAGGGACTCATACCCATGGGATCTAGGTTTAGAACTCCCATTCCAAATGGTAACAAATGTGCCTATACCTAGAAGACCACCTGTCGGTGTCTCTACTACCACGAATGCGACAGTAGTAACCCCAGCAACGAATATGACATTCCCAGATATTTTAAGTAAAGCATCGAAACATTTACCTGCATTAACACCAGATGCATTAAGTACAAATGATCCCACAGGTATTTCAAACAATTTAAGTAAAATTGCACCTTTACAATTGATAGAGATGATATCTAATTTAAAGATATTAGCGAATCAACCAACTACAAAATACTCACAGATTGAAGATTTCCTATTAAATAATAATAAAGATATTACAATTGCAGTATCACAAGCATTATTAGAAATGGGATTTATAGATTATAATGTAGTAAATTCTATTTTGTCAGGGCAGCCTGTGACTACGAATCAAACAACGAGTGTTCCGCAACCACAACCAGTACCACAACAAATACAGCAAGCTCCTATTCCTCAACCTCAAAATCAACCTCAAAATCAAAGTCAAACACAACAAGCACCTGTACAAGAATCTGTCTCTGTAACACCACCTCCTCAAACTACTCGACGTCAAATTAATGAGTCCAAATTATTAGCAGCACCTGATAATCAACGTGAGATGATCAGACAAGTTTTAACATTGACGGATGCCCAATTAGAACAGTTACCTACTGCACAACGTAGCATGGTTGAAGGTCTTCGTAAAGAATATCTGGTATAGGTTTTTTATGACCCATAATAGAAATGATTTAAATGGTGATTTATTATTTGTCACATCTACAACGTTGAGATATAATATCCCATATAAATGATATTAAGAAATGAAAAGGAACCGTCACCATTAAACTTACAGTATATGAATTATACATTTTCTTCTATTTACATAATATTACTCTAGCATAATTATCTTTATACAATATATATGTGTGTGTGTGTGTGTGTTTACAGTTTGTTGTTATCAGAATGAACATCCCTAGTCATTAATAAACATATCCAACATTCCTTTGACTCACTAATCCTATATGGCTCATATTAACTAAGAACTCACATAAGCAATTCCTATTTCTCACTCCAGAATGTTCTATCTAAATTAAATATTAATATGCACCCTGTAAGCGTTAAATAAATGCTCAACCATCTACCATTCGCCAACCGGCAATTCCTTTAACCATTCGGAGATTCTACAAATGATCTCTCTTTCTCTCTCAATTATTAATAATACTTTAAAACGGAGAAATTGCCGTGCCAGATATCCGTATTTTTTTCCCCTGTCAAGTTAATTCAAGAATAATGCCGTTTGTGTGTTTTCGTCATAAATTCAATTTAAATTCAGATTAAAATTCAAACATTAGAGATAATAATAAGCAAATAGGAATAATGATACAACGTTCTCAATCCTGCTTGTTTTGCAGTTTGAAATTTTATTGTATATGATTCGTCATTGTGTTTTTGACTACTAGTAGTTTCGTACATGTAACGCTGGTTCATTAATTTTTTAGGGCGTACAGAACGGCATATAATAATATGCCGTCTGTGTATATACAATATTTACTATTATTGTTACTATTATTATTAACTCTTGATTTAATGATTGAAATTACTAAGAGGTATATACTCCATCTTTCAATAATATATATTCTATTGCCGTATGTGTATGATTAGATAATAGAATTGTAATAAATCAACAGTTCATGCTGGCATGTGAAGTGAACAATACAAAAATATATATATAATAGACACGCGTATAGATGTAGGTAAATACGTATATAAATATAAAGTCATTTCAACAACTTTTGTTTGTCTTTTTTCTTAATAAATTATTCTTATTTCACTTGTATATCTATCCTCTTAATTTTTCACATTCTAGAATATTTAAAATAGATAAATTAAAAAAATCAGAGTCTCGATAATTTTAGTAACGCGGGTGGTGAACTAAAGTACGGAATTAGGGGTTAGTAATTAATAATAATAATAATTTCAATTTTATTAGAATCATCGCAATTTCAATTTTTATTAATTTATTTATATTTAAGGACAGAAGTTTTGGTTTCTCGAGATAATGTCACAAACAATCACTGATACAGTTCCTTCAACGGAACTATCAGAAGTAGATATGGCTACATTAGCAAAGACAAGATCCTCTGGGATTTCTTTTGTGCCACCAGAGACTCATGATATGGTAAGATCTCTCTTTGATCCTACTATTAAAAAATCATTTCTAGAATTATGTATTACTTCTGCTTTATTATTCAACTTCGTGGTTGCTTATTTTAGTGTTCAATGGTTTGGTAGATCATTTACACGTAAATTATACATTTTGCAATATGTATTTTGGAGATTATGTTATAATGGTGGTATTGGTATTGTATTACATTACCAATCACATTATGAAACTTTAACAAAATGGGCTAAAAAGTCACAAATTTTTAATAAAAAAAATTCTAGTCTTTTAGGACGTTTTTTACAATTCGAAGTTGGTGCAAAATTACCTTCAAAGAATAAAATTTATGAATATCCACCTGAATTAACTACTTGGTTGTTATTTCGTCAATTCGTTGATTTGATTTTAATGCAAGATTTTGATACTTATATCATTTTCGTATTTTTATCTTTACCTGATACAAATTTATCTGTATTATTTAATTGGAAATCAGTATTAGGTATAGTATTAATTCTTTTCAATGTTTGGGTTAAATTAGATGCACATCGTGTGGTTAAAGATTTTGCTTGGTATTGGGGAGATTTCTTCTTTTTACAAACAAATTCTGAATTGGTATTCGATGGGGTATTTAATATTTCCCCGCATCCAATGTATTCTATTGGTTATTTAGGTTATTATGGTCTTTCTTTAATTACAGGTGATTATCAAGTACTATTAGTCTCAATATTAGGCCATTTCTTACAATTTTTATTTTTAAAATATGTAGAGACTCCACATATTGATAGAACATATGGTCAGGCTAATGATAATGTTATTAATGGTAATACTCCAGCCACAATTGATGATTTAATCGCTAAAGAAAATTTCGATTATTCAAGACCTTTAATAAGCACTGGTATGTGGTTAACCAATTTTAATAAATTAAGAATTTCAGACTATTTTACTGTTACAACAGTCTTAACAATTGTAGCTTGGTATATTACATATTCTCCAACGCGTTTGACACTGTTCTTCTTAACATTTTCAATCAAATTTTTGGAGTGGGTTATAGTCGGTACGATTCTTTATAAACAATCAGAAGATAAATGGTTTACAAAATTATTTATGAAAAATGGTTATACTCAATTGTATTCATTTCAACAATGGCAATTTATTTACAATTTTTCATTGGTCCTTTCATACACTCTTTTAACCATTCAAACAATTAATAATGTTCGTATGATACCATTTAAGGAAGAAACATACACTCAATTGATATTTGGTTTATTATTATGTGCATTACAAGTATGGTGTGACACAGAAATTAGAGACGCAATCTCTGATTTTGGTTGGTTCTATGGTGACTTTTTTTTATCAAACTATATTACTTCAAGAAAATTGACCTCTGAAGGTATTTATCGTTATTTGAACAATCCAGAAGCTATTCTTGGTGTCGCCGGAATTTGGGGTACTGTATTGATGACAAATTTCGCTAAGGACAATATTGTATTAGCAAGTCTATGGACTTTCTCAAATTTTATGTTAGTTAAATTTGTTGAAACACCACATATGGAGAAGCTTTATGGTAGTGAACAAAGAATTAGTGGTGTTGGGAAGACTTTATTATCTTTAAAACCTTTGAAACGTGTCTCTGAGATCGTTGATAACATCGAACATATTATAATGAGATCTATTTTAAATAATAATGAAAATCATCCAGTTGTAACTACAGCTACTACCAGTACACATATGCCAAAGGATCATGATGATTATTCTAAGAGAACCAATAATGCAAAGGATTGGGAGAATGTCATTGAGAATGCAATTAAAAATGTTACCTCTAGATTAACCCCAAATTGTGAATTCGAATTGAATTTAGCAAATGAAGAAGAAGCTTGTTCAGTGGTCCCTGATCCTGTAGAAATAGATTGGAAATTACCAACGGAACTATATAATGATAACGATTGGATTGGTCTCTACAGCGTAATAAGTACGAGAAATAACCGTGAATTCACTCGTGTTCCTTCTTTTGGCCATTGGGTACATACTAAGGATCATGTTGTAGAACATACAGACGATTTTGTTCGTGGTAAGATTGTTTTTGATGCGTTATTATTGTATTATGAAGTTGGAACCTATGAGTTCAGATATCATTCTAAGGATACTCATAAAGTATTGATGATATCCACCCCGTTCCAAGTAAGATTACCACAATTAGACACATCCGATGAAGCAGTTCTAAGAGAGTCATTATTGACATTTTTACAAGCAGCACAAGTTATTAAAGATGAGAAATTCTTCGATTATGAAAATGGTAATAAATATTTCAACATTAAGTCTTTACAAAGAGTTATCAAAAATAGCATTGGTGTAGAATTATCCAATGAATATATTAGAAAGGTAAATGGTGATGTAGACATCATGGCAAACAGAATCTGGGATATAAAGAAAATCTTAGATGAATTAGAATAGTAATTATCAAGTTACTTCAATGTTTTTTCAATATTCAAAAATATAGATATAGATATATAAAAAAATATGATAAATTTTTAATAATTAATTAATTTTAATGGAGAAACGATTACAGATTGCGTATTTAGTAAGAATTTAAAATTATAGTATTAGTATGAAAGATAGTAAGAAGAAAACCGTCTCTATACTTGGAATATTAAATTTATTAGATGTACCTGTTTGTACCACAATCCCTTGAGAAAATATTGGGGAGGATGGAATTATTGATGTCCTAGATTCAGTTCCGCTGGTTGTATGTGGGTATTGGTTGGTACCTGAGGTGTCAATTTCAATATTCTCCTCGATACTAACAGATGGAGTTGGTGTGGTTAAACTCTTTTTAGACATCTTTTGCGCTGATACCGTAGAACTTTTGGTGAAATATACGTTTGATGTTGTTGGATATGGTACGGAAGCAGTGTTTGTAGAACTCACCAAGTTGGTTTCTGTTTTCAACTTATTAGTAACAATTGAAGTAGTTACAACAGAGGTTAAAGCATTGGATAAATTATCTGTCTTTAAAACAGTTGATGTAATTTTAACTGTAGTTGGGATATTTTCTTTGTGAGTTTGGGCTATAAGAGCTACCGAAGTGCTTTCCAGGATATTGAAAACTTGATTTGTGCTAAAAATGTTTTGGGTCTTTGTTACCATAATTGATTTTGTGGCTATACTAGTTTTTGGTGTAATTGTTGTTAAGGTTGCGATAGATGTAGAATTAACTACCTTAGTATTGGTAACTTGAGATGTTTCAGCCATTACAGGCGTCATTAATCTAATGGATGGTTTGACTTGGGCCGAGGTTTGTTCCGTTATATATGTACTAGTGGACTCGAATGTTATAGGTATTATTAACGTTGATGTTTGAATCTTGAGAGATCTATCTGTCACAGTTACTAATTTGGAACTGGTGGTGGTAAAAGGAATAATTGTCTCTAGTGTACTGGTTAGCGTGATGAAATTTGTTACATTTGCGACATTTGTTTTTGTTGTAGAGATTGTTTCATTGACTTTTGACACAGCGGTGTCAGTTGTATAATTAGTAGAAGTGACAGCAGTAGTGAATACTGACGTGCTTGGAATAATCGATATAGATTCAACCTCTTTCATAACGGTAATCACCGCTTCAGTTGTTATTGGAATCAATGTGATTGAGGTTTGAATCTCTGACGAAAGATCAGTAATAATGGTGGTTTGAAAAGCAGTTGTCGTAGTTGGGACTGTAGTTTTATATATTTCTGTATTGGTTACGATGTTGGTTATATTATTTACAATCGTTTGCGTTGTTAAAAGAGTTTCATTCACTATGGAGGTACCTGTTTCTGTTATTGACTTTATGTCTGTAATTAAAATTGTGCTTGTTTCTAACTTTGTAGATGGTACAATTAATGTAGATATTACTTCTTCAAACAGTCTGTTCGTAATATCTGTTGTTACTGGAACTGTTACTGTTGAAGCTAGGACGTTCAGGGATTTATCAGTTGTTACTATGGTTTGTATGGTTACTGAAGTAACTGGGACAATAGTTTCTATTGTATTTGTGAGAGTTGTAAATAGTGTGACATCTTCGGTCCTAGTTAGCGTTATTAGAGATGTCTCATTGATTACTGAGATAATGGTATCTGTAATTAGAGCAGTAGTTGTGATGTGTTCAGTAGTTGAGGCAGTATTGGTAATCGAAATGGTAGTTGGAATAACCTGTGTTGATGTTACCTCTTCGATTAATGTACTAGTAATTTCTGTGGTAATTGGAATTATTTTGGTGGATAAAACAGTACTATGTGAGATATCAGTATTTGTAATTACAGTGGTAGAAACCGAGGTAATTGGTATAATTGTTTCAGAAGTTTTTGTCTCTGTTACAGATAACGTTTGGTATGAAATTGAGATGACAGTACTAGAAATAAGGTTTGTAATATTTTGAGTTGTTTCTATAGTATTAGTTTGATCCTTTATTGAGGTCAAAATTGAGGTTACAGGGATAGTGGTAGACACAGTTGATTCCGTAGTTAAAGTTTGAGTGACATTCATAGTCACCGGAATAACTGTTATTGATGTTATTACCTCTAACGATTTATCTGTAAATATTACAGTAGATATTGATGTGCTAATTGTAGGGATAATTGTTGTATAAGTGTCCGTCTTTAATATTGTACTAGTAACATCTGTTACTGTTGTAAGAACCAGAGTCTGAACTTCAGTTGAGATTGTAAATGTAGGAACGATAGTTGTACTTTCCACGATTTGGGAAACAAATACTGTAGATGTTTCCAGTTTGGTAATATCAGTCGTTTTTGTGACAACGTCAGTTGTCTTATAGACTGACGTTACAGTTTCAGTCATTTCTTGAGTCGTTAAGAATGTTTCGGTTACATTTTCAACAGTGGTAAAAGTTGAAGTTAAGGTTGTTTCAAAAGTGTCTGTTAACGTTGCAACGATGGTAAAATAATTTGTTTCCTGCGTTGTCAGTGTATTAACGACATTACTGGTGATTGTTGTAAAGATGTCAGAAGTTTGTAAGATAATATCTGTAGTAGTGAATTCAGATGTCTTTATATCTGTATCGGTAGTTAAAAATAGACTGGTTTCAGTGGTTAAATCTATGACTGTACTTGTGGTTGGTATTATGGTAAAAACTGTACTTGTACTATTAATGATAGACACCTCTATTTCTGTGGAAGTTATTGTCTTTGTCATTGTTTCGACCTGGGTAGATTTACTACTTTCAATATTAGTAATTGTAATGTAGGATGTTAAAGTTCTATCTTGTGTATCCGTTTCAAAAATTTTATTTGTGACAGTTTTTGTCAGATCAACTGTATTTGTAACCAAATCACTGACAGTAACGTGGTCGGTTAGCGTTACTTCCACGTTACTTGTTTCAGTGAGCGTTACTATTGTTGTAATGTCAGTTGTCGCTGTAACAGTTTTTGTCTCCAGGATAACACTTGTACTAAAGTCTGTTTGGACAATAGTATCTGTATTTTGCTCAGTTTTCACTTCAGTTTCAATAGATGTTTGGGTAACCAACGTTGTTGTGGACTCTGTTTCAGTGATAGTAGCAGTTGCAAGTACACTAACTGTTGTTGTTTCAGTTTCAATGGTTGTTTCGGTAAAACTGACACTCACTGTACCGATATCATGAACTGTAATGTAGGAAGTAACAGTTGATGCAGATACAGTTTCTTGGGCAGGTTGCGGTGTGTTTACAGTTTCAGAGGAACTTAGAGTCGCTAAGGGGATTGAAGTAACTGTAACGCAAGTTTTACAGTATGTTGATGTAAATTGAGATGTGATAGAATATGTTGTTGTATCAGCAGCTACCAAATTCGAGAATATAAGAGCAAATACCCAAAATTTTAAGAAAAACATTTTTATATTCAGATATTATTAACTTGGTATCTGTCTGTTTCGAAATTCTGGTTAATTTTATATTTGCAGTACTATATTTAGTGACCTTTGGATTAGATTATAATATATATATATATATATTTATTTATTCATATAACTGCGTTTAGATCGTTCCATATGACCGAGAGACCTCATGGATGGTCTGTGAAGAATGTGTCTAGAAGTACACATATATCATCACATAGATGGAAATATCGAGTGATACATCAACTAAGATCTCTAAAGGGGTATTACCATCAAACTTATATCCTTTTGAGGTTATTATTTATTGTAAAAATGACTGTATTCTTTGAGGTTCACTAAATTTGTTTCTGTCATCCGAAACTCAAATTTGGGAGGAATTCGTGTACTTACCGCATTGGGTAATTACAATCCTGCCTCTATTGTTATCCCAAGGAATAGAGGGTAATAAGAATTTACAAATTTTTAGCATTGTTGTTTTTCTTTTGGGATGTCATAAAAGAAAACATCCTTATTGTTTTTCAAGTGTGCTTATTTCAAGTATGTAGTTATAGACTGTATATATTCCAGTTCACCTCTCTTCCAGAAGTTAAACAATTTGAAACCTCTGCTATGTAGGTACTAAATTTTCCCTTTCTCATTATTTCATTATTTGGTAATAATCTACGTCTAATTGTTTCATCATTCTTGTCTATCTATATTTTAGTTTGATAAGTCATACATGTTTGCAGTATTACCCAATTATTCGTTTTTATGTTTGTATTATTTTATGTAATTACATTATTCTTATCTTACTCTAGGTTTACATTCCTGTTAATTTCTTTCTTTGATGCTGTTGATGACTTACTCTATATTCCCTTGTTCGGTTAAGTGTTGCTGCCTCATGCTCCTCTATATTCCCCAAACAATGAAGTCAGACATTCCCAGTTCTAAATAGCTTTTGTGTATGGATCAACAATTTCGCCTATTTTTTCCAAGAAATAGTGGGTGAATACATAGTTCGGTATTCGATCAGTAGACGTGATTAAAGCAACCTTTTGAGGAACTTGTGAGCTATTAACCCAATTGCCTATTTCGAAATGTTATTTTTGTTGTAAAAAAAATGAAACGAACTAATCCTTCAAAAAATTTCAAATTCTTGATTCTCTTTGTTGTTTTTTTCAGCTCAGTTAAAAAGAATTCTTTATCCATTACCATTATCCCTTTCTATTTTCGCATTTAGACCATGGAATACCTTTCTAATGTTGATGTAATGCTGAATTAGTTTAATATAACGGAAGTGCGATACGTATGTTTGGTTTGATAATGATTGTCTTATATAAAATTACATATTATACAATTATTTAATTGTTGTATTTAAACAGAATAGAAAGGAGATAAAATACTTTAGATATAATAGAGTATGTTGGTAAATATGCGCCTTTCAAGACTCATTTTTGGTCAATATCGCCAATCCATTTCCAGCATTTAATTATTTCGCCTTGAATTTCAGCTTGGGATGAAGAAATATTGGTATTGTCTTCTTCTAGTTTCTCAATAAGTTGGTCCCATATTTGGTTCTTTTCATTTAAATCTGTAATATCAGATAATATTTCTTCCTTAAGTTGTAAAGTGTGTAAAAAAGGTACACCTTCATCAGAGTTGGCGGTTTTTTTCAAAATGTCTGTAGCTCTCTTAACATAGGTGTCAACTTTTGCTTTTTTCTGGCTATTTTTTTCCCATGATCTTTTTAACAAGAATGAGGAAAATAGAGTGCCAACAACACCCCAGATTGATAGTAAATTTTCGGAACAGAAATTCTTAATCTCGTTGTCATATAGACATGTTAGTGACAATCCCTTTCTAGAGGTAGAACGTAAGTATCCAACTTTTTTTGATGACCCATCTTGTTCTTCACGACCTTCAGAATCTTCTTTAACTTGGAAGTGTTCGATTTCAGGGAAACCTTCTATTTTTTTAAGGGCAGAAGACCATAGTTGGCTGATCTTTTCCTTTGATAATCTAAATTCCTCAGAAATGTCCTCTAAAATGTATTCATACAACTCTTCTTCCGAAATACCACTAATTAGATCATTTTCACCTTTGCCACAGTCAATGGCATTATTTTTAGACCTTAAATATCTCATGGTATGATCTACCACCTTAGTGAACGCTCTCTCTTCTGAATCGTCAGGAACACAGTTACCTGGGATTGGTATTAACCCATCTAGTGACAATGGGGATTGCACATAATTAAAACCTTCCTCACATTCCATTTGTAATTCTGATGAACAAATGGCATTCTTTGGACATGGTAAACATTCTGGCTTAATGGTCTTTTCTAAATATTGATCGATCAGTTGAAGGGTATGGTTCTCAGGGAAACGACCAGTAATCGATTTTAATGGAAGTTCATTTCCACAAAATCCAACTCTAATTTGTTGTTCACGACCCCAAACAGAAAGCAAAACTGCAGAAGCAATTGCTGAAAAATATAAACTCTTTGAAAGTAGTTTTAAAGCACCCTTTAGACACTTCTTACCTTTAGGGTTTTTGTTCTTTTTACTTTCAATCTTATTACCTGTAGCAGTTATATCTTGCGTTGCCTTTTCAACTGGTTCGGTTGTTTCTGGTACCACCTCATTATTTGATGGTTTTTCTACCTTGTTATCGACTGGAATTATTTCTTCCTCAGATTTGACATCAATTGGAACTTGTTCTACTTCAGATGTAGTCTCAACCGAAGGTTGTTCTTCTTCGGACTTAACTTCGACTGAGATACTCTCTGATTCTTGGTCAGCCATGGCATCATTCAATTTCGATTTAAATTCCTCAGAGACTATTAATTTAGTGATATCTGGTGCTTGCGTTCTACGAGTTGGTTGAACAGGTTTTAAATCTGTATCAGTTATGAAAGCATTTTTCTTTTCAGTTTCTGAAAATTGAGTAAATGTTGTGTTTAGGGAATCAGAAGAGAAAGAATTACTTTCAAATTTTTCAATCACCAAAGATTTTTCTGGAGAGCTAGTAATGTCAGTCCTTGAACGATTTTCATCGTGAGTCTTCTTTTGATTCTTTCTTCTCTTCTTCTTTTTAGAACTTTCATCATTAGGATCTGTCGATTTTTTAGATTTTTTTGATGACTTTCTTGGTGAAAGTTCCATCTTGATATCACCATCAACATCAACAATATCAATAGAAATTTGTTCTTTTTTACCTTTTCCAAAGGTTTCTTCTTCTTCTCCCTTCTCTTCCTTCAATCTTGCATCTCTACTTCTCTTCTTCTTCTTTGGAGATTTAACCTTTTCGATGCCTTCAGAACTTGGTCCAACACTTTGTCTTTTCCTCAAATCTCCGATTTTTGGTTTGACAGAAGTATCAAACAATTTAATCAATACAGATTTCTTAGCCTTAGAAGGGTACCCAACATTGTTTTCTGCAAGAATTCTTCTTAATTCTGACACTTTGGATTCCTTGGGATCAAAACCAGACTCTAAGTAATTCATAATTGGTTAATAAATAAATCAAACCGTATTGCGTGCTAACTATAACAAACAAGAGCAAAAATAATAATCTAGTTAAGTAACAGGAGTATTCAAACAAATGTTAGTCGAATATTTAGCTTTAGTAGAGACAGTTTCTTTATGTTGTGTTTTACTTTGTTATATGTTTAATTAATCACATCTGTTTATTGATGAAATATTTTTTTTTGTTTATAATAAACAAACTTAATTTCCCTTTTCGTCCAGTTATCCTTTGACGGGCGTCGCTGTTTTGGGAGGGACACCTCAACCCTAACTATGTCATACTCATAAACGTAACCATATGAAGAAGTTATTAGGACCAAATGGTTATAATAAAGAACATATACATATATTCTTGTATTTATTTGTGTATATGTTTTAGTGTTATGTTTTGTAATACTAAGTATGTTAATTATTGCGCCTAATATTACTTCATTTTAAATATTTAACGAAATTAGGGTTAAAGCTTATTTAACGATTAGGAAACCAAACAACAAAATCAAATATTTCCAAAATTATTAAAATAAATTAAGCTGATAGTAATGGAGAGTAAAATTAAACCGAAGGGTCTAGTAAACATTCGTCCATAATTACACAATCCAATTATTTTGTATATATAAACAGTTCATAGTTTTTATATAAATTCTTACGTTGCTTATTTATCATTATCACCATATGCATCCATTATACAAACATACTCACCTCTTCTTACTTTATCTTTCATCATTTCTATCGATTGTTTATTGACTATGACATTATACTGACCTAATATGCTTTCTAAAATTTCAGGATGCTCATCTTGCAATACGGACTCATGTCGGTTACAATATATATTTGGAATTACCCAGGTTAACATATTATACCCGAATGCATCTTTCAAATTTTCATAAGGTGATCCGATATCCCAGAAATGATAATATTGTTCTCTTGTGATTTCGATTATGAATCGTTTCCTCAATTCTTCGTCCCAAATAGAAATGAAAACAACCTTATTTCTCATCACTTGAGTCTTCATACCCATTACATCAATGGATCTCAAATTATTGCTTATAATATAATAAATATGAGATCCCAATAGTCCAGTAGTAAAAAAAAATCCCAAACCTGCAAGTATTACAATAGTCACCAAATTTCCATCATGATTTCGTTGTTGAAAATATTTTAAATAACAAATTATAGTAGATATCCACATAATACCAAATGTAATAGTGGCATATATCAAAAATTGAAGAAACATTTTATAATTATCTTGCCCAATCACTGACCCCAACCAAGAACAATAATGATCAAATTTGGGAACACATGCATGGGTTGATCTTGAATGATGTGATCTAAATATCTTGACCGAACCACAATAAGGACACCATATTGGATAACCCTGGACATTGCATTCGTAGATATGTGGAGGCCGTATTACCCTTTCATTAGTCTCTTCATTATGGTCATCTATTAGTTCAAAGGTAGGAACCCTGGGTTGAATACCTGGCCCATAGGATACAATTAGAAACCATATATAAAAATCAACCACTAGTAAACAACCATGTGTAACAATCAAAGCAATCCCTGTGGCTCTTTTGCCACTTCTATGATATAACTGATTGATGCATAATTTATGAATGAAGGCCCAACTTCCATAGATTAACAGACATAAAAATACTGTTGGTACTATTAATTTGAAGAATTTATTGTTTCTAATATCAAAGGAACAGTCAAGTTTAGTTAAATTGAATAGCCCTCTCCCCTTATTAAAACTATTCATCTATTGCATTGTATCCAAAGGGAATAATCAAATGAACGTAGTGTGATCAAACCTAGCGGTAAACTTCTTTGTTATAAAAGTGATGATGTCAAACGTTTTCTCATTTTCTCGTCATTTATTTCAGCCCTCTAGAATATAGACAACAGCAGCCAAAAAAAACCAACCTCTATCACTGCGAAATCTAACGAAAATGAAATATTTCGAACATATATAAAAAAAGGTATTACATAAGAATAAGGATCGATATAGTAATCATTTCATTAACAAACTGAAAATAGAAAGAGAGGTATTATACCATTTGCACACTATTCAGTATTACATCTAGCTAACAAATCATAACTTACAAGTATATTATTACAAAATGAGTGCACAAACGATCTCCGGTAGTCTCGATGAGTATGACGATAACAAGGACATGTGTCCGATCTGTAAGACGGATCGATACTTATCTCCCGATCTTAAGTTTTTAGTGAACCCTGAATGTTACCATAAGATCTGTGAAAATTGTGTAGATCGTATTTTCAGTCTAGGTCCAGCTCAATGTCCGTATAAAGGTTGTGATAAGATTTTAAGAAAGAATAAATTTAAGACTCAAGTATTTGATGATGTTGGTGTTGAAAAAGAAGTTGATATTAGAAAACGTGTATTCAACGTATTTAATAAGACTATAGATGATTTTAATGGAAATTTGGATGAGTTCAATAAATATTTGGAAGATGTTGAAGATATTGTGTATAATTTAGATCATGGAGTTGATGTTGAAAAGACAGAAGAACGGTTAAGAACTTATGAAGAATTAAATAAACAATTAATCCTGAATAATATTGAACGTAGTAAGAAGGATGTTGAAAATTTCAGTCAAAGACAGCAATTTGAGAAAGAAATGAAATTAAAGAAAAAGTTATTGGAGAGACAAATTGAAGAAGAAGACCGATTCAATAAAGAATGGGCGAAGAAAGAAATTGTTAACAGATTAATGACTTCATCTGGTGGTGATACAATGGATGTTATAGAGGGAGTTAAGAATACAGTGAAATTAAAGAAATCTTCAGCAAGAAGAAAACTTGAAGATTTAAATCGTGTATTGAAAAACAATCCATATTTTGTTGCCAATAATATGGGACAAAAAAATCATATTAAGAGTTCTATACCTTATACACCGTTTAATGGTGATCGTGATTTACATCAACGGTTTGAAGTTGATGAAACCAAATATAATGATCCATTAGTTCAAGAGTTAGAGAAAAGAAAGGATTACATCGCATCTGGTTTCAGAACAGATTTCATATATGAACGTGTATTGACAGAAGCATTTATGGGTTTAGGATGTGTAATTTCAGAAGAAAGAACATAATAAATAAATAAAATAGATAAATAAATAAAACATTTGCATTTTTAAAAAGATATTAAAAACAGACAAATAGGAATCGTATAGAAGGAATATGATTGTCATTAGAAATATATATTTATATATATATATATATATATATATAGATTAATTTGAGGTTGAACCTGAGAATGTTTCATGATGATGATGAAGATTATGCTGTTCATTATTTTGAACTTGTAACCGACGTGATTTTGATTGTAGACGAGAAGTAATAAATGTTATAGCTTCATGATAACTTGTAAAATGTTTATAATTTTCTTTATACATTATTTCATCTTTTTTAGCAGTTTCCTCATAAGTTGGAGGGTCACTAGGGAGGACCTTTGAATGTTCTTCTTGTGTCATATGTATTAGGTATGCAGTCATCTTGTAAAAAGTAAAAACTTTTAAAACTTTTAGAAATGTGGGAAAATGTAAGATACTATATATGCGATACCTTTAAAAGTTAATATATATATATATGTATATATATTTTATTGTAATTGCTAATATTAGGAACTATTAGTTAACACAAAAAGGGAGATTGATCAAACAAAGAAATGACGTACAATAATAATGTATGAAATAAAATAAATGAAATTGCAAATCACAAGAGCAAAAAAGATAAACTATCCAAAATTTTAAGGAACATAACAATATTCGGAGTATACAATACGACACAATTTAAAATAAAAGGGAAACTAAGTACCCTTATATAATCGGAAAATAAAATAACTACTTTGATTCAAATTAACAAATTAACTAAGTTAGAGTGAGTATATATTAGACAATTATGTACAGTATATAGAATAAATGACAAATACGCGAAATAGAATGTGTCATACTTATTATGAGCAACTAAACAGTAAGTTAAAACTACTACCACCAGAGATCAACGATAAAAAAATTTAGTAATCCCAATCCATACACCCTGGTTCTTGCAAGAGGATACAACAAGCCTATAACGGCCACACCTCATCGCAAAAAGTGGGCTTTGTGTTGGATGACACATCGCTTCCCACCACCCAAAAAGACTACCGGCAGGCAGGCAGGAGAAAGTTTTTCTTTTTCTTTCTGCTCGCCAGAGAAAAAGAGACTGAAGCCCTGTGGCGGTGGAAGGTGGAAGCGCAAATTAGGGCCGGCATTTCGTTTTTGTGAGTTTTTATTTGCTATATCCGACGGAGATAATTTGATGAGAGTGGAAAGCATTTTATTTTAGTTTCTGATCATGTGACTGATTTTATTTTTTTTATTTTTTCAGTTGAAATTCTGCATTCTTCAGTGAACGTTTCTCTTTACTAAGTGGAACGGAGTTAACATACCAAGCTAGAGAGAGGTCAAGATATACATTTAATACAAGAAAGAGAAAGGCTTTTGTAAACTCTGGATGCTAAAATAAAAGAAGGATTTGAAGTGTAAAAATCCACTAGATATTAGGACTGTATAAAAAAGAAAGGAACGCGAACTAGAACTATGTTGTCTGCTAGTGTGAAGAGTAGTCAGAAGAAAAGTGTGACCATGATGACTTCTTGGGTTCAACCCTTGAATCAAGTAAGGTACAAGAGAACGAAAACAAAAGGAAGTTCAGGGATTACACCACAGACTCAAAGAATTATTACACAACTGAGTGTGATGTCTGCACGTAAGAAACAACCAAAGATGCTGAAACTATCAAAAGAAGACTTAATAAAACACCAAACTATTCAAACTGCTTGGAATACATATCAAGATATTTTACAAAATGAACGTCAAACGATGCTGAAATTACAATATAATAAAATGGATGAAGCTATGACCGTGTTAAAACAAGTGGCTCCGAAATTATATGCTGATGCTAATATTAATGAATCAGGGAAAGTATTTCCAATGGAAATGAGAATACCAACAGATTATCCACCGAGAAAGTTATGGTATTATGACTATAAAAAGTAAACACTACAACTACTGTAACCACTGTAACCACTCAACTCTCACTGTGTGTCACTTTCCCCCTACTCATACTTATATAACTATGTTTTTCGCCCTTTCACTGTAAATACTAATATTACTATCCTTTTTTATAATAAAAAACAAATAAGAATAAGAATAATTTCTATTAATATCTATTAATATCTATCTATATATTATTTACCACCCCAAGAAAAACGATGCCACCTCTTATATTGCGTTTTCTTTTTATTAAACATAGCAATTTCATCTCTTTGAAGTCGTTGTGTATGTCCAGATAAATTCGTAATTACTCGTTCATACGTTTGCTTATCATTTTCCAACTGTAATTGTTTCTCATACAATGATCGCAATTCAACTATTAATAAATCTATTGCATTACATATTGTATCATGATATCCATCCATATCATCAGTTGTGTTCCCATCGATAGATTTATTAAGTAAAGACGGTATTTTTTCTTTCAACTCTCGATTAAAATCGGCAGTTAACGATGGTTGAGTCAACTGAGGTATATAACCTATGCCAAATCGTTCCTTTAATAACAACGTATTATCATTTACAGGGTTCTCTGTATCTTGAACTAAAGCCATTGCTTTCAAATATAATGAATCATCCATAGTCACTAAAGATAAATTCTTTTCAGTGTCATTCATTGTGCTACCAGTACTACTTTCTAATAATGTTTGAGGATCCTTCAATCTTAAGATATGCAGCAAAGTAGATCTCAGATTTGATCGATTCCATATGAATGCAGGGATATCACGATTGTCACTATCGACTAACTGATGATATATCACGTTTGGTCGTTCGTCTGCCAGCAGACCTGCCAAAATTTTATCAGGATCACCAGAGTTTACAGTACCGGTTTTATAATGGGTCGGTTCATGACCAAACAATTCATCCAGTGCACAACCTACTAACTTCTCTGTCGACTGTGTTGTTGTATCTTCAGATTCAAACGAAGCATCTGAAAAATTACCAAAATCATCATCGTCATCATCACTATCGCTGCTTGAATGATGGCTCATGGTTTTTTTGTGTTTCTTGATTGTGTCTTCCTCAACTATTTGACAAACGTTCCTTAGAATGAGTTCACACACACATTCTTCCCCTCACCTCTTCGTTCTTTATCCCATATATCTATCGGTTCATCTTTTGTATAATGAGGCTCACTTGTCGTAATAATATCGTTCGTTACGTAATTTACGAAACGGCATTAACTAAAATCTGCCGGAACATCGCCTTGTACGAGCTGTCTATTAGAACTTTTTAAAGATATTCCAATTAACAAACATACAGACACTATTATTTCTATTGACAGTACCACCCATTGATACTAGTAAGAGTTATCATTACTTTTAACCTTTATTTGAGATATCCTGAAGTTATATATCAATATGTTTGACGTGTTCAACTGTGTCACCCGGATATGCACGAAATGCTCATTCCAATTAGGAAATATGTCAACAAATTGCAGAATTATCAGCGCGAAGAAAGTTCTTTTCTACAATGCAAAGAGCACCTATCTTACTTCTCACACTTTGCTCTAACTACCCATTAAGGAGGAGGAGGAGGTTGATGCGACAATGGAGTTACTTGTTAATACGTTTGTATATATATTTATATATATATATATATATATATGAGTTTATGCAAGGGTATTTTGTTGGTGAGACATCTTGATATTTTAAGAATCGAAGGACGGACATCACAAGAAGAAGAACATTTCACACTCTGGACCTTTTTTGTTTTCGTTTTAGAATAGAGTAGCTTTTCCAAGATGACTACCGAAATGGAAAATTCATTTGATGAGTATGCAATGGACGACCACAAATTCATAGCACTAGTGGTATCATCCTCTGATGATGACGATATGGATGAGACCGAATCCTATAGTTCCAGTATTACCGCTAACAGAGTAATTACAAACCAGACGATGGCTACAGGTAAAACAGTAGGCACTAGTGCAACTATGACAGCATCACAACATGTGCCTGCTACTCCCCAAAGGAAGGTATCATCCGTGTCTAATTCAACAAGGAAAAGTAGCGAAAGAAAGTCCAATGGAGATCAAAAGAAAAGGTGGTCTTTGATTTCTAACCACTCACATAGTTCTTCTTCCAAGAAGAGGTGGTCTATGTTATCATCGTTTACGATGGAGTCTAACACCAAGGATAGTATAAACAATAGTGCTAAGAGGGTTGTATCGACATCATCTACATCCCAATCATCAGTTAATGAACATATAGAGAGAGGAAGAGACAATAAATCATCGAGTCATAAAGATTCAAGATCATCATCAATAAAGAGATCATCTACTGGTGCATCTCTGAGACAACTTTTTAACAAAATCTCAATTAGTGATAAAGAAGTAGGAGTGGAAAACAACAAAGAAAATATACATGTATTGTCACATAATAAAAATAAGAATACTAATATTACGGGTCAAACAACAATCATCCCCTCTACATATAATCGACCACCGACCACCTCTTCAACGTCATCATCTCATTTCAGGGTGCCTTTGAAACCATTAAACGCCCAGACATCAACACTACAACAACAACATAATATCCAATTAAGAAACCGTCGCTCCATGCAACCGGTGAGTAACAGACACTCTTTACAACCTGCTTCAATATATTCTCATAATACCACTAACCCTTCTAGTAACAACAACTACAATCATAATAATAACAATAATACCAACCCTAGCAACAATAATATTTCCAATTCAAATTCTGAGAAATGGAAATTCTGGAAAAAATCAACAAATGAAATATCAAAATCTATCTCTACGCAATCCCTAAATATCAATAAAGCTACCTCACACAATTTGAATCACAATAGGAATAATAGCTCTACCATCTCAATAGTGAGCAACGCATCTACTATTGGAAACACCAATAACTCTATTCGTAATAGAACTTCGTTTACTGACTTCCACAAGACGTTTTTTTCTAGTGATTCTGCATCAATTAACAATAATAACAACAACAACAACAACGTTGGTATTTCTACGGAAAGGAGGCAATCTATTAACAACAAAAGATCATCATCGAGTTTGTCTATTAATTTGAAACACAAGACATCATATTCTTCCCTAAAAAAGTTCAAGTCAAGAAGAAAGTCTAATACCACAAATGATGATGGGTCTAGTTTCATATCCGTAGGTTCTGGTAGTAATAGTATGAATAAAACGACATCTAATAATGGTATTTCATTACCAATTCCAGATGAAGTATCTCGTGAAAAAATTAGAGCCAAATTAAGAAATTCTACTTCTTTACTTTCATTGAATGCGCCAACACCAATAAATAGAAAACAATTTGATGAAACGATATTAAATCAAGTTCTTAACCTAACAACCATTAAATACGTTCTGACGGATATCGATTTGAAACAAGCTGACAACACTAGTTTAGAGGTTCTCTCTACTACAAACTCTTTAAAATTGACAAATAAGGTGTGGAGAATGATTTCGACTAGAGATCCTACAGAAACTGTCATATGTAAGAAATTATCTTTAAACTCTTCAGAAAAGACTATGTCTCTTAATGAATTAATGATTTTAAAGCTAACAAATGGGACACCAGGACTACCAGCTTTATTACAATCCTACGTTCATAAATCTTCTGGTACCACTCAGGAAGACAAGTTAACTTTATACTTATTTTTCAAGGATCATGGTACATCGTTAGAAGCCACCTCAATCCACAGTTGGTCACAATGTTTGAACATATTCTGGCAATGTGTATCAATTTTATATGTTACAGAAACTAAATTTAAATTTGAACACAGAAATTTGACGTTAGATCACATTTTGATTGATAATAGTGGTAACGTGACACTTTGCGATATGGAAACATGTCGTGCTGAATCAGTTAATACACCTGGTTCTCAAATATTTTACAAAAGGTTGGATCATCCAATATTTTTCCAAAACAAAAAGGAATATGCCTTTGACATGTATCAAACAATGAGACAATACTTTAATGGCGAATCTACATGGATGAAATTTGAACCTAAAACAAATTTATTATGGTTACGTTACTTGGTTATTCTCCTATTAAAGAACAACAGTAATGGGAAATTCCTGGGACCTGGAAGAGATCAGTTAAATAAAATTGCAACGATCTTAGAGTACAGTACGATGTGCAACTCTAGAAGAAATAATCTTTTTAAGCGCAAAGAGAATGAAATAAAAAGTACCGGAGACTTGTTAAGATTTAAATAGACATTATAATAATTAAATAATACTTTTATACAAATATAATACCCTTTAAAACTCAGTCAATAACATATTATATTCGTACTTGATTATTGATATCTATCCTTTTTCTATTCGTGATCGCTGAATGGTTTCGAGAAATGTCATTATTAACATATACATCCTTGAAATTCAGATATTAGGTGAGAAAAAAAATAGAGCTGAAAAAACTCGAAGAGAATAAAGAAACACGAAATGAAGAAAGATAAATATTGAATTCAAAGGGAGTCTGAGGTAAGAATAACCATCATTTAATAACCCTTACTAGAAACAGCAAAACTGTATCATCGCATATATATATATTCAGATGAAAGTATTAAAGTTTCCATGGTTGACACATAAGGAAGAATCCCGACATTATGAGATATATACCGTTGATGTGAGTCCTGATGGGAAGAGTATAGCGACCGGTGGTCTTGATGGTAAAATCATTATATGGTCTGTTGATTATATACGAAAAGTCATCGAGGCCAAACAAAAGAATCCCAAATTAACATCAAACGATATTAACCCAGAATGGAAAAGACCACTGGCCAGTATGAATAGACATACCGGATCTGTCACATGTGTAAAATTCTCACCTGATGGGAAGTATCTAGCTAGTGGATCTGATGATAGAATATTACTAATATGGGCTTTAGATGAAGAACAATTAGGACAGCCAATATTTGGATCAGAATTTGATAAGGAGCGCTGGACTGTCCGCAAGAGGCTCGTTGCTCACGAGAATGATATTCAAGATATATGTTGGGCTCCAGATTCAAGTATTCTTGTTTCGGTTGGTTTAGATAGATCAGTAGTTGTATGGAGTGGATCAACATTTGAAAAGCTGAAAAAGTTAGACGTTCATCAGTCGCAAGTTAAAGGTGTCGTATTTGACCCAGCCAATAAATATTTTGCAACTGCATCAGATGATAGAACATTGAAAATATTTAGGTATCACAAGACAGGTGATGATTCTTTTACAATCGAACACATCATTTCAGAACCCTTTAAAGAGTCACCCTTAACGACGTATTTTAGAAGACTTTCATGGTCTCCAGATGGTCAACATATTGCAGCCCCTAATGCTACGAATGGACCTGTTAGTTCTGTGGCAATTATAAATAGAGGTAATTGGGATACAAATATTGGCTTAATAGGACATGACGCACCATCGGAAGTAGCTAGATTTAGCCCTAGATTATACGAAAGTAAAGACCAAAAGCCTAATGGTAAGAAAAATGATACTGATGATATTGATAATAATAAAAAAAGGAATAGTGATGTGCTAGAAGAAAACGTAGAGTCAATAGTAGCAACAGCAGGTCAGGATAAGATTTTAGCAGTATGGAGTACAAGTAAAATGAGACCAATATTCGTAGCCTTTGATGTTGCTAATAAATCTATAACAGATCTCGCCTGGAACCCGACTGGTGATATGTTATTTGTCTCTTCATTGGACTCCTCACTTACTGTAATAACATTCGAAAAAAATGAACTTGGGAAAGCTATACCTATTGAGGATAATATGAAACATTTACATAGATACGGTGTGGATAAGGATTCATTAGATTTTCCAGAATCTGTAAAACAATTGAAATTAGAGAATACAGCATTGACTTTGAAAAAAACAAGGTTAAAAGAATTGGATACAAGATTTTCAGGGCCTCAATTACCTTCTCCATCAAAGCCTAAAACAAAGGAGCCTCCAATAGAAAATTCAATTTCCACCCCAATTGAACCCAAGAGATTATCTATCGACTCAACGAAGAAGGAAGGTTCTGTAAATATTCTTATTCCCAAAAGAAAGAAGGATACAAAACTAAATACAACCGTTATCAAAAATGGTAAGAAACGTGTGATGCCGACGCTTATATCTAGCGCCGGTAATCCATCGACGTCAACTTATCCAAACAACAACTTGATCCAAAAGAGCCAAAATTCTAAACTCTCGATTTCATCATCATCTGTTGTAGATAATAAACCTTTAAATCCAAACAAAAAATCTAATCCAGATTCATTACCACTCGGGTTGATAAAGAAGATAGGTGTATCCTCAGTTGCTATACCGAGACTTGGTCTACATACACTAGTAATGGGGGTTCGTGAGCGGTCACGCACTAGATTCTTTGCTGGAGATGGTGACGATGAAAATAATGGTTCGGACAAAGATGATGCTAATGTATATAATAAACAGCACGATGATACGATTGATGAGAACAACCCTACGGAATTCTTAATGACTTTAAATGCAAAACTAACTTCCGATAAGGTATGGAGTGACGAGCCATCTACTAGGTATGTTGAATCTTCAAGCATTGTACCAGATACCGACACAGTTCTGCGAGAATGTGGTGATATGTCTCAATTCCATACATTAGAAATTCATAACGGTGTTGAGAGATCAATTCAGTTTGATTCTGAGGCTCTTCTGGAGAATCCAACAAGAATTTTAGGTTATTCCAAGGGTCAACGTACAATAGAGATGTTTATCCCAGAGGTAGTACTATGTGCTCTCGGGATACCGCAATACAAATGTTGGTGCATTGCTACAGCCAATGGTTCGCTTATTATAATCTCATGTAGTGGCCAATTGAAAACTCCAAAGATACAGATGGGTCACAAGATTGTGAAACTTACAAGCCAAGACAACTATCTAATTGCATTTACAGAGAGAGGTCTGTTCTTCGTGTGGGACATTAATAACATGAAAATCATATATCGTAATATTCCAGTATTACCAATCCTTAATAACAAGCCTATTCAAGGTCATCGTGTGCGTATCAATACCAATGTCAGGAGTTGTTCAATTGACAAAACAGATCAGTCATTGGTGGTAGATATGGCTTCACCCGAAGACACCCGTTCATATAGGTGGACCAAGGAACTTGGTTGTTGGACTGAAGTAATACCCGTGACCTCTTTGGAAGAGATCAAACCGGCATAACACGGTAATGCTCGGCGGCTAAATACTGTTATATGATTGGAACAAGCCCTGCCACTGCTTTAATTTCGCATATCACAAAATGCCGGTACCGGCCTCACGTTCAGGTGAGACCTTTCCCAGCCGGTATTCGAGCGGCCGCTCCTTTGGCAGCGCAACCGGCCAGCGCGATCGCCTCCATCGCTGAACGTCGCTTCTCCTTAATAAAATTTCAGTCTTTTTTTCAAATTTGTTAGCAGGCAGCGGGAAGGACTTGTATGAAAGTTAGTCATTTCAATTATATTTCATTATTATATAAGAAGACAACAGCGGTGATGAGGAGTTGATATCAAATCTTTTCGGTTGGATTCCTTATAGTTTCTATAGTTATAATATATATATTTATAACATTAAACGTTGTGTTTATATTTAATTGTTAAAATTGAAACTATTTTTCTCACTTCTTTAAAAGATATCAGGAAATTTTTTACCTAAATTTTTAAGGGGACTTATATTTTCAAGATCTAAAGAGAATTACATTAAGATTAAATTATAAAAAATTCAAAATAAAGATGTCTTACACTCCATCTACGGGTCCAAGAACCCTTTACGACAAGGTCTTTGACACTCACGTAGTTCACAAGAACGAAGCTGGATCTTACCTACTATACATTGACAGACATATTATCCATGAAGTCACATCTCCACAAGCTTTTGAAGGTTTAAGTAACGCAGGTAGAAAAGTCAGAAGAACCGATTGTACTTTAGCAACAGTTGATCACAACATTCCAACCGAATCCAGAAAGAACTTCAAGTCTGTAGATACATTCATTGAGCAAACTGATTCTCGTCTACAAGTTAAGACCCTTGAGGACAATGTTAAGAACTTTAACGTTCCTTACTTAGGTATGCAAGAAGACAGACAAGGTATCGTACATATTATTGGTCCAGAACAAGGTTTCACTCTACCTGGTACTACTGTTGTTTGTGGTGACTCCCATACTTCTACCCACGGTGCCTTTGGTTGTCTAGCCTTTGGTATCGGTACTTCTGAAGTCGAACATGTTCTAGCTACTCAAACTTTGATTCAAGCAAAGAGCAAGAACATGAGAATCAAAGTCAATGGTAAATTGAACGAAGGTGTTACCTCTAAGGATTTGGTCCTACATATTATCGGTTTAATCGGTACAGCTGGTGGTACTGGTTGTGTCATTGAATTTGCCGGTGAAGCCATTGAAAATCTATCTATGGAAGCAAGAATGTCCATGTGTAACATGTCCATCGAAGCTGGTGCTCGTGCTGGTATGATTGCTCCTGATGAAATCACTTTCGAATACTTAAAGGATAGACCGTTAGTTCCAACTGGAAATGAATGGGAAAAAGGTGTAGCTTTCTGGAAATCTCTATACTCTGATGCTGATGCAAAGTTTGATCATGAAATCGTCATTAATGGTACTGAAATTGCCCCAACTGTCACTTGGGGTACCTCTCCACAAGATGCTCTACCAATATCTGCTAGTGTTCCAGATCCATCTAAGGCCGACGATCCAATTAAGAAGTCTGGTATGCTAAGAGCACTAGATTACATGGGTTTGGAACCAAACACTCCACTGACTCAAATTAAGGTTGACAAAGTCTTTATTGGTTCTTGTACCAATGCTCGTATTGAAGATTTAAGAAGTGCTGCTGCGGTCGTTAATGGCTATAAGAAGGCTTCTAACATTATGAGAGCTATGATTGTTCCAGGTTCTGGTCTTGTTAAAAGGCAAGCTGAAGAAGAAGGTTTGGACAAAATCTTCTTGGATGCTGGATTTGAATGGAGAGAAGCTGGTTGTTCTATGTGTCTGGGTATGAACCCAGATATCTTATCTCCAAAGGAACGTTGTGCTTCTACCTCCAACAGAAACTTTGAAGGTCGTCAAGGTTACCAAGGTCGTACCCATCTAATGTCTCCGGCCATGGCTGCAGCTGCAGCTATTACTGGTCACATTACCGATATTAGAACCTTTAAGATCAACAAGCCAGAAGCTGCTAAGGTTGAAATATCTTCCGACGAAGATGAAGAATTGAAAAATGCTGCCTATGAACACAACGAACCAGTTCAACCATCTGATGCTACAGAAGATATTGCCGAAGATGAAGTTGATGACATTCCATCCCCAGTTAAGGCTAAGACTACTGCAACTGCCGGTAGTATGAACCCATTCACAACTCTAACTGGTCTTGCTGCTCCTCTTGACAAAGCAAATGTTGATACTGATGCTATCATTCCAAAGCAATTCTTAAAGACTATTAAGAGAACTGGTCTAAGTGTTGGTCTATTTTACGAATGGAGATTCCAAAAGGACGCCAATGGAAAGGATCAAGAAACTGATTTTGTTTTAAACGTTGAACCATACAGAAACGCTGAAATCTTAATTGTCACAGGTGATAATTTTGGTTGTGGTTCCTCTAGAGAACACGCTCCATGGGCTCTAAAGGATTTCGGTATTAAATGTATGATTGCTCCATCTTTCGGTGACATTTTCTACAACAACTCCTTTAAGAATGGTCTACTACCAATTAGAGTTGATGCTAAGATCATCAACGAAAAATTGATACCAATTGCTAGGAATGGCGGTCAACTAAAGATCGATCTACCAAACCAAAATATTTCTGATGATAAGGGTAACGTTCTGGTTCCACATTTCGAAGTTGAAGAATTCAGAAAGTATTGTCTAGTTAACGGTTTCGATGACATTAGCCTAACTCTACAACTTGAAGACTTTATCTCCAAATATGAGAAGGTGAGAAGAGATAAATACTCATTCTGGGAAGGTGGTTCTTCGTTAGTTAAATTCCCAATGGATATCAAGGAACAAAAATTCACAAAACCATTAACTACCTACGATATCGTGCACCAAGACTGGTAAACATTATGAATGAATTTAACTAAGTCATTTTATAATTTCATGACCAGGCAACACTTTGGCCGAGATGACATTAAAAACGACTGCATATAATTATTGATTTTGATTAGAACACCTCAATCTATCAATATTTTATTTATTTATTTATTATTATATATTTATTATTTATTCTGCCTCTGATTATATTCAGGACATAAAAAAGACTATAAAGATAGTTTTATACATGATCATACTATTAAAAACAAAATCACTACAAATTACAATTTCATGGTTGTAAATCATTAAGTTTTGAGCATTTTTATCTCTTTCTTTTTAATTAGATAATTATTTTTATTACATTTACACATCGTGAATAAGATACATTAAAATCCGAATGGATTGGCAGCAGACGCATTAAATATGTTTGCTTGTCTACCTTGTTGAGTTTGTTGAGGTCCATTACCAAATCCAAACCCAGTTGGCTGGGTTTGTAACTGCTGTGGTTGAGAAATAGTTGTATTTTGCATTCCTTGCGTGATGTTATTAACACCAGTATTGATAGGCATTGCACCACCTGTTCTTTGCAAAGTCACACCAAATTGTGATTGTGGTTGGAAACCACCAGTTATTTGCATTGGCATGGTGTTGGCATGTTGCATTGGTGCGCCGAAAGATGTTTGTGGCATCATAGCTCCACCAGTCGTTTGATTACCGAACCCAGTCTGTGGCATGGCACCTCCGGTCATTTGGGCACCAAAACTTGTCTGAGGCATTGCTCCTCCTGTCAAGGCTTGGTTCATCATTGGGTTCATACCGCCAGTCAAGGCTTGATTCATCATTGGGTTCATACCACCAGTCAAGGCTTGATTCATCATTGGGTTCATACCACCAGTCAAAGTTTGGTTCATCATTGGGTTCATACCACCAGCTAGAGCTGGGTTAACAAAACTTGTTTGCGGCATAGCACCCCCAGTCAATACTGGGTTCATGAAGGTTGTAGATGGCATAATACCACCTGTTGTTTGCAATGGCATTAAACCATTGGCAGTCCTCTGGACAGGAAGAACTGATCCCATTGGTGCAGCTGTACCAAATGTCGTCTGAGGTATTATACCTCCTGTTCTTTGTAATGGCATCAGACCACCTGTAGTTTGTAGTGGCATCAAACCACCAGTTAATTGAGCTCCAAAAGTAGTCTGTGGCATCAAACCACCAGTAGTAGCAATAGGAATCAAACCACCATTAGTCTTTTGAACCGGTAATACACCACCAGTTAATTGAGTACCAAATGTAGTTACAGGCATACCAAGACCACCCGTTCTTTGAGTAGACATCATACCGCCAGTTGCGATTGGCATCATAACAAATCCGGTACCAATTGGTAATATGTTATTACCACCTGTCTTAAATGGATCTAAAGGAACCAAGTTAGCACCACCAGTAGTGGCTGTAGTAATTGGAGCAACAGCAGGGATAGCATTTCCAGTCTTTACTGGCTCTAAATTATTCAAATTTGGTTCAGGGACCTGGGAAGGTATATGTTTCTTTGGTTCTAATGGTTGTAAGTCAAGTAGATCTTGCATAGAGCCGGTAAAGTTAGAATTACCAGAGACTAGATCTGGTTGAGATTTAGCAGCAGGTCTAGCTGTCCAAGCATCATCATCTTGAGAAACAGGAGCAGCCATAGCAGCGGTGTCTGTCTGAGGTAACAGTTGTTGCGAAACGCCCTGCTGAACGTTATTATTGTTGTTCTTCAATGATCCATCCGCTTCGGTAAACATACCTCCAGTTTGAGCTGGTACTACTACTTCATGAGTATCCCTACCAAATTTATTGTCTAAGAATTTCATTACCCTAACGATATCACCTTCACGTAAACCAAGAGTTCTAAGCATTTGTGCATTGATGTCTTCCATCATATCTTCGGTGATTTGTTCTCTATCGAAGTTAATGGTATATCTTTGACAGTTACTAACATCCACACCACTGTTTAAGAAAAACTCAAACCAATCGTAATTATTTTTACTCTTTGAGCTCTTATGAGATGAGGAAGAGGGCATACCGACGGTTGAGTTTGGTCTTGGAGGTTTAACTGGTGGTAAATCTTTTTGCTCTTCCAAACGAAGTCTTTCATCATCTAACAATTGTCTTGCTTTCTTTAGTTCGTTCAGTTCTCTTTCTCTAATTCTTCTATCACGCTCCTTCTCTTCTTGTTCTCTCAATCTTCTTCTTCTGTCGCGCTCAGACTCTCTTGCATCTTTATTACCAGAACCAGACGAACCGCTTGAGTTAATTTTATACTTATCTAGACTAAATCCTGTAATATTTTCAACATACACTAAGTCAGAATCGGAAAGTTTGTTAGCAGCGACAGCGATCTTAACACCATTAGCCTTATGCAAATGGATCTTACCATTAGCACAACCAATAAATTGGGCATCGACTTTGAATGTACCACTTCTATCAACCCATAATCTAGATTTTTTAGGATCCGGAAATTTCTTCTTGTTTACATTATCGGATGGTTTACTCATAGATGCAGATCTCTTCTTTCTACTTGAAAATGATGCACCTCTAGATCTACTCTTTGATGAAGCGCTTTCATCTGGGGTTACATCATCTCTCCAACTACCGGAACCAGATACCGAATTAGAATGTGATTTTGATGGTGATCTATTACCTTTGGCCATCTTTTTAATAGAATTAAATAATCCACCAGCACTGCTGGATGACTTATCTTTTATTGGTTCAACAAATTGTGCTGGAATAACACCTCTTCTACCGGTATCGACAGATTCACACATCCACCATTCTTTAGATTTTTTGTCATTAATAATATATACCAGATCTCCTTGTTTCACGGTCAATTCATCATTGGATTCACCAATAAAATCATATGCTATTTTACCTTTTCTCTTTGTTTGTGATGCTGTTTCAATCTCTTTCAAACCTTTATCACGGGAAACACCTTTAATTTCACCTAGAATAGACATGATTTCTTTGGAAGTTTCATTGTTCCCTGTATGTAACTCTAAGTTTTTGTAAGGATCTACAAATTCCAAGAACATATGTTTCTTTTCATTATCATAGGACACCAATTTATCGACAGTCCATTCTAATTGAGTACCATTTTCTGAAATGAAATTTATCTTGTTACTTCCGACAACTAATTTTGCTTTTCTCTTCTTCCTACCTTCGATTTCTTGAACATTCCATGAATGATATTCTATGTTGAAACTCCCACGGTTATCATTGTTGTCTCTATCATTGTTATAATTATTCGTGTTACTACCATAATCATCTTCATCAGCATATCTATGGGGCTCATCACGACGGTTATCGCGACCATTATCTGTAGGAATGTTGTTATCATCAACCTCATCGTAGTACGACACCCTAGAACGAGCTTTGTCACGTGCATCGTTAGGTCTCATCGGTTTAGAAGGAGGCGTGTCTTCTCTATCATCTTCTTGCGCATATCTATCTGGAGTAGCAGGTTCATTGTTACTCTGCTCTGCTGATTGTAATTGATCTCTTTGGTTATGTTGTGGAGGTGGTAAAAAAGTCGAGACATCAGCATTAGCTGGTGTAACTACTGATGTCGCAACTGCAACAGGAACAGGAGTAGCTGCCGCTGCAGCAGGTGCCCCTCCTGTTGCCCCGGCTTCTTCGATATAATTCCCAGGAATAAAACCAAATTCGTTATTTGAAGACTTGACAAGCAACCAGTCAGGATCCTTATCATCATATACTTGGAAAGTATCGTTTTCATGGAATAACAATTCCTCATCGGGATTTTGAGGTTGATCATAATCATAGACAGCTTTAACTGTACGAATCACAGGTGCATCTTCAATATACGTAGAAGGCACTAACCCGGAAGGCTCTGGGTCATCGGACCCAATGATCCGTTTCTTAACGGTCCACCATTCATCGATGTCAGATTTCTCTAGTAAATAAAGCATATCATTTTCTTTGATTTCTAACTCTTCAGGCGTTTGCGGCTCATAGTCGTAAATCGCCTTATACACACCAAGGAATACAGTCATATCTTACCTGTTAGATTTATATTTATGTGTAACAATTCGGTTAGAGGTCAGTTTTAATCTTTTAGTTTTTTATTCTTACCCTATTTTGTGAGTTAATATACTTAATACAAAACCTCTTTTTATCAACTATTTTCAATTGTGTGAAACAATTAAGTAAATAACTAACTCAATAATAATAATAATAATAATACAGTTAGTCAAATATAGATTGTTACTGTAAGTAGTGATAAAAATGTATCTTATCTATCTAGTTTCCTTTACCAAATACATGAAGTTTAACCATTCTTCCCTCACTTATGACAATCATATCGTTGAATTTTCCAAAAATTGTCGTTTCCGTTTTGGTGCTTTATCTGCCCCTTTCAACTAACTACGGTAATAATAGAAACAGTGGATGTTACCCGCACTTAGTCACGTGCAAGCTTGATTTTACTATACAAATCTATACAAAACGTACATTACTTGAATATCCTTAAGTGGATAGCGTATACCTTTGGGTTTAATATCTATACCTTATTATATTATTAATTGTTTATTTTATTTTATTTTGTACATTCATGTTTCTTAAGTTGTTTCATGCGATCTTCCCCACGGAATTTACGGTTACAACGTTTACATACTATCACTTTGCGTACAATTTTGCCATCTGGTAGCACCCTTTCGTCAGTACCATTTGCTGAATCGGCAGCTGCAGCAGCTGCCTTTTGTTTACGTTCCAGTTTTGCCTTGGCTTTAGCTTTAACTCTAACATCGATCTCATTCTGTGTGCTGAGTAACATACATTGTCTTGCACTTGCTGGCAAAAAGATATCATATATTTGCAAAGCTTCATCACAATCCAATGTTCTATTAAAATAATGAGCAAAATCAACAGAAGATAGGGACTCCAATTGACGCTGCGGCACGTAACCGCCTAATATTGTGTGACTCAGATCGTAGCTAGCATGTGCAGCTTCCTTCATATCTACTTTACTACCAAGGTACGTATGTACAGGTATCCTTTCTTTATCTCCCAATGTTTTTTTTTGTTCTGTAGAATCTTTTTGTTCTGTTAACTGTTTCAACTCCTCATGCGAAAGCACAACCTCCTGAGAAGTCTCAAAAGATGACAACGCACCAATGACTTCATAGTAGTCTCTCTTCGTAATGGTAGACATGATGTGCTTGTTGTAGTATATGTATATATATGAGTCCTTTTTAAGCGTGTAATATGCTTTCTATATACAGGGTTACTCTTATACTTCTCCCCATCCACCCCACCGTTTTATTTAAAAATTGTTTGAAATCGAAAATTAGTTGAATTCCCCAAAGCGCGATTTCCTCGTGAATACATAGTATGAAGGATGAGAAGAGGAATACAAGTAACCTGAACTTGTTGAAGATGTTTTAAAGAAAAAACATGATTCAACAAGGTTATAGTTCCAGTTGTCATGTTGTAAAACTCTTATGCGACCTCTACGACTTCAAAGCTGTTATTATTTTTTTTTGCATTGATTATTATTATTATTGTATGCTATTTTATTTTACAAAGTGTTTATATAACGATGTTTGAAATTTATAGAAAAAATATAAATAAAAACAAAATTATTCGTATAGAGTATAGTATCATGTCTATTCCATCGATTGTTGACGCTTCCCACGAATGATCTGTGCAATACGATTGGAGACTGCTGTTGTCTTGGCAGCAGTCATCTCTTGCTCATTGTCTATATCAATCTCAAATTCGGAAATTGCTTGTTCGCTAGCATCTGTAGAGAATCCGACTATTGATGATGCACGACTTGAAACTACGCTAGAAGATATACTTCCTGATTGTGATCTACGGCCACCAACCATAGTAGAAAACAAAGGTATGTTACTTAACGAGTTGTCACTATTCACTAAGGAAATTGCATCGGAGTCCATTGCAGTAGTTGGTTCATCATTTTCTCTTCCTTCATTATCATTGGCCAGTTTTTCACGTTTCTGTCTAATGAGTCTACGTCTTCTAATTTCTTTCGTCTTGTATTCTTCCATCTCTTTAGTAAACTTTCCACTCTCGAAATCCATTAACAATTCAGGATCCAGAGTGTCAATGGTTGTTATAATACGTTCAGTAAGCGACTCTCTCTCCTTTTTTAATTGTCTCAATCCACTTGGCGATGTCAATGACATATACAATGGCCTTAAGGATTTCAACATATCCATACCATGATCACCGACGATCAAAGCTGAATATGTCACTAAAACACTCAACGCATACGACATCATAAACACCAAAACATAATGGTTTGTGTAAGATTTATATAATACCACAAAATAAGTAATAATAAAGGACCAAATAATGTATAACAATGGAGAAAACCCCATACTAATTAAGATCTTCCAAGTAGCAATGACATCATTAGCTTTAATCTTCACTGAAGATTTAGCCAACGCTTTACGTGCTTTTTCTTTAGAGACACGATTAGCTAAAATAAAGATTGGTGAAAACATTATAATACCAGGCAATGATAACAATAATGCCACAGTAATAAACACAGATCTATAAACCAATAAACATAGATTGGTCATAAAGTCGACACGGGCGGTCTCCACAGAATGATCTGCTAAGTTATAATAATTCAATTTTTCATTATATTTCAAAATATCTTCACCTAGTTGTTTCACATCAGGCTTATCTCTATGACCTTCATAACCTTTGACAATACGTCTGTTCATTTCTACAATCATTGACAAAGGAACTTTGCGATTAAATCTAGTGGAATATAATCTTCTCATAACCTGGACAATCATCAGAGTTTCATAATCTTTACAAGTCACGGTGACAGCTTTTAAACCTTCGGTAATCTCATCTAACAGAGTCTTCACAGCATCACGATTAGTCTCTGGTTGATGGTATTTTTCTACCAAATCTCTTGAGATTTCAATTGGTTCACCAAACTCCACAACGGCCCTAGATCTAAATCTATGTGCATGAAAATAATTCATACCACATGGAACAATCTTCACATTAACGTCCGGATGTTTATCCATACAACCTAACGCCATGATTGCAACTCCCGCTTTAATAGGCAATAGATCGGTTCTATCATGAGAACCACCTTCAGGGAAAATACCAATGCAGGAATCGTTTGCCAAATGTTCAAAGACTTTATGGTACACAAGTGATTGGTCCACTTTATCTGCATATTTGAAAGAAGTGCCACGTTCCAACAAGACTTTCTTATTATCTGGTTTATTCATCTTAAATTCTTTTCTAATATATAATACAGTATCACTTTCAACAGATACCACCTCAGCATTCCCAAATCCCTTAGATAGACCTATCAACCCCTTTGGACGACATTCAGTCAAGAATTTGGTACCTTTACCAATGACTTTCTTATAATCATGAGGGTCGACTTTAATTTTACCTGTTGCAGGTTGTAAATTGTCCTGAGGTCTCACTACGCCAATTGCCATCACAGCTCTTGCTAAGAATCCAATACCTTTCATATGCAATGAAGACTCTGCAATCAAAAACAACACACGTTTGTTAATTACCTTCTTCACCTGCTCCATTAGAATGATTGGATCCACAAATTGGTTTGCATGAGGTGCAGCAACGAAGATGATAGGTCCCTCTTTGGGCATCCTGTAACCACCTCTAGATTTGATCTCTCTAAAGAAACATTCAAATATATTCCACAGCAACCAGAGCATAAAATCGTAGAAAGCTTTACGTACAGTGGGAGGTTCCTCATACTTGTACTCTGAAAATGCCTTGTGGATAGAGCTCACCTGGCCTGTTTTCTGTCCTTGCTCTTGTTCTTCCTCTAATTTCTTCTGCTCTTTACCCTTTTCACTAAGCAATGGCTTCTCCATATTGAAACAAAAAATATGTATGTATAGATGAACACAATTTCTGTGTGTGTGTGCGTGCGTATATGTATGTTGTTATATGACTTCACACAAATTCAACAATCCAAGTAATATCTGGAACTTCTAATGCAATGATCTTTATATCGTTCTGATATATTTACCTTATTTATTTATTTATTTACAGAGAGAGATTGCTTGAAGTTTCCCAGTCATCTTTTTTTCATTTTTATTTTGCGCGGAGTCCTTCTTTCACTCATTTATTCAATTCTCTGAAGGGAAGATTTCAGTTTGAATTGTTAATGAGATGAGCAGTCAGCAACAACGCACATGTATGGCCACTATGCTAAGCAAAAAATGTCAGTTCTGCTGCTTGCGGACCACACCGTTTCCTTAATTTCCTTGTGAACTCTTCGCTGGTCTCAATGGGGCTTGCTTCGAATTGTAACGATAGTACTTCCAACTGTGTCCCCAAAGCACATCCAACACGTATAACTTTTCTTTCTTGATCATAAACGAATTGGCCAGGTTCCAACAGTTGTGCAGGCCAAGTAACAGGCTCTATTTTATGGAATAACACTCTCTTATCGGCGAACAAATCCTTTTGTTTCCTCAATTTCCCCTGTTGTATTCTCTTGAATGCATACACTGGACCAATCACAGCAATCATTGTAGATATATGTTCTGCAGTATATGTTTGCCATAGGACCTGTTTGTCCTTTGTCTTGATAGTAGGTGCCCAACTGGGTTTATAAATATGATCATTCGTTGTCAAAACTTTCTTGTCAGACGAAGGGATATATGATCCATTCACTACGACATCTCTAAGCAAAGCAGCTCCCACGACCCCCAACTCTTGAATCAATGTATCAGATTTCCAAGTCCCCTCATGAGTAGTCGCATTCTCTAACAATGTGTCGATAGAAATCTCTGGTGTCCTTGCGATAACTTCACCACGATCAAACTTTTCAGGATGTAACGTTTGAACAGACACACCAGTCATCGAATCTCCATTTAATAATGCATGCTGAATAGGTGCACTACCTTTATACCTGGGCAATAACGATGGATGCACATTCAATGAATAATCCGCCATGGAAATTAATTCTGAAGGGATCAGTTTCCCATACGATACAGCGACCAACATCTTATCATGATTAGCAGAGCATCCTTTCAACCAAGGCATCAGGACATCGAGCATCTCTTGTCGAGTGTCACAGAACAACGGCGAACCTGTCTTATATGCCTCTATCACAGGCGGAGTCTTCAACACGGAATGTTGTCTGCCACACCATTTGGGCGGTCTAGTGACCAATTGTAACTTAGCCAACAGCTGTGGTTGTTCCAGTGACAACTTTTGTAATGTATTAAGGGATCGGGCACTAAATTCATCGGTCCCAAAGAACAGAACATCTAGTGGTTTACGCACCACAGAATAACACCTGACATAACTATACCATCTAGTTCCAACACCCCCAATGGCTGCACACACTTTACCACCACCAAATACCATTGTCTTCACTGATTACTTCTGCCCTCTCTTCAAAAATGCACGAGTCCTATTGCAAATGTTAATATAAGAGTAATTCTTTCCTAAAGCCTTTCAGACAGACCAAAAAGAAGGCGCCCACCAAAAAACCAAAAAATAAACAATTTTTTTTTGGGAAGCAAAGCAAACAGTATAACTGATTGAATGATTGCTTTCTACATAAAGAGAAGGAAGAATAAAGAGGTGGTAATAGTCAACCACACACCAGGGTAGAAGCATTTTCAAATAGCTACACACTGACATTGCTATATAGTTGAGAATCACTTCTTTTTTATATTTGCAAACATGACAGACGTTGGAACTGCTGTCGAGGGAATACTCACGTTACACATGAAACTCGAAGAGCTGGAACGTCGACTGGCTCAAAATCCACATGGGAAAGAACAATTGGCAACAACGCTCTCCACCACAAGAGACTCGATTCTACCAATTAGATTAGAATTAAACAATTTCATACATATGGTAAGTAATATTGCCGATGAGAAGAATGGCGTGACTAATCAAGAAAAGTTCCATAATGTAAGACTAACGTTATTAAAACTACATACCAGTATTCAGTTATTATCACAACGCTTTCAAGAATTAGCGCCTCTGTTTGAAACAGTGTCAGAATATACTACCGAACATAAATCAAAGGAATATCAACCTTTGGAGACATTGGCCCCAACACACATTCTACAGACATCGGTGACAAATGATTTGTCGAATAAATCTACTAGTAATCCTACTGCTACAACTACAAATAATACCAACACTACGACCACCACCACAGCAAAGAAAGGTCGTGGATCTGCAGCTAGTGTGAAAAGTCCTTTGAATGCCATTAACACCCCAACAGCTGCTTCTGCTGCTGCTGCTACACCTGCTACTACTTCCACAAATACTACCACAACAACTGCCAAAAAACCTCGTAAACCAAGACAAAAGAAATCGGTATCAAGTGCAAAAAATACACCTGCACCAACACACGCGACAACAACAACAACAACTAATACTAACAGTGTCGCAGCTACTCCACTCTCCACTACAACAATAAATCCAACATTATCAGTACCACCCCAACTTATGGCTGGGATGGTTCCTGGTAATCTTGTAGGAATGTCACCAACCAATGCAATGATGAACATGGCGCCACATATGCAACCACAGATGCAATTTAACAACAACAACAATAACAACAATATCATCAATAGACAAACAGGCACAACTCCGGGCCCTCAAAGCCAACAGAGTCCTCACAACAACACCATCACACCCGCAAATATCTTGAGTATGGGCAGTAACAGCAACAACGCTAATAATAACGGCACTATGAGCAACAATATGAACAACAATAACAGCAGCAACCAGGGTCCAAATGCCATGAACGATTTCGGAAACCTGGACCTCAACAACATAGACCTTTCCAGCCTTAACATGGACTTCCTATAACGAAATCAATCAGTTATTGAATCAGTCATCGTGATTGTTATTATTGTGTGACGCATCCCACCACTCACCGCACCAAAAAAAAATGGTTTCTGAGCGAAAATTTTTCAATTTTTCTCATTTGTTGATTATATAAGAGACAGACAACAGACATCGAATTGGATTCTCACGATGTGTCTTCGTTATTAGAGAGAGTTCCTTTAATAGATCACTAGTTAAGAGACTATAGGAAGTTTAAATACATACTGTTATATACTATTTGTGTACACGCTCCGTTGATTTGAGTTTAAATTATTCTAATCACTTTTTTTTATTCCCTTATTAGTCTTTTTCCATTTTGCAAATCACTATTATTTAAGGAACCATGTCTGAACAATTGAGACAAACTTTTGCCAACGCTAAGGCTGAGAACCGTAATGCTTTAGTAACCTTCATGACTGCAGGTTACCCAACCGTCGCAGACACCATCCCAATCCTTAAAGGTTTCCAAGACGGTGGTGTTGACGTCGTTGAACTTGGTATGCCATTTTCTGATCCTATTGCTGATGGTCCAACTATTCAAGTGGCCAACACTGTAGCTCTTGAAAACGGCGTCACTTTGAAACAAACTTTGGAATTGGTCGCTGAAGCTAGAAAGCAAGGAATCACAGTTCCTATTATTTTGATGGGTTACTACAACCCAATCATGAACTATGGTGACGACAAATTCATTAAGGATGCTGCAATTGCAGGTGCTAATGGTTTCATCATTGTTGATCTACCACCAGAGGAAGCCCTAAAGATTAGAAACAGAGTCAACGAATGTGGTTTGAGTTTAGTTCCATTAGTAGCTCCTTCTACTACCAATGAAAGATTGGGCTTATTGGCCGATATTGCCAATTCCTTTGTTTATGTCGTCTCTAGAATGGGTACCACTGGTGCTCAATCCAACGTTGCCTCAAATTTGGATGAACTAGTGAAACGTGTAAGACATTATACTAAGGACACCCCTATTGCTGTTGGTTTCGGTGTTGCCACCAGACAACATTTCGAAAGTGTCGGTTCTTTGGCGGATGGTGTTGTCATTGGCTCTAAGATCGTCACTTTATGTAGCCAAGCTCCAAAGGGTAAAACATACGAAGTTGCTAAACAATACTGTGAAGAGATCTTGAACGGTAAGAAACATAAAATTTTGTCTGTTGAAGAATTTAAACAATTCCAAGCTCATGCTGCAGAACAAGGTAAACTATTTATCGACCAAAAGAATAACTTCAACGAGACTCACAAACATTCCATGAGATTCGGTGACTTTGGTGGTCAATACGTCCCTGAAGCACTACATGCTTGTCTAAGAGAACTAGAAGGCGCATTTGACGAGGCTGTCGCTGATCCTAAATTCTGGGAAGATTTCAGATCTTTATACTCCTACATTGGCAGACCTTCCTCATTACATAGAGCAGAAAGACTTTCTGAATATTGTGGTGGTGCTCAAATCTGGTTGAAAAGAGAAGATTTGAACCATACTGGTTCCCATAAAATCAACAATGCTTTGGCTCAAGTTCTATTAGCAAAGAGATTAGGTAAGACTAATGTTATCGCTGAAACTGGTGCTGGTCAACACGGTGTTGCCACTGCCACTGCTTGTGCCAAATTTGGTTTGAAGTGTACTGTATACATGGGTGCTGAAGATGTCCGCCGTCAAGCTCTAAATGTCTTTAGAATGAGAATCCTAGGTGCTGATGTTGTTTCTGTCACTAACGGTACTCAAACTTTGAGAGATGCCACCTCCGAAGCCTTCCGTACTTGGGTGACAGACTTGAAGACTACTTATTACGTTGTTGGTTCTGCCATTGGTCCACATCCATATCCAACTTTAGTTCGTACCTTCCAAAGTGTTATCGGGAATGAAACCAAGGAACAATTTGCTAAGATGAACAATGGTAAATTACCAGATGCTATTGTTGCTTGTGTTGGTGGTGGGTCCAACTCTACCGGTATGTTCTCACCTTTTGAAAAGGATGAATCCGTCAGACTTATCGGTGTTGAAGCTGGTGGTGATGGTGTTGATACTAATTTCCATTCTGCTACTTTGACTGCTGGTAGACCAGGTGTTTTCCATGGTGTCAAGACTTACGTCCTACAAGATAGTGATGGTCAAGTCCATGACACTCACTCTGTCTCTGCCGGTCTAGATTATCCTGGTGTAGGTCCAGAATTAGCCTTCTGGAAATCTACAGGCCGTGCTGACTTCATGGCTGCCACTGATGCTCAAGCTCTAGAAGGTTTTAAATTGCTATCTCAATTAGAGGGTATCATCCCAGCGTTAGAGTCATCACACGCTGTTTACGGTGCTATTCAAATTGCCAAGACAATGAATGCTGAACAAAACTTAATCATCAACATCTCTGGTAGAGGTGACAAGGATGTTCAAAGTGTTGCTGAGATTTTACCAAAACTTGGTCCACAAATTGGATGGGATCTTAGATTCGAGGCTAACCCAGCTTCCTCTCAACGATAGATCATTATTTATAAGTTCCAGTGCAATAAATTAGATTTAATATTTGTGAAGACCTTTATATTCTAAAAAAATGAATATAAACTTGTGATCCTAAAAAGTCTATATTGCTCATAAAATAAATACATAAAAATCTTTTCTTTTTTTTTTAGTTAAAGAATATAGTACGTAAAGGTAAAATTATATAAACTATCTATATGTTGATATATGGTAAGCCATAGTGAGAACTTGAATAAAAACAACGCTATATCGATGATCTCTTCCTCTCTTTTAAATTGTTCTTGTGTGTATCTTATTCGTGAACATGAAGCTAATCGGTCGCTTCTTAAAACGAAAATTTTTTGATTTAAAAGACAAACAAATTTCTTGATCTGGCGATGAGGTAGGGATGATATGTTATTATCAATGTTGAGAGGACAAAAACGCAATCATAAAACGCAGTTCAGTATATCTATACCTTTTTAATTTATTCCTTGGGTCACTATCCAGACTGACATTTTGAAGTAACCAAGATGAATGAAAGCGGGCTTCCCTTCAAACGACCGGTTGGTATACAACTGGCGACCGGTATAGTGGGACCCAGTGTCTTTAGATCTGCAAAACATATTCATAACTATAACTCAGATGAAAGCTGGCTAAAAACGACTGATGCAACAATACCTGAATCATTCATGAGTTTCAATATTGTCTCTAGCAATGTTTTGATTCCCGATGATTTGTCGCCATCTTGGCCCACTACAAATATGTCACCACATTTGCATGCCCCAGTTGGTAGACGCTTATTATCAGAAACCAACGGGTTAACAGATACATTCATCGATAATAATATATCGGAATATGATTTATTGGACGATGAAATTGAACCTCAGGATGATGAACACGTAAGAGATTCCCTATTATCTAAATTACATTGGGGCCGTCTTACACCATCTCTATCTAGTACAGGGAGCTTTCAAATATACAATGATGTCAAGGATGTGAATACCAATAGGATGTATATGTCACCAGCTTCCAGTCCAGTTTCATTCCATCATGATTATCTCCCAAGAGGCGTAGTAAGAAGTCTCAGTAAGAGTGATTCTTCAGTAAGCTTACCATCAAAACAAGACATCAAAACTTCAGGTAGATACACACTTATTGATCCAACCATTAGAGATACATTTATTATTGGGAAGATTCAAACTTCATTTGACATAAGAAACTATATAGATTATCATGAATTAATTGCTTACAGTACAGGTAAAACACATTCTACCTTGCGATTGTCAATTTACAAACATCAGGGTACAAAAAATTACATCAAGGACGAGGCTAATATTACAGAGATTGATTTACATAGTAGAATTAAAACTATCAAAATTCCTATTTTATCCAAGGCATATGCACGCTTCTCTGATATCATCGCGGTGATTACTGACAGATCATTAATACTCATAAAGATCAAAAGTATAGATTGCAATAGAGACTATAGAATAAAATATCATGTATTAGAACCATTAAGTTTTACATCCTTGGGTGATTACCCTTGGGCTGATGTCACTTTCAATCCGATGGACCCTCAACAATTTGCTGTAGTTGATACAAAAGGAAATTATGCTATAGGTACGATTCCATCACCCCTTCGAAAATCTAACAAGTTGAGTTTAAATACCAAAATGAGGGGAACTATTTATGACCCGGAGTCTCTGTCCTCCAGGAAACATATTTCTTGGTCATCAAAAGACTCACAAATATTGTTAATGGATGAATCGAAATTGAAAGAGATTAATATTCTTGAGAAATACCAGTTGGAGATGGTACAGGCTAAAAGTTGGTCACAGATACTTGATTTTTCAGAGATAGATGAAGATTATAGAATTATGCTAACATCTATGGAAATTATAGTATTGAGAACGAGCAGAGACTTTGATCAGACTACAAGAGTAATGTCTTGGAAACATTACTTGAATTCAAAAGACAGAACATACCGACTGTTCATACAACCTGTTACTTTACAAGACAAACAATTATACTTCACATATATCACATCAAAAAATCACAACAGAGTATATTTGCATGGATTTACACTGAATAGAAATGATAATACATTCCAGACTCTGAGAAGTTCTACGATACTAGATATACCGGGCTTAAAAAATGGGATTCAAACTTTACAGTTCGTAGAGGAATCATTTGAAAATGTTGATGAAGGTGATGCTTTGACATTAAATCTCTTTATCCGAGAAGTTGATACGACATCCATAATACATATGACCGAAAGTAATGTTCCTAAATTCAAATCAAACGAAAGTGATGAATCACTGGGGTTACCTGAAACTTCAAATTATTTATCAAATACGTATCCTGAACTTGAGTTTCTAACGAAAAATATCACCAAAAATATATTCGCTAGTCAAAAGACAAAAATTAATTCCAAAGAATCAAATGATGTCCAGAAATTTGAAGAGTATGGGTTTCATCTATCAGAGGCATTGAATAAATATATCACTGAAAATGATGAAGAAAATAAAATCGCACCTTCATTATTATCAAAGCTTACCAATACACCATCAAATATCAATGACATGGAGGAATTCTCATCTTTTTTGTTCCAATTTCTTGAACATTATAAAAAAGAGGATATTGACTTCACCGATCTAACGGGAATATTCAAATATATAGTACAGGAGAACACAAAGGATATAGATATTTTTTACAACAAACTACTAGAGTACTGGAGTATATTGGGTCAAGAAGCTATCGTTTTCACTAAGGAAATCGTAAATGAGTTAGTATGGGGCACCTTAAAATACTCAAAAACTAGCTCTGCTAAACAACAATATGATTCCACATATCATAAGTTGAATAGCTCATCTAAGGACATTATCGATGAATGGGACAATTGTGATATGACAGATAGCTTTTCAGACACCAACTCTACTATTCCATTTAGTAGCCAGCCTCAATTCACTTTAAATACACAATCCCAAATACCAACTATTAGATCATCCCAAAATAGAATATCTAAACGGAACTCTACTAGAGGTGGATTGTCAAGAAGGATAATCCGAACTGCCAGTAATATTGAAAATTCTCAACTTGATTCCGTTATTCAAAACACATTACCTTCATCAATGGCTCCTGCATTTACATTAATGGGTAGTTCCGTTCCATCCACACAGTCTTCACAAGTATCAAGTATAATACCATTTCAAGTCGGCGGATCACAAAGATCTAAAAAGAAAAAGAAAAAGGTTGGCGGATTTAATTGATCCCTAATTATGAACACTAAATTGCATTACAGTCATTTATATATCACCTGCATTACTTTGCATTTTTATTATTACATATATACAAAGGACATTAAATGTTCGAATATAATAAAACATATCCTTCATTTCTTAAAAAGCAAAAATTCATGGGAAAATTGAATATTAGACATATTCTATTTAACTGAACAAATTTTATTATATTATAAAATCTACTTATAGTCGTCTGATCTGAGCTGAACTAGACATACTGTGGTTAGACTTATATTCGTTCATTATTTAAGGTGTTAGGTATAGAGGTGAATGGCGTAGCTTGAGTTTTGATGTTAGGTAAGCAAAATATAATTGTTATATTTCTCTTATATTTGTAAGTGATTTTTTATATTGTATATAATTTATAGAACGAATAGAATCTAACTCAGAATGAAAGTTTAGAATTCTTTGTCTTTATATATTATTTATTTTCTCAAAAAAACTGATTCTCTAATTCTTTCTTAATAATATATTACCTAATGAATTATTAAGTAAAAACCATTATTACCTAATTACTAGGTAATTCTTCATTCTTATTTGGACATTTTAGATATATCGATTCCACATAATTTCTGTCATGATTATTTATATCTTATATAAAAATATATAAAATAAATTATGAAAACAATTATATTCATAAATGAAATACAGTTCCATTTATATATGTTGGATTTCTCGTTGTCGTGATTATAAACTCACTCAACGGTGGCGGAAGTAATCTATTAGTAAGTTGTTGTGGGATTAACCTTGGTCGTTGTCATTCTTATTGTCAGAAATTAAGAGTAGTATGCACAACACTTAATTTCAATAGGTAAAGAACTACCTTTAAGCACAGTTATTTTGAAGCGTGTTAAAATATGAAACAAAATATGTGGCAACATGAAACAAAGTTAATCGCATTATGAAACAAAACATAATTCGAACCTCAATTGAGATTAGAATAAAAATATATAAAGACAAAGAATTCTGAACTTGCATTCGAAGTTAGATTCTATTTGTTCTATAAATTATATATAATATAAAGAGACTGATCGATTATTGACAGAAATTATGTGAAATTAAGATATCTAAGATGTCCTAATAAGAAATAAACATTTTATTAGGTAATAGTCGTTTAGGCCATAATTCGTTTAGAAAATAAGTTCATTACTTATCGATCGTTTAACCAACAATCGTTTAGGTAACAAATCAATTACTTGACAATCGTTTAGGTAATCAGTTTACTACTTAACAATCGTTTAGGAAACAATCGTTTAAGTAATAAGAAGAAACGAAACTTCGATAAAATAAATGATATATAAAGACAAAGAATTCTGAACTTACATTCTGAGTTAGATTCTATTCGTTCTGTAAATTATATACAATATAAAAAAATCACTTACAAATATAAGAGAAAGATAACAATTATATTTTGCTTACCTAACATTAAAACTTAAGCTACACCATTCACCTCTATACCTAACACCTTTAATAATGAACGAATATAAGTCTAACCACAGTATGTCTGCTTCAGCTCAATTATCGTATTAAAAAATGTCCGAATTAAATAAAGTAAAGCTTGAAGAGACTAATAGAGGCAAACACTCTATCTCAGATTCTCTACACTTATGATATATTTCCGGCAATAACATTATTAGATTGTGACTCTGTTTTTTTTTTGATTCTTATTCTATATCTTTAACACCCTCAGAACGCCATTTTTTCATGTTGCGGATTTAGCTCAGTTGGGAGAGCGCCAGACTGAAGAATAACTTCGGTCAAAAAAGAAATCTGGAGGTCCTGTGTTCGATCCACAGAATTCGCATATTTTTTTATTTTTTTAAATTCTCAAAATAAATTTGAGGAATTAATCAATGTTTTGGTTCAAATTCCATATGTGTTCTTTATGAATCATGACTTTTTTTGTAAATATTTGATGTGCTTATGACAGTCCCCAATCTTTTTTCAATTCTGGTATACGTCGTAATTGGTACTTGCGAAATTTAATTTCTGTTAAAAACTTCATTCGAAAAATGGAAGCACTCGACAAAAAACCATTTAGGATTACATAATAGTTCGAAATTTCACCATTAATCTATATTCCTATTCAGCAAAACTGTTTTACTCTGTCATCCCTCATAATTAACTATTATTGGTGGCTTTATTTCAATTACCAAATAATTTTGCAATCTCCGAGACACATATACATTTCTCGACCAATTTAAGAATAGGTTTAACTTAAAGTCAATGGAAAGGGTACTTCTATTACCCTAATAAATGATAATTTTAACGATAAAGTTATACCCTTTTAAAATCTATTATGTCAGAACAGAAATAGACTGTACTGAAAAGCAATGATATGTTTGATCTCCGGAAATTATTTTATTATACAAAAAGGATAAATATCTACATATTACTGTGTGATAAAGAATGCTTAAAAACGATGATGATGATGATGATGACTTGACTGTGACAAAATTAAATAAATAAATCGATATACCTACACAATTTATTATCGAAGAAGTATTATTACTTGGTCTTTTAACGTTCTTTTAACATCTTATTTCTTTTCTCTCTTCTTCTCATTCTTTCAACCTTCTTTGCATGCATCTTAGTAGCCATCTTTTCATATCTTTCTTCTTCTTCCTTCTTCTCTCTTCTTTCCTTTAAAGCTTGAACTCTCTTTTGTTTCTCTTCAGCCTTCTCATCCTTTAAAGCCTTCACTCTATCTTTGAACTGTTTGTCCTCCAGTCTCTTTTGTTCCTTCAATTCCCAAGAAGTTAGTCTCTTGTTCTTAACTACTCTACTTTTAGGTCTCATTGGTTGTTTGGCAACCTTCCAGGTTCTACCACTAATATTGGCACCTTTACTCTTAGAAGTAGTATCCACAGGAACTTCAACGTCACTCATTTTTATACAGCAGTCTTTTTGAAAACGTATTTGGTGCTTTCAGAAGGTATACAAATATTACAAGCAATTCTTCAAATCCTATTCGTAACCGAACTACTTCCCTTTAAATGTAGTCAAACTTTGAGCTCATCGCTGATATTAACATAGAAATCTTCCCAACTTCAAAAAAAATTTTCGGTCAAAAAAGTTCGCAGGTAGACCGAATGCCGTACAAAATATATGATTTATTATTTCTTTCGCTGCGGTTGAAAACTAGGGCTTACCAAGATATTTTAGGGTAAATGAATCGCATTATGGTGTAGAAGGATACCTTTGCAATGGATCAAGAATTATATTCAAGGATGAATTGGTTTCATTTAATGGAACTTATTCAGGGCAGAATGTTTGGATTAATTGGGGGAAATATATCAACTTGATGTGCCCCCTGTGAAAACATTCAAGATGAAAATGGAGAATAAACCTTGATCTTATTTAACCGTCATTAAAGTTTGAATTTAGCTATCAGCACCTAAATACAACAATTTGTATATAATTTAAAGTAAAGTGGTACTGTCGTATGTAATATTAGATAAAATTACAGCATGAATATAAATTTGTTATAAGTATCTATATAGTTTGTTAGAAGGTTTCTGTCAATAACCGTCCTGTATAGCATTTTTTAGGCAGGCTGGAAAACAAATACAGATATATATTTTGTACGTTACTTTTTTTGCAAAGGAAGGCGTTAGTTAAAACTAAAAGGGAAACAAACTATTTGAAATATCAACGAGAAGTGCAAAGAGGTATTAAACTTTAGAAAAGCATTACTCAGACTCATATATATACCATATATCGTAACCTTGGAAAGTTAGTAAGTTTGAATCATAGTTCGCATACCTGTACATAAGTTGACCAGTCATTCTAAACTTCATTTTTTCATACTGATTAGCTGAGGTCGTAAAAAGACAGCATTACCACCAAACACTACGGAGATTCCTTCATTATCCTAGACCAAACCAAAGAGCTATGTATTGCACAAAAAATATTTGTCGACTGACCATCAGTAGCTTAACTCATATATCAAAACGTAGTATTGTTATTCCTAGATCAAAGAATAAAAAAATAAAACCGTTAAAGAGTAAAACAAGACATGTCACATTAGAAAACATCAATCCTGATGATGTGATGACTCTCCAGGATCCTAAGCTACTCGAATTTAAAGTTAAACAGTTGCGTGAGTATACGCGACGTTTACAGGAAAGACTAAGAGCATCTAATATAAATAAAACAAGAGATGACGAAATAACGGATCTATTTAATGAACCCAAGAGTGATGTTGCAGAATCTTTATTAAACTCCTTTACTTCTAAATCTTTACCAGAACATAGCTCAAAAGATATTTCAGCTTCCTCGACTTCTGTTTCTCAAACTTTGTCTGATTTAATCGATACAGTGTCAACACATCAGATCGAAAAATTGATACCTGAAGATGCAAGAACGATAATCAATAACGATACTTTAATTATGAAATCTATGTTAAAAAAGAAGAACCCTAATTGGAATTTAATAATAACAAACCTTATGAATGATAAGTCTAAGTTTCTTACTCTTTCAGAAGAAACAGTGAATAGTTGGTTAATGAATGGAATAACATATTTATCTTATGAGAATATTGAAAAATTAGACGATTTATTACAGGTATGGTCAAAACAACACAACACTCCAATATCACCAGAAATATTTGACGGTTTACTGAGAGTGTGTTCAAAATTATCTCCTATGAAGTCAAATATAGTTACAGATATTAAAGAAGATATAGTATTTCAAAAGATGAAAGATATTCTAGAGCGCATGGATGAATCATCCATAACTCCTAATGAATTTAACTTAACTGCATGTGTGACATACTGTTCGAAACTGAAGGATTTTAAGACTATGAATTTTTTCCTTGAGAAATTCCAAACCGAGTATGGTCTAACGCCTAATAAGCACACTTACACGAAAATTATTCAATTTTATGATGGATTAGGATTGGAAGAACGTGCATGGAATACTTTTGACACAATGAAATTCTTGTCAAAAAGTCATAAACCAGATATTTTCACCTATAATATGATGTTACACATATGTGACAAACAAAAAAATTATGCAAAAGCTATAGACTTATTTTATGAAATTGAGGAAGAAAAACTAACTCCAAATCATTCGACATTTGTAACGATCGCCAAGACGCTTGCCTCTTCAAGTGGGGATAATATTATAGCGGAAGGTAATGCTGAATCGCTGAGATTACTTGGTTGGAAGTTCATTAGCAAAATGTTTGAAAATGAAGATTATGATAGTGTTGCCTCTATGATGGCACTGGCAGCTTATGATGGAGATGTTACCCTATGTCGTGCACTATTTTTCAAGTTTACAATGAGCGAATATACCTCTAAGAGAGAATTTGAACCAAACACTGGTAATTTATGGATGAAATCAATAAAACCAATTTTGTTTAATTACTTGTTATTATCTTATTCCAAGTTTAAGCCAGATTATGTTCCACTTCTAGTTGGATGGCCAGAAGGTGCACAAATGAGAAGAACCATCCTTAATAGTGTAGATTATACCGGAAAAGCTAGTGATACGCGAAACGTACTTCCTTTACTACCGTTAAAGAATTTGAGTTCATCTGATCACATATTAGCCGAGTCTAACGCATTATGGAAATTCATTTTAACTAACGGTGATTTTACTCAAAGCACTACTACTAGTCTATCTCAGGAATTAAACAGCCAAATTTTACAAAAGTTAACCGTCGAATCTACAAATTTTGAAGACTTTAAATTCAATATTTTACACGTTATCGGTAAATGGAAGGTTAACCATATGAACAACTCCATCTTCAATCATCGATGCCTTGTCTCTTATTTGAGCATCCCGTTGAGATTGAATAACGCTACTGAGTTTTGGGAAAGACTAGACACATACACTTTTAAAGAAAGTGAATTTGATGATAAACTATTAGAGGTGTATTACGAAGCTAAATTATTAGAAGATAAAATGACCCAATCTGAAAACCACACTTCTATGGAAATTACAACAACTTCTTTCATAGAGAAACATATCGAATATTTTGCTTCAGTTAGTCATAAGATCCTATACGACAATTCAACATTCGATATAGCAATGAAAGGTGCAACTAAATTTAATAACCTAGAGAGAGCCAAACAAGAATGGATTGATAGAGGGAAATTTAGAAAAACCGAAAATTATATGAAACTTGGCGAAAGTAAGAAAAGTCAACTCGACTCTGAATTTGCCAAGATCATGGTAAATTTCTTTGTTTCTCAGAAAAAATATGATGAAGCCATGAGTATTGTTCTAACTTCGAAGAGAAACATCAGATGGAAATATGGTATGGTAAAGAACTTGGTGGACGGTCTTGAAAAGATCGAGGATAAGAGGAATGTTAAGATCCTATTAGATATATTAAACCGGAAACCAACCGAAATTGCATACATTAATAAACAAATAGAAAATTTGGACCTAAGCATAAGGTAGCTTACTTCAGTCTACCAACCTAACCAGAATAATGTGATTCCAGTAATCTAACCCCCAAAAACACTGCATAAAAAATTAAATTATTTTGTAAATAGGTAAAATTATAATATAAACATGTACATAAAAAAAAATCATTATATCTATGATACATATTACCTCTTTTATTCAATCTTCTTTGTCATTATCCAGAGAAAGGATGCTGCTACTTTGACTTCTAATAGATACATCACTTCTTTGATTACCAATATTATTATATACTACATTCAAATGATCTGTCCGTTGTTCATCGTCGAGGTCTATACTAATTTCATTATCGTTAACAGAATCTAACTTTTGTTGTAATATCCCTACCTCTCTACGAAGTTTCATTACTTCATCCAGATAAGCTTTTCCATAATAATCAATATAATATGTAGCACCATTATGGGCAGCACAAAGGAATATAAATATTAGGAAGAGAGAAGCAGCCAATTTATATCTCAACCATATACTACATAAGAGCATAGTACTTAGCTGATAGAAATATTGCAATAGAATATAAATGACAGCAGGCCAAGGATCATTCAATTTAACTACCCACCAATTCTTGAATTGATGTGTCGTGAGATATTCGAAACTCGTCATTCTTTTACCGGCTTTTATCTTGGACGATTGTCTTACTGTAATAAAATAATGATACAATGACTGCCATAATAGATAAAATAGAGACGTCCATAATATATTTGTCTTTAAATCTATTGACTTTCTCGCTCCTGGAAATCTCTCCAGCTTGTAGGATTCAGAAATACCATAATATATAATATACATCGTACAAGGCGGCATAATATGTATGAAACATGAAGTTGTTTTATCAATTGAATGTAATACCAATGAATTTCTCCAGGCAATAACAGCGAATGCTAGGGAACCAAAAGAAAATGCAAAGCAAGAATGAAATAACATAATGGAATCAGATCTTATCCAAATAAACACAAGACACATTATATTGACGAAGTAGCATAGATCCGCCATATAATAATGATTTTGAGTTTTGTAATATGTATAAAATCTTACAGGCATTAATATACCAAACATAATGGAATAATATATGTGAAACCACTCTGGAAACTTGCCCATTATATAACCAATTGCAAATATATTAAATAACGTAAAAGGATAAAAAAGCTTTTCAATAACTGATGGATTCTTAAAAAATATCAAATCTAACGGTTGGTCTAATGCTTTTATCCTTTTAAATATTTTCTGTCTTAACTCATTAATCGGTATTTTAGCTCCATTGCGATAATGTCGATATATTTTAGACCTAGTACTGGGCTTCTCACTTTTATTATCTTGATTATGCGACCGTTTTGAAAAAATTGGTAGCTGTCTTGCAGCAACTTTAGATGCCAAAGGATCTAACAATTCAAATATATTGAATATAGATGGGCTATTTTCAGATATCAAGGAATCATCACTGTCATCTTTGTTAACTAGAGATGACATTCTTGAGACAACAGTATAGTTTACTGTGTCGTATTAGTGACTCCGATTGGTTACTTCAGCAGATTGCGGTAGCTCTTAATCTGTAATTAAAACCTCAAAAACAAAGGAAATGTATCTTCTTTTCTAGGGAATACCCTAACATCGATAGTGTTTCACTCTCTGAAATTTAGTTAACTTCAGTCAAAAGATAGATAACGCCTTGATTCTTTCCCCTTTAAATAAGGGTCTCTAAATTCTCTCATCGCTTCTTTTCTATTGATCGAAAATGTAAAAAGGGCAATATAAATAAATATTCTTGGACTGTTTGTACACCCAAACATTTATTTGCACAACATCCGAACACCCCTAAATATAAGGAATTTCGCATTTTTTCTCGTTTATTTTTCATTTTTCTTTGAATTTTCAGGTGGAAGAATCGCCGCCACATGGACTTCTCCACGCCTTAACTGTCGATGAATCGCTGTGAAATTTCGGTTGCAGTAATACTGGGCAATGTAGACTGCTTAAGCATTGTAATAACGTAATGATTGGATTCTTGTTCGTGTTTAGGTTTCGCAATTTATACAGTATCGCCATCCACCAAGGTACTGACAGTTAGCGAAACTTTGGAGTCTGGAACTTATTATACGTTTGCGCTAAGCACATTGAGGATAGCATCAGCCTTAATACCCATACTTATATTAAAGCTAGTCCAATTTTTACTGACGATTTATTCTTAACTTAAATTAATAAAAAAAACCGTAACTAAAGTAACGAGTATGTGTGATATTATAATGTTGAAATGATAGCTAAGGATAGACGAATTTGACCTGAGATTTTTAGATTAGATAGTTATGAGTTAGGAATAAAAAGTTCTAAATGATAGTAATATATGATTAAATGCAAATCCCATTATCACCACAAAAGAGGATAATCCCTCTTTGATGTTCAATTCCCAAATGAAACATGAAGCATATTCGAGATGTAATTATGCATACATATGATAGTTATTGCTTTCTTTGCAATTCGAAATTAAATTAGACGGAATTTGTACCATTTGATAAGGCACCATGATTATAAAAAATTGATTTACAGGACTTAATAATATTCTATTGATATCCTAATTGAATTTCTGAAACAATGTTATCATTTTAGTGTGATAATTTTCAAAACGACACAAATTTTACTAACAATTATATTCCTCGTTGATATTTATTTATTACAGACAAAAATGAAGGTTGAAGTTGATTCCTTTTCCGGTGCTAAGATCTACCCAGGTAGAGGTACTCTATTTATCCGTGGTGACTCCAAGATTTTCAGATTCCAAAACTCTAAGTCTTCCTCTCTATTCAAGCAAAGAAAGAACCCAAGAAGAGTTGCTTGGACTGTTCTTTACAGAAGACACCACAAGAAAGGTATCACTGAAGAAGTTTCCAAGAAGAGATCTAGAAAGACCGTCAAGGCCCAAAGAGCCATTGTTGGTGCTTCTCTAGACTTGATCAAGGAAAGAAGATCCATCAAGCCAGAAGTTAGAAGAGCCAAGAGAGATCAAAAGAAGTCTGCTGACAAGGAAAAGAAGTCTGCTGACAAGGCTGCTAGAAAGCTAGAAAAGGCTAAGCAAGCTGGTACTCAAGGTTCTAAGATGTCCAAGCAACAAGCTAAGGGTGCTTTCCAAAAGGTCGCTGCCACTTCCCGTTAAGTCATTTTAATATGAAAACTATTCCATATCAATTTTATTTTCTTCTCTATTAATCTGATGGATAACACAATTCATGTTCCTTAAATGTTTGAAAGAACATTGATGAAATTGTATAGATATATTTTCTATATAGATGCTGTGATTTCATTTACATATATAAAAAAATATAAACCACCAATAAAATATAATATTATAATTTAAAGTCAGAATGAGTATATAGAACTAAAGAACTGCTAAAATGCTCTTATAGCATTGTAGTATTACTGATCGAAAAGTTCCATTTTCGGATTTGTTAAGCGAAATGACAGTCCTCGACAAAATTAAACGATAGAGGGGTGTTATATCATCACTAAAAATGGCAGAAAACAATTCACAATATGATATACGCTTTAACAAAATGCTAGAGTGATAATTCTTTACAGTGAAAAGTTTCGTTGAAGTGGGAAATACTGTTTCAATATAATATTATAACAGTGGAAATTCATTGAGAAACGCTACGTTACATAACAAATTCTTTATAGAACCTACGGTCAGAGTTCAACATGCTTCGTTTAGGTAGAATCCCGATTGTGGGCTATAAACCATTGATTTCAGTTATACAAACAACTAAAACACTAAAATTCCCAACAATTACAAGATCAATTAGTCAATCTTGTAAAAGACTTGCTACGGCTCCAATTCAACAACAAGCCAAGAACGTTAAAGCAGAGACAGGCATTAAAAAACTAATGAAAAAGTATGGTTATTCTGCATTAGTTGTATATATTGGTGTCACCTTTATCAGTTTGCCATTATGTTTCTTTACTGTACACTCCATGGGTGCTGAAAAGATCAGTATTTACATGAACAGGGGTAAACAATTATTTGGATATGGTGAAGTAAATGATGAAGCAGTTATCGAGAAGTTAAAGCAAAAGAAGTTGGAATTGGAAAAACAAAGAGAAAGTGGAACACACACTAAATGGGGTGAATTTAAACAAAGCACTTTACTAGCTGAGTTTCTGATTGCATATGGTTTACACAAAAGTTTAGTATTCGTTAGGATACCGGTGACTGCAGCAGTAACACCTACAATGGCTAGACTATTTCAACGTTGGGGGTTCAGGAGACTTGCTGGAGGGGCAAACATTATAAAAAATGACAGAATTATTCCAAAAGTTGGTCCAAATGGAGAGTTACCAAGACAAAATCCATCTAGCTCAAGAAAATGGTTTAACGGGTTGATGTAACTCAAGATAATGTTATATCGTTGTATATATTTATAAAATATAAGTTTAATGAAAGCAACATTTTTAATTTTTTTAATTTTAGTAGAAACTTAGATAGTCAAACGACAATTATAACACAATATAAACAAAAAGAGAAGCTGTTGCCAGGTGTTCAAAGAAATTATTGGACCAGAACAGAACCACCATAACCAAAGTTAAAAGATGAATCTTAAAATATTGATATTTTCAGTCGTTAAAGGTTATTAACATACCAAATAAGTCAAGATTATATACAATCGATACCCCATTCTCAATGAAAAAAAAAATGAAGATGACCATATATTCCCATTAATGTCATCTCATGAATGCATTAACGAACATACAATCTAGTCTCAAAATAATGAACAAGAATAATTAATAATGTATAGTATTTCTAGCATGATCATTTTCAGAAATACCTAGACTTAAAAGCATAAATATTATTAATTCGATGTTATAATTTATTATGCGTTAAGAGGTAAAATTCAGTGATGCATTATACATGCGAATAATTGTAGCTTCTAACCTCACTAGAACACCATTAAGCTACAATTTTTGACTTCGACCGGACTTCCTTTCTAATTTATCATCGAATTAGCTGCAAAATAGTTAATACTTCAAACAAAGAGTTAAAACTATGCAAGGCTATTTCTGTGCCATCTGATAACACTTATCTCGAGAAGCCGACTCTGCCCTTTGTCTCTCTATCCCTCTCTAAACAAAGCAAAATCTGCTTAAAACAAAAAAAATAAGTAAAAACACGAGATAATTAAACAAAGACAGACAAACGACAGACAAGACTTAAATGATTATTATCATAAATAAAAAATAATACAACAGATAAAATAACAATAACGATAATACGTACATGAAATTAACCTTCTTGTACGTATTGTCGTTATCCGAATTATATGGACTATTTCTTTGGCTAATTGTTATCATCCGCTCATCGATACCTGATACATACTTTACTCTCAAATATTTTCTATATTCATATTTACATTCCTATCGTCTCAATCATTATTGTCTGATCGATGTATTTTGATCATTACAATAGATTAATTTGGAATATTTTTTTCTATCTTTTATAGAACGTATTGTATAGAGTCTTTCCTTTTTCTATTATTTTCAATGACCATAATATATGAATTAGGTTTCTTTACTTCTTTCAATTGTTTGAAGTGCTTCTAGTTTTCTATTTTATTTCTTGTATAGAATAAATCAAGTCGTTTACCAGGTACTTAATACGTAGCCAATGACCTAGAGTTATGGTAATAATAATGAGACAATGTGATTGTTTGTAACTAATCAGACTCAATTGTTTCATTACCTTATAATAACGTTGATATATATATAAATAAGAATAATTCCTAAAACTATTTTTGATAATAAAAGTTATTCTAAGTATATTTCAAAAGATTTATAAACTTCCTCTCTCCTTTTCCAATTCTTTTAGGTTCATCGATTTGTCCAAGTCAATTACCTTACCCTTTTATATGACATCACCTTTTACCGACTATTGCATCTATTGTGATCAGCTAATTTCTACTAATGAAAATGTTTTGTATTACACACGTACAAGTTCTGAAATCGAGAAGTTTCATAAACAATTGTATTGCTCAGAGAAATGTAAATTTAGTGATGAACATATGAAATTAGCACCCTTTAAGAATCAAGAAATCGATAAAGAATACCAAAATATGGATAGTTATAATAGAGTAGAAAATATTATAGAAATCGAAAATATTACTGAGAACAGTTCTATATTTGATAAGTACTCATACCGGAAAGATTTCAATATTGATTCCAGTGAGAGCCGAGGAGCTGACCTTGAAACCCTCCTAACATCCCCACTACTTGTACCATCCAACAAAATACCTGAATATACGAATAATAATAATAATAATAATAATAGTTCTCTAAGTTGTACCATCACAAATAAGGTCTTCTTTTCCGAACTAAAGTCGACTTATAGCTATATACATTTTGACGAGAGTCCTAGGATGACAAATTTTTTGAATGATGTATATGGTAGTATAAAAAATCAATCAGAATATATTGCTGAAAATAACTATTCCATATGGTTAAGTGAAATCAACGAATAAACAATATTATTTCAAATAACAATCTAATGAGATCATTCCATAATCAATTATGACTCCCTCAACTGCATAACAAATGAACAAATTATTTCAACTGGATTATCAATTGAAATGTTAATCAATGTTTTTTTATTTCTTTGAACCTTACTAAAATATTAATATTATATATTTGTATAATGTCGAACATCCATAGATATTTTAAAAATAACTACTTTTCCCTATTATACTTTCAAGTTTATTAGAGTTAGTACCCAGTTTACCACCCACACGTTGCATTGAGTCTTCCGTATACGACAGTCTATTTAATTGACAGTCTAGTTCGTCTGAAGTTTCTTGAGCAATATAACGTAACTTTCTTGATATATTTCCAACTTCATCTAGTGCTTTATTGATATAACAATCTATGTCATCTTCTGGTGACCTAAATTCAAATTTAACGTCATAACGTCTTGGGGTGTAATTAAGAAAGTCAGGGAGACTGGAATCGCCAAAATCGTTCTTTTGGTTAGCGTAATTTGTCAAACGCTTCTCAGATTTTAACGGTATATCTTTTATATCCAAGGCATTAGCTGACACATTCTCAAACTCGTTGAAGGTTGGTGTCATGTTATTTGTTGGTTTCAAACCTCGTAAATGCATGATATTATCACTTGCTCTTTTATTATATGCTTGCATCCTATCCAATTTATTGTCAACATCCCTTAAAACATCATGTTGACAATGAAGAACATCTAGTGCGTGAGTCCCAGAGGACTCTGCTTCGTATCCCATTTTTATCATATTTTTTAGTGACTGTAGAGAATTATTCTTTACAAGGCATACTTGTTTCAATTGTTGAAAGGAACTATCCGCACTTCCAAGGGGGCTTATCATTTTATACCTTTCATCTTCAAAGGAATTTTTATAGCGATCATAATAACAATTTTCCTTCGTTGAAGTCGAAACATCCTTATCATAGTTTATACCAACAATGGCATCCCCAAATTTAGATTTGTTCCGAATGCTTCCTCCTTTCTTAAGTTTAGCATGCAATGAAAATCTACTCTTAAAGCTTTGGTTATTCTCATTTTTCTTAACAAATAAGTTATCTTTGGTTTTAGATTTTGAAATTTTATGTATTTTAGCCTTTGCGTTCCTTCCACACTGAACCACATGCTCTTTAATTTTTGAATATGAAGGGTGATACCTCCGACTACCTATTTTACCTTGTTCCGAATATCTCGAATGTCTCATACGCATTACTGACACCTTGTTATAATCAAGTAAGGTTTATATTTTTGATAGCTTTTTCTTTTTTAGAAAAATATTAGCAATGTTTTATATTTTCAAATTATATAGCTGAGATTTCCTGTATTGTTGTCTCTTTAGGTAAATTTATTAGATTAACAATTATTCCTATTTGTTTAAAAGCAAGTATTATATGAAGACCTAGACTATAAAAGTTGACTCAAATATAACTAACATTTCATTTGTTAATCAAATGAGGAAGTGTCTGTATTCATTTTTTGTTATGCGTCGCCTCCTCATTACAGTGTGTCACAATTTCGAAATACATCGTCATTCATATCCCAAAGCCCATATAAAAAAATCAGAGGAAAAGAAATATTTCCATCTGTAATAGGGTTCAATAAAGCATATTATCAGATAGTAAAAATACTGAATATTTTTTATAATGCATTAGCAATAAATTATTTAAAAGTGTGAAGAATAATTGTTTTTAATAATCTTCAATTACATACTATAATTTTGCATATTTTTCACAAGCTTTGATACCAAAATGCTCATTTACCAGATGGTTTATAGCTACATTACCATATAAGTTGACAAATCTTCTTCTGACAATAATATTATTATGAGAATCTGGCTGTATGCTCACCAATACTTTTCTCCAATCCATTGTTTCTTGCCATGTCCGTGCTATACGTTCCTGTATCCTGTTAACATTTTCATTTGGATAGAGGACCCTGCTAATCGTAGACCTATCATTATAATGTGGTTCTGGAAGATCGTCAGGATGGTATACTCTATCATGGACAATTGCATCTGTTCTTAAGGAGGGATTTTTGATATACTCTTGTGTGGGCATTGGCGCCGTTAAAACCGATAATGCTGAAAGTATTGTTGACGCTTCCTTAGGAGCAACAAATTTCTCATCAGATATATTTTGGTTTCCACTTGGTGGAGTAGCATCACTTTCGGAATCTGACGATGTTTCAGTTATTTGTGCCCTCTCGAACTTTCTGTTCTTTCTTGTATGAATTAATGCTTGTGGCATTGCCCATTGTACGGCTGCTTTTTTATCTAAATCATCTTTTGGAATTTCACGAACAGATCCTTCTCTACTTGGGGTTACACTTGATATGTTGCTTTCAGGAGAGTCTAATTCAGTGTCCCGATTTTCAGTCGTTTCTGCCTGTATCATGCTCTTTCTCTGTATTTTTTTAACAGCATTCAAACTGTTCCAATCAAGATATAGTAGAGCTGCAGTTCTTAAAGGAACAATCCCATCATGTACCACATTTGCATACACGGTTCTATGTATGAATTGTTCAAAAATTTGACGGACAGGAGGCTGTGGTAAAAGTTCCATTATTAATTTTGAATTTTCTTGATTTTGATACTTCGGATCATCAATATAAAGTCCATCCTTAGATTGCAAAGGTGTATACCTTAAATTCAAGTCTCGACCTGTCAAACCAAGGGAACCCATATCCAGGGGTAATGAAATATATAATGGATAGTCACCAATAACACCGACGAATGGACTAGCTAACGTGATAAAATTTATCGGTTTCACACCTGTTACTGGGTCAAACAGATCTGGTCTCTTCATCGTAATATAATGCACAGCCATTGCTTGTGTTGGCCCACCTAACGAATGTCCAATAAAAGATATCTTATCAACTTTATACTTCGTATTCAATTCATCGATGATCTTCACAACATATTTACCTACTCTTCTACCAATATAATGTACCCCCCTTGCAGATTTCCCCATGTTATCCATACACCCTCTAATTATAATATTTGGGTTTATCGATTCATCCATACCCAATGTTATTTCTTCAATCTTATCCTTAACGTACAACATATCACACCCAACGTTAGAAAAAATACCATGTGTGATAATGACTAAATGAACAGGTTTGGTAGGATATTTAGGTGATAGATTCCATAGAGAGATTGTATCCCATTCCTCTACTTTAATGCCTTCGAGAGCATCGATCTTCCTTCCTCTACTCCTCATCCGGGTGGATCTTCTCGAGGTACCAACTTTGATAGTGTATTGTAATTTGGGAAATGTTAGCACAGCTAATTGAGATATAACATCAATAGTCCAAGAATAAGATGTTGTACCTTTTATGTTAGAATATTCGTTGAATAACAATGTCGATTTAAACTTTTCATTCGGTTTCAAATTCTCTACAAAGGGGATAATTTCTTTACCTGCAAATGGTTTATCCTCATTATAATTGTCAGGTCTAATATCACAGTAAAATGAATATGGACCTGTTATATAAACCGGATTCAATAAGGCATTTTCATTATTTTTGATCTTGATAAAGAGTTCATCAACATCCACATCTTGTTCAGATAATATAGCCTTATCAATAGTTATTTTATACCTCGAGATATCACCAACCCCCAGGTGTCTTGATTCACTTATCAACAATAAACCTTCTTTCGACGCAGGTTTTCTTGTCATTGCAGAGGGCATCTCTTTATTTTAATGAACTATTGAACACTGGCCTCAGTAGATTAATATTCAGTTTCAAAAAATTTATACTGATTAAACTAAGGTTTAATACAATATTGTATCACCTTTAGACAACGTAATGAATACAAATTTCCTGTTTAATAGGTGTGATTTGAAATCATATTTCTCTCTTACTTCCCAGATCTGTTAAAATTCGATGAGCCATTGCTTTGTTTTATTTTTCTCTCTCTTTTGCCCTGTAAGATCAATACTTTTTTGTGAAAACAGCATAGCCATTCACCATGAGAGCGATTGGGAAGGTCAAACAAAATAATACAAATACCGTCAATGAATGATGTCAAGGTTTAACTGATAATTCTGGATTGCAAAATACATTTCAATATGAGCACTGATACCAAAATGCTGCAAGGAATGTTGACTCGTTCTAGAATGCACAAGAGAAGGAGCGACACTTCTTTATGGAATTCTTGAAGTACAAGACTTCAACATAGTTTTTATGAATCTTCTAAATATACATAAATTTTAGTGAGTTAAAGATAGATATACAAGACCGCATCACAATGGTAAATAATAATATCCTTATACCTGTATAAAGCAAGCGTTCAATACCTCGTATATTTTATTACGTTTTGAAACAGTATGATGTTCAATATATGTAAATACGATATAAAGAAATAATATATATAAGGCTAAAAGAAATATCAAGTCAAACATCCATGGAAGAAAGTAATTTCCAACTTGATAAGTTAATAATGTAAACAATTCCATGTAGCAATCCAATGTAGATCTTTAAATGTTAACTTGGGTAATATTTCTGCAATCTTAGTTATGGTATAAATGAAAGTTACCCGAATTTGGAAATTTCGGTTAGTTAAGTATGATTAATATTGAAAGAAAACTAGTAAATAATTGTTTCATATACTAAAAAGGTACTAGGCAAGTAACAGACAGAAGGACGCTCTGATTAAAACTATAACAGGTATCAAGCTATTAAGATAGCACCTTTTACACTTAAAACTAATTTTTAATACATGTTGATATATAGTGATATTATTCTCTCAATCAAGATACATCATAATTTATAATATTTATTTACAAAAACTTTTGACCACTATTACAGAACTACAGATCTGAACTATTTCTAAGGTCTTTCAATTAATTTTTACACATATCTAAACAAAATGGATCAAACTCTGATACCTTATAGACTTGAAGATGTATTCTCTTCGTTCTATAAGATTGATACCATTCAAAAGATCAATTATGAACAGTACATACCCAAGAACCAGGATGAACGTTGGTCGATTCAAATGGAGCTGAAACTTCGAAAACAAGATCCCAAGTGTTTAGTTGCATTATTATCCAAAGAACTTTGGAGATTTAGTATGAATGATGATCCAATACCGCCTTTACCATCATTAGATAACAAAGAGACTCTGATACCGACAGTTGATTCAAACTCATCCGAAAATGATGAAAAATCTATCCTAACACCTGAAAAGACAGGTGATTTTAATGCAGATTATTCAAAACCAAATTTACCCCCATATTATGCATTATTTTTGAAAGCACTTAGGAAAAGCATCTACATCAATTTGGCATTAAACTCTAATAATACATTAGTTCAATTTGGTAATGCCTGCATTCCGTTGAACTTCGAGAACGAGGATAAACAGTTCCTGTTACAAATAGAACCACATTTATTTTCCAACAGTGATTTATCACTTACTATCTGTGCGAAAAACCTAGAGTTCTCACAATTAAAGGAAGAATCATTGAATGCAAATTATTTAAAGGCTCATGCAATATATATGGCTCCTTCTGGTATAAGGGCATATATTAAGACAACAGCAAAGCAAAAATATATAATACCTTCACCAGCTAACGCAGATATACTATTAGATACATTATATGTCTCACATGGCATAAACTTGAAAGGAAAGAAAAATATGAAATGGATCTCATTGATTCCACACCTAGGCCATTTAAATGGTCAAACACCCTCGATTGGTTCATATATGACACCCCCATCTGAAACCAGAAGCATCACATGGCCTTTGGATCTATGTATTGTTCAATCATCCTTTGATAATACTCCAAACAAAATAGACTCATCATCTTCTGACGATTTTCAGAACGCTATTGATATGATCGATGATTTCATTCAAATAAAACAGACCTCTGCTTATAGAACACCTGGAAGTTCTGGTGCATTGGGCACAAATCCCATGAGTACAGGCGGACCATACACGGAACAATTCCAACCTATTAATAAGAAATCAGTATCTAGTGTTAATGGAACAATAGGGTTATCCCCTTTAGGTGGTGCTCAAAGTACACTGAGAAATACTGGAATTCTTGATCCAAGTAATAATTTACTTTCAAATAGTCGAGGAATATCACCTCAATATTCTACAATAGAGAAACTCGCTCCCAATCCAACTGACGCCTTTACTGGAGAGTTTTCGACCACGCCAGTCAGTACTGAAAACAATAATCAACTATTTAATGACAGAAAACAAGATCCACGTATAAGTCACCTTGAAATGGATGCCGACAAACCAATGTTGATTATGGACGATGTTCTTGATAATGACAATGGTGATAATAAGGAATTATTTGGAGATGAAGATGAAGATATGTTAACTTCAACAAACAAGAAAATTGGACGTGCCTCACAAGATAGAAATATACCAAATAATCCAATAAGTGATGATGATGAAGACCTTTTTGGAGAAACTTCAGAAGATGATTCAAAACCCTTACTTTCCAAACTCACATCAGATGAAATTACGGAGGATATGTTCGGAATGTCAGATGATGAAGAAGGTAATAACAGGTCTTCTGTAAAAAAGACTTCTAAATCAAAGAATACCAGTAATGACTCTTTCCCGGAAATCAATGAAGCGTTCGAGACCCCCAAAAAGGAAAACATGAAAAGAAAATACCTTGACATACCAATAGATGAAATGACATTATCAAATAGTCCGCTGTATATGGATCCAGGTGCTCCACTTCCAGTAGAAACTCCTAGAGAAAGAAGGAAGAGCGTTTTTGCACCATTGACATTTAATCCTAAAATTGAAAATAACGTTGATAATAAATATAAAAATGGTGGTAAATTTTCCTTTTCGCCATCTCAGAAAGAAGAGACATTAAAGTTTGACGTATCCACTGGCGAAGTATCAAGTTCAGAAGAGGAAGATAGTGACTCCAGTTTAGAATCCTTTGATTATCCCAACATTAAGAACGATCTAAGGTCCTTAGATGGAAATATTACTGAGCAACAATATAACCAATTAACAAATCCGCAAGATACACTTCCAACAGGGTTGCTATCTGGTGTGTTCAATGGAACTTCTGAATTATACAGTAACAGAGAAGGATCAAACTCAATATGGCGTCTTCCACCAAGTGAAATTCCCCAAACTGATTCTCCTCTTAAATCAATTGAACCATCGATACCATCGCCACTAGAAGGCAGTAACCAATCTGATAATTTTGGGAAAATTTTAAATGTCGGAAATTTTAAAGAAAATGAATCTTCTGTAAGTAGGAATATATCAGATTCTACGAAACCATTTGCAAGCAGTAATTCTGAGTCTGGTAATGATTCATCTACATCTGAAAGCTCTACAACGATAAAACAACATACGTCCAGTAATATTCCGTTCCTGTTAAGACATATGCCATTATCTTCAATCCCTGATGTGTTTTTATTTAAAAATCCTACCGTCACAATAAACATCACTGATACCAATATCCTCAATCAATTATGTGAACAAATCGTATTCGATTATAATTTGCTAAAAAATTTTGGTCTACCGAATCACGACTACGAAGGTGTCAATATTGAACCTAATGGTCTAGTGAGGAAGACAATAAGTTCATTATTCAATAATTTTGAGCAAATAGCTGGTAACACGTTAATTAATAAAATATTTCCTATCAAAGAACCATTCGTATTTGTAAGAAAACAAGATGAATTAATCAAAGTAAGATCATGTGTCCAAGAATATGCCAAGTTTTTAAATTTTAAAGCTCCATTTGGAATCAAAAATTTCAAATTTTTATTATTAACCAATTCTTTTAAGAATGACTGCTTATCCTTTGTATCTACCTTATCTCAAACATACATTAGTCAGGAATTTGGATTTTGTGAGCTACTAAAACTAAGTGATGGAGATGCGAATGGTTTGATCAATGTTAAGGATTACGAAAAGACAAAACTTCTTTTATTGGCAGCTCAGATAGTATCGTACTGTTCTACGAACAAAAATTCTGGAAATGATGCCAACTTGATGATAATACTTCCTTTAGAGAGCACAAGTGTCAACGAATTTGTTATGAAGACCCAGATATTCCAATTAATCAGAAGTGAAGTTCGTTCGAAAATCCCAAATCTTGATCTCTATTTCAAACTTATCCCGATGGAAATGATCAAAAATCCATTAACATCTGTTGATTCTTATTATAATTTATGTGCTAGTATTTACAACATTTTACCATCTAAGAAAATTAAATATACTACAATTGCGCACAAATTACCTGACAAAGTCACTTTTAGAACAATGAAGGTACCACATGGGTCTGCAGTCATTCATTACGATGTTTATATACATTTGGCTTATTCAAGAAGTGTTGATAAACAATGGATATTTGCAGCTCTTTCAGATAGTGACGGCAGTGAGAACGTGATCAAATCATGGTTTGTCGGTGACTCTAGAGAAGCATTTGATAATGCATGCAATGAACTTTGGTCAATGGCTCTATCTTTGGCTAGTCATCAATACGGCAAAATTTGCCTTATCTTAACTAGGTTGGATGGCATTTTACCAGATGATGAATTAATGAATTGGAGGAAATTATCTGGCCGTAACGTTCATTTGGCTGTTGTTTGTGTCGATGATAGTGAAAAGATATCCTTCTTTGATGAAGATAAATTGTATCCTAGTTTCAAACCAATATTCAAAAATAATGACTTATCTCAGTGTGTGAACCAGAGAAAGATAAACGATTACGAAATTAGAAATCTAGATGAGAATATCCATGGTGTGATATTTGAACACCCTTTCCCTCTAGCCAATTCTCAACACAGATGTGCCATCAAGAGCGGTGCCCTAATCAAATTCAAGAGAAACTCAGGTAATTCTACGTGGAAGAAATTCGAAGTGAACTTATTAAACTGTCCACATTCAGATAGCACGAAATTATTGGAAACTATTCTTGAAGAATTTAGAAACTTGGCTGCATTGAACGTGTGGTTTGGTATTAGCAACGGCGAGAAATCTCATATTCCGTGGCATGTATTGGCAGTGAAAAAGATGATGAATGTCATGGTGCATACTAAGATAAAGATCGATCATAGTAGCAAATGAGATATATGAAACGGTCGAAACATTGATAGTTCTCCAAGATGCGGTTGGACTATTAAAACTCACTGACTTAAACGGCTGTTCTATATGCAACTTTTCTTTGTATTATAGATCGTCCAGGCAACAATTAACTAATCTACCTCATTTGAGAACTCAAAGGAAAGCTCGGGTTTGTTTTTTTGCGTTTATCGCTACGCCATCTCTCAGTGAACACCCCAGTCACCCCCGCCCCAAATAAAAAGATATTTATTACATTTAAAGAAAAAAAAGCCGTCGTGAAATGCAACGAGCTCATTAATTTTTCACTATTTGATTTTAGGGAACAATCAAACAAATGATACCGATGGACCATTTCTCGATGTTAAAGAGAAATTCTCCTTCTCATCTTGAATCAGGTAAACATTGTTCTTCCATTAAGTAATATTGAATTTGACATTTAAAAATTAACAAAAGGTGTTTTTATATTGGTATATAAGTGAACGAAATAACTATATTCGACACACTATTTATTTATTGTTGCGATGCCTACCGACAATATAGAAAGCTTAAAATCAGTTTTACATAAATATCCTAACTTCCCTGTGAAGGGAGTTTTATTTGAAGATTTTCTTCCAATATTTAGGGATCATAAACTCTTCACAACATTGATTAATGCATTCAAGTCACATTTAGATGAACAATACCAAGATATTAAAATCGATTTCATTGTCGGAATAGAATCCAGAGGTTTTTTATTTGCACCATCCCTAGCTTTAGCAATGAATATTGGATTTGTTCCAATCAGAAAAGGTGGACGACTTCCAGGTGAGTGTTTTTCAGCAGTTTCAAATATGGAATATGGTTCAAATACATTTGAACTACAAAAAGATACAATTCCACCAAACTCAAACGTTATCATAATTGATGACATTTTAGCTACAGGTGGTACTGCACTAGCTGCATATGAGCTATTGGGAAAAGCACAGGCAAATGTTCTGGAGTTTGATTTTGTAATGGAGTTAGATTTTTTGAAAGGTAGAGGTAAATTAGGTGCTCCAGTATTTACCTTATTAAAAGAACAAGAACATGCTTTAAATACAAAATAATTTACCATTTTAGGTTGCTTTTTAAAAATTAAAGTACTTTAAAACAAAAGATATTTTAAATATATTCGAACATTAGGCCAGATACTCCCATATATATGTTATACAAATTTATAGAATAACAAATATCTATGTTATAAGTACTGTCTCTGAAAAAAACAAAAAAACACTAGTATTATTAACAAATCACCTAGTATATTTAAAATCCTTTTTTATTTTCCTAAATCTACTAGAAGCAGCAAATAATGATTCATCGACTTCCTCTAATACTGTAGAAATATAATATTCACCACCCGTATGGGTCCATGAAACACTATTTTCTTTGAATTTTTGCTTTTTAATTTGTAATCTGTTAAGGATATTATCAATGTTATAAAAGTCAATTGTATAACCGAAACTTCTCAGATTTTTTAAACTGATAATTTTGCAACCAGTTTTGGCATGTTGTAATAGCTTTTCTACCTCTTTATTTAATTTACTATCAAATAAGAAATTATTAACCAACATCACATCACATTGAGAAAGAAGTTCAATAATTCTTGGATTGTCCACAAAACTTTCCCTTAATCTGAATTCAAAGTTAGGAACAGCTAGACCCATCAATTTACAACGTTCATTAAATTCCTTCATTTGAATCTCTGTCAAATTACTTGCATCTGGCATGATTTCACAACCTAAACTTAAGTTACAACCAAATTCTAATCCAGCTTGGATGACACAATTACCAACACCGGAACCCAGGTCCATAAAAAGTTTGTCAGGATCGAGGTTACATTGTCCATAAACATCAGTTAGGAAACCCGGTAAAAGTTCACCATACACATAATTTGAAAACGCTTTATAATGTCTCAATTTACTGGCATCTGGATGTATACTTCTTGTATAAATAATGTGTAATAAGTCATGAATAAATGACACGGGTATTTCTGTTAACGCACATAAATGATCAACGATATCTTTCCTGGATATACCAAGTATAAATTTATTATAATTATTCACTGTCTCGATAAATAAATCGGTATTCGAAGTGTCAAATGCGGTATTTAAGATAGGTATAATATCACGTTTAGCTATTTCTGAATACTCTGTTGGTAAATATATCATAACCGAGTATTCTATTAACTTACCAATTTCTGCCATTGGATTGAAGATATCACATCGATCATAGAAAATGACCTTATATTCTTCCTGATAGTTTGGATATAATACGCTTTGTAATTTAACAGTAGGAATCATACCTTCTGGTGTAACTCCTTTATGAGCATTTTGAGGTAAATTTTGAGAATGAGTTGTAAGTGTCATAGAAGATGTTGGTTTGCCATTATATACGTTACTTCCTAGGATACCATTTATATCAAAAAAGTTAGGCCTGACAGGGATCCGAGGACCATAAAGATCAATAAAATTCGTTGGTAAATCTTCATCAGATTCTTTATCCTTATTTATTTTTATATTAGCATCTTTTTGGTTTTCATTGTTGGCAACATGCTGTGGTTGAAATTTTGATTGGGCTAATGAGTTCGATATAGTATTAGCATTGTCATCCTGTACAAAATCTTCATCTGCTTTATTTTTTAATCGTTTTTTCATGGTATACTTTCTCTTCTTTGGAACAGTACTATGTTTTGTATATTTTCTTTTTTCAGTAGAAACTTTTTTTTTTATGATTTTCTTCTTTGAAGATTTCCCCTTAGACTTTTTATCATCTTTAAAACTCTCCTTGTTAGTTGTGTCGTTACCTGATATATTTTCACATTTATGCTTCGTTTCAGCATTATCCGAATTATTTAATCCTTTATCTTTCGAAGAACTCTTTAAATAACTAGTTGGCATCCTATATTCATAGGTTGAGTAATACTTATTAGAGTCTTCCAATAAAGCTCTCAATTCTCTTTGATTCCTAGATGTCGATGAGTATGAATTTTTATTTGTAGCTGCATTATTTGATTTATTACGTTCCGGAGGTGAATTTGTCTGAGGGCTTTCTGGGACTTTCTGAATAGTTGAGAATACAGAACTCGTGCTAGATGAAGAAGTGGACTCCATTGAATCTTCTCTTATATGAAATTCCATATCAAATTTAATAATTTTTGAAAATGATGATCTAATATAGATATTCTTAAGGGTGGAATATGATAAAACCTAACGAAGTTTCTTGGTTCTCGTATTTAATTTCCAGTAAAATTTAATAGATATTTAAAGTAAAACACTGTTTGTCTATTTAGTACCCTAATCAATAAACGATTAACAGTGAAATATGGTTTCCTAAGAATGAATTAAATAGTTTTTGGCAAGACGTATTAAAAACGTATATAGTACTATTTGTTTATATGTATATATATATTTTTTTCAGTCGAAAGACTGTTTTGTTTATATATTCAGGCGTTAATAGGTAATGGTAACGCGAAACCAAATTTTTGGGGAGAGGTAATTTTTGAAACTGATGAGGTGATAATGCAAGAGAAAACGAAAGAGGCAGAGTTAATTTGATAAAGGAAAACAATAAGGGAAAATTCGAGTGAAAATAGGCTTATTGTAATTATAAAAATCTACAACAAAGAAATTGTTATGTATCTGTACATATAGTAAACTAATAGTAAAAAAACTGTTGTAAAATGTTGTGATTGCCGTATATCTTCATATGCTATTAGATATAAGTATAAGTATGTGTGTATGAGTTTCAAAAGTACAATGAAACAAAAGATGAAGGTGGGTATGCATTTATAGTACAGTACTAATATTGAACCATTGTTTTTGATAGTTTGATAGTTGATGATACTATCTGAGAGAGTCCTTATTCATTGAGTCATCACCAGCGTCATTTTCACCAATCGTTTCAATTTTCTTCTTTGTAAGCTTTCTTTTCTTCGTAGATTGTTTTCTTTTATGATGAAATCTCTTAGTGATCGACTCATTACTGTTGCGAGGACGAATCTCATCCAGATTATCCTCATCTTCATCTTCATCCCTAGAAAAATCATTCAAACTTGGGATATCAAACCCATCAAGTTGTTTATTCTTCTTCTCCATGGGTTCATTTCTACTACCCGAAGGTTGTGTATCGAATGATTTAAGAAACGATTCCTCATGTTCCATACGAGGTTTTCCGGCCAGTCTTTTAGCTGTAGGACTATCTATACTATCATCATCGCTACTCTCATCGTCCGTAAATGTTTCCTTCTTAGAGTCAAATATAGTACCCTTTTTAGCGATGCCTTTCCCTTTCCCATTACTTATCTTAATTCCTCTTTTCAAACCTCTTTTTGCTACAGGTGATAGCAAATGATAATCGAATCTTTTTGAATCTTCCTCATTGTTCTGCTCATCCTTATCAGCCTCGCCAGTTTGTCTTTCATTTTGCTGCTTCATCGAGCCAATGGTCCTCTTATACTTTGCAATTTTGGATTCATTCAATGCTTTATAACTCTTTTGTTGTTCTTGTAAAGCTTCATTTTTCCTCTTAAGGTCTTGTAATTGTGAGGTCAAAGCAGTCAATTGTCGTTGCAATAACAAAGTTTCATTGGCGATCTTTGGTGCCACGCTACTGCTTCTGCCAGTATCGTTATCCTCTATGAAGCCCGGATTATTGTTGTCGTCCTCCTGATGATATTTTAATATACCTTCATGATATATACGATCTGATTCGAGTACTGATTTGTAATAATCTAGTAGTAATTGCAACACACCTGACATTTCATACAGACATTAATTCGGTAAAATCTATAATATAGTGGGTATTCCAAACTGTACAATGTTCGTATAAGGGTGACTACTAGTTTTTACTTAAATGAACTTCTTCTCTTCCATTCTCATGTACATATGTATATATATATTTAATATATATACATATATTTTTTTTACAAATCTCATCTCAATCGCGGTGAAGGGCCCACTACTCCCATAATACAATAATGCTCATCTCTCAAAAAAAAAAATAGAGAGATACATTAAATAAGTTGAAATGAATATATTAAAATGACTATATGTAATATAATATATATGTATATATCATGAAATGCAAATGAGGATATATAAATGCGAGTGTATTAGTAGTGATACTAATGCAAAGATGGGGTTATGAGTGGAGAGAATGAATGTTATTGAAATAACATTATATGCAAAAATTTGGATAGGGCAAAAAAAAAATTATTATATTTCTTGTATGTTGTCCTTTCTCTGTAATATGCATTATATTTATAATGAACAATAAAGAGTTTCGAGCGTTTGATTTTCAATGTCTCGAATATTAATAGATAATTGTTTATTTGATTCCATTTTATTATTATTTTTATTATCAATGTCTTCTTCACCATTAATTAAAGCAAAAGAGACAAGAACCAAAATGGCACCAACAATATAACCAATAGAAATAATCTTATTTTTGAAAAGAACATCACCAATCATAGCAAAAGGGATAGTTAAACTTAACCCCACTGTGACAGTCAATGGACTTGTTAATAGGATAGCTTTAGCCCAACAATAATCACTAACAAAAGTAATTGTAGCATTAATTAGTAATAAATAAATTACAGTAGATGAAGGTGGTAATTCGATTGTTTCGATACCAGTATAATGTAAAATTAAGATAATTGGCCATAATCCAATTAAAGTAAATAAACCAACGAATCCGAAGAATAATTTAATATTAATCTTTGATTCATCTACAATAGATTTTTTCAAAAAAGTACTGTAGATACCATAAACCAAAGCACCAATCAAAGCTAAAGAGTTACCAATAACAATTTCTACTTTAGAGAAAGTAATTTCTTGAGCAATTGAATCTGATTCAGTAACACAAATAATACCGATAAAAGAAATCAAAAGACCTAATAATTTTTTAGAGTTAATTGATTCAACTTGTAAGATTGCACCTATAAATAAAGTGAAAAATGATGAAGTTGAGGATAAAATTGTTTGTGATGCAACTGAAGTATATGATAATGAAGCATTTGATGAGAAATTTGCAATGAACCAAAGTAAACAAAATACTGCACTTAATTTAATAGTTTCATTTAAAGTTAATGGAATAATATTATTACTGTGTTTTGAAACTAAAGGTGTTAATTGATTAATTTCTTCTTCTTCATTGCTATTTAATAAAAACTTCTCATCATCAATTATTTGATTTTCTTTTTCAATTTTCTTATAATTATAAATATCTTTCCATGAAGGTATCAAATATAAAACAAATGATGAAACATTTAAATATGTGATTAAAAATGGTTTCTTATAAGAATTTATTTCGAAGACTTGATTTAATAAAAATGATGAAGAAACCCATGACAATATAACAATGAGGATCATAAATAATCCAATAAACCAACTTTTACGTGATTGTTCCATTGTGAACTGTGTAAAATAATAATAGTAATAGTAGTAGTAGTAGTAGTAATAATGTTGTTTGATTTTATGTTATTAACAATATTATTTAAAATAAATAATAAATACAAGACAAGATAGTTTATGATCTTAATGAATCAAGCATTTGTCTTATATATATATATCCTTTGTATATTACATAATCATAATAGCAGTGAGAAGGGATATTATTTATTCGTCTTCCTTTGACACTTTATCGATTCACAGTAAGTAATAACAATGTGTGTTTATTCCTTGATTTAACTAACAAAATTGGTTTAATAGTTGTGGAGTTCACTGTAATCTGCGATAAAAGACGACAACGATTACATAAATCGAGTAAACCACACAATTTTATCCTCAGAATCGATGAGTTTCTTGACTTCTCTGGTAAATGTTGGTACCTGCTACGTATATTTCTAAGGGATATCGTTATGTTAAATCCGGATACCCAAAACAAGCTTTTCATTTTTCTGACTTTTTTTTGCCGCAAGGAGGAGGCATCGATTTTTCAAAAGAAAAGAATGGGAAACACGATTCCACAGTTTTTGTGTGACGGAGATCACGTGGGATTACACAATTGTGCAACACAGGAAAAGAGTGGAAATACAGAGGCAGATGCATGGCGGTTAATTCCCTGAAGAGGAAGTCGTTTCTTTCAAGGAGGCACTATATCACAATATATATATGGTAAAGATATACAAACTTAATAACAGTATGGAGAATTTGGATGTAAAGGATATAGAGATCATTGTTGGAATGATTGATTTACAAATATATTAATTAATGAAATAGTTGGGATAATTTTAGCTCTCATGAAAGGAGGTCAGACAAACAATATATCGTGATATCCTTACGAATAAGAGTTACGATTTGTATTGCAGACTCTCTGAAAAAATGTATCGATGAAGTTTTCTTATTGTGTATATAGCTCTAGATAAAAGTTGTGAAATTATCATTTTAAGTAGCAAAATACTACATCATCACTCAGTGAAATACACCTTTCCGGATGGTGTCTGTAATAATAGAACAACTAAATAATATATATTATCACAATTATGTTGAAGAAATGGGAGATATCAACGTTATATAAGGGTCTCGTATGTGCATTGAAATATTATGGGAGTCTCGTACCTCGTGCAAAACTACTTTTAACAAATGAGAGCTGTTGTTAGAATTTTTGGTATATCAGGCATATGGTTGAATTGTTATTACATTGCATATGGGATTAAATTATTCAGAGCTGTAGGAAAAGGTAGTAGTGGGCAAAATATGACTACATCCACTACGTACTATCAGGGATCAAATTTTCTCACGTTTGTTCCTTCTGAGTTATAGCTTTAATGATTCAATCTATTTCCTCTCCATTACTAAGGACTAGCAATTATTGGGTGCATTACAAAGCTGTGGGAGCTGTTAGTGGTAGAAGACAAAACTTCCGTGATAGAAGGCCTCATCGTCGACCGAAATACCCTTTTTTGACTTCCAATTTTTATATTTTATCATTTTTATTTTTTGTTTTTCTCATGTCATGAAATGACAAAATACCCAAAGCTCTATTGAAACAATTTCAAAATGTTAGAGCAGCATTCTATTCCTAGATAGATTATAGCTACTTTTTATTGAAAGTCAAAAGCTTAGGAAATAACTATGGAAAGTAATACCTAATTGATCAGATTACCTGTAAATCCCTATACCCAGCCCATCCATCCTAATCTCAAGTACCTCATGATATCCTGAGTAGAAGAAGCTATCTCCCTTGCTTCTCTATATATAATATTGAATATCAGCTTCATTCGTGGTATTTGTTGAAAATACATACTTCTCAGCGTTCTGTACCTTTTCCCAAAGTTATGTATTAATCGACGACGATTAAGTTTTTTCTTTTAGGTCGTGTCATCTTCATTTTCCTTGACTATTTTCTGCATTAAGTTTCTTTCTCTCTTTTGGTTAATCAGGATCAAATCATTTAATAACTAGTTGTATTCGAGTATTTCCAAATATCTTGCTCTATTCTGCATATAATATATCACAAACATCCATAATAGGAATATCAATTACACCACTAGTCTCTTTGAAAGCATATTGATTGATTATTTCTTGACGTGTTGGAGGAGTGATCAGATGGCTACGGTCATCGACAAGCGTTCTGTAATCATCGATTGGAACTGCTAACACATCTTCATCGTAAAATTGTAGGCCAACGTAAGCAAATAACATTCCCATAAGGCCTAATGCCTGCCCAATAATGATCCATCTTCTTTGAGGTAATACACCAATTAATTTCTTCATAAACCGATTGTAATTGGATTCTGGAACATTTACAAGTATCTCATTTTCATTAACTGGTAATAATGACCATGTAATTAGAAATACAAGGATTAATGTGGCGGTAAAATGATGTGCAAAACGATAATATTCTTTACCTTCTGATAAAACATTGTGTGTCTCTACTGGGACTTGTTCTTCTTCATTGAGTAATCTACCTGACATGGGTCTGTTATTATATTCTGTCTAAAAACTTTCTTTGAATAAGTATTTCCTAATTTGTTATAAATAATCGATTACTAGAATTTATCTTATGATAATTTTCTAAAATGTGAATAACAGTACTATTATAAGTAAGTATGTTAAGAAGGACACTTAGATATACTTTTCCTATTTAATGTGTTCATCTTGATGGATCAGCGTATCTTTGCAGACCCCAAGAATCAAAAAAATAACTACTACACTACACGCTACAATAATATTTCATTGCTTGGGTGTAATGTGTGGGTGTTGGTAACGTAATATATGGAAAAGTATAATAACATTATTATCCCATGTATATTTGGATAGACATATTCAGTTGTAACAATCTCGAATAAAACTTCTTTGAATTTTTAGTGAAATCAGGTATATAATTGAACTAATTGAAAAGTGGAGAGGATGGAGAGAATTATTCAACAGACAGATTACGATGCTCTATCCAGTAAAATATGTGCGCTTCAGTTTAATTATTTACCGCCAAATAAAGGTACACTTTCTGAATCCATAGATGATACTCTACAATGCCTATATAGTGATATTAAGTCGTTACACTTTGAATATTATAAAACTTTAAAGGAAAAAAGTAGAAATGTCTATGGGAAGATAAATAAATTAATGAGAAATCCTTTCCCTGTAATGAATTACGGAACATATTTAAGAACTCTGGCAATTGATGTTTCTCTAATTAAATATATTGAAAATTTTCCTAAAGACCAACCTTTTCAAATAGTCAATTTAGGTAGTGGTTCAGATTTAAGATTTATACAATATTTAAAGATGTATGGTGGAAGGATTAAACGCTTTGTCGATCTTGATTTTAAGGATGCAATTATTTTAAAACAAAGCATTTTAAAGGATTCAACAAATTTGGATCAATCCATACGATCATTTGAAGGTAAATATGTTATATTACAAGGGGATTTAAAAGATGTTGAAGGAACATTACAACAATTGAAACAATACCTGGATCCAAAGTTACCTACAGTGTTTATCACTGAATGTGTATTATGTTATATGACAGAGAATGATTCTAAACAATTAATATCAACTATAATGGATACATTTGCTACAGGATTTTGGATTTCATATGACCCAATTGGTGGAGCTGATGTCAATGATAAGTTTGGTACAATCATGAAACGAAATTTAATGGATTCAAGAAATTTAGAAATGCCAACTTTATTAATATATAATTCAAAATTAAATTACCCACAACGGTGGGAAAATGAGAAATCACAAATAGATATTAAGGATATGTGGAACTTCTTATCCGAAGCAATTTCAGATACTGAAAAGAGAAGATTACGATCTTTGCAGTTCTTAGATGAAATTGAGGAATTGAAAATTATGCAATCACATTATGTAATATTAAATACGGCATGGGACTAATAAAATCTGCATTGATTGGCAATATACGTACTTTTTATATTTATATTAGGTATAGTGATAACGGTACTCAAAAAAAAGTAGTCTATCTGAACATTGTGCCACTAGCTTCCCCTTGACCTCTCCATGCATTGGTTATAACGCCTTCCTTTTGCAGATGGTATAATCGCGATGCTTGCCTTACGTGTTCAGGAAGTAAAGGACTATTTTGATATTTTTCGAAACTTATATCTAAAGAATTGAATGCTTTAACAAGTTTATTGTATCGCGTTATCAAACCACTTCTAATTTCCTGTGTATTCTTTTCACTCTTTAATAGTTTATTCCCCATTTGTACCTCTTTCATTTCAGCTTCTTCGTCATCATAATATGAATCGCTTTCATTCTCTTCGACACTATCATTTTCAAATAATTCATTTACATTGAATTCTAGGTTATTATTATTATCATTTGTATTTGAATTATTCTTCTCGACAAGTATTGTTAATTTTTTCAAATATTTTTTCAATCTTTGACCAATTTCTTTTCTTCTATCAAATTCACACACCATCTTACCTATAAACCATTTTCTTCTTGCTTCTAATGCTAATTCAATAATTTCACCTGCAAACACTTTGCCAATAGCTTGTAGAAAAACACGTAGATTTTCACCAATTGTTTGATTACAGACGGTTGTCGCTAGTTTCTTAACTTGACCTTTATTCAATGATGTTCTATGAAATACTTCGAATCGATTACTTTGATCCTCATCTAAATTTAAAACTAACAATTTGAATTGCTCATCATTACTCAGTTGCTCAGGATTATCATTCCCTTTCTCTATTGATTTTATTTCTTCGTCTCTGATTTCATCATATTCATCCTCTACAAATGTCAAATCTGCTGGAACTCTATTTAGTTTATTGTCAGGTACTTGCTCAGGTTCAGGACCTGGGCCAAAATTATAATTATCAAAATTTAGAAATGCATTCATCGTTCCACCAGTTCTGTTTTCTTTCAACTTCCATGACACATAATCCTGATCTTCTGATAGAACTTGTTCGATCATTTGTTTTGTGGAATAGTAGTTCGCTATTGTCAATAGTGATTGGTAATTCGTCTTTGGAATAGCATCCAAGGGACCTTGATGTTCTGCCATAGTAAAATTGTGTATAGATAGTTTGGATGTGTGTATTATGGTAGTCTGATGATAAATTAAATTGCACGTCACTCTTCTTTGAGACTTTTTAAGATATTATCCAAATATATTTGTTTATATATGTGATGTAACTGTTTAAATTAGGTAATATTCAATTTTTAATATTATTTTTCTTTTACATATAAATTAATTATCTTCATTTTTCATCCGGCTAACTTTTTTCTTTAAAATTAAAGCTTATTCGAGATGACAGAAAAGAGGATTGTTGAGGAGATACAGTTATCTAAAATAATTTTGAAGTACACACGATGAAATTACTACATTATCATACAACCAGTCTTATTTATATATTACAGATGATTTATAAGAAGGGAAACTAGCTCTTGATTATTTAAGTAAATAATGAAATTGTTATAAAATGATGTCAAAAATGGGGAAAAAAGAACAAAACTTGAATTTCATTGTTATTAAAAATAATTTTATCATTTTAAATCCATATTTTTCCATAAAACTATATACAAACTTTTTATGTATTTAGTATTTTACAAAGAGTTTTCCTTCTGCCACATTTGTGCCAATTCATCTCCCAAATTTTTTAATTTTTCTTCACCTTCATGTTTCCAAGAACATACGGATTGATAATCACAATGTTTGCAATATGTAAGGAAATTTTTTAAATTTTGTTCAATTGGTTGAACTTCTCTTTTACCAAATAGAAAATTAGTTCTATCGGCATTATGTTCAATTAATTGTTCATCATTATTCTTAAAGGGCAAATTATGGAAATTAACTCCACGGCAATAATATTCCACTAATAAATCCTCTGACAATGTGGAATTCAATAAATGATATGTTTGTGCCAGACGTGCAGCAAAATATCTTAATGTTACGGGCTTTTTCCAAATAGTAGCAAATTCTTGAAAACCTTCCCTAGTTTCTGAAGAGACAATATCTTCTGGTATTAAAAATGGTTTATTTCCATATTGCGACGTATATGAATAGTTATCATAATGTTCAAATCCAATGGGGTTTCCATCTCTTAACCTTCTCATATCAGGTATTAACATTGGTGTTTGTATCATCAAAGCAATAATAGCCATTGGATCAAGTTCTTGATCAATATCTAAATTTCTGTTCTGCGCATTTATGATTAACATGTTATAGGTCTGAGTAGGGTCCAGACTTAGGATTTCAATAAATTTTCTATAATACATAATTTGTAATTTGGTTGATCTTTGCACAGATGTTTGATTTGGAATATTAAAAGTTTGTCTTGTCTTAACATCACGGACTTGTAACTTCCAACCATTGATTCTTTTTGGGATTTCTCTCTGAAGCGATGACAAAATTTCTGTAAGATCCTCTGTGATTTCATTATCGTTAAATATATCATCAAATAAATCAAATTGAGAATTTGAATAAAGTTCATTCCCACTAGGCGGAATCCATTTCAGATGGTCAATAATACCACTTACTAATATTAAATTCTCATTCTCTAAATCAATATCAGTGACAAATTTCCCATCCTGAAGGGAGTCCTTTTGATTAGTAATATATCCATGACATAATAATTCTCTACATTCGCCCACATTAGTGAATGATGTTAAAATCTTTTGTAAAGTATCCATCCATTTATATTGTAAAGTCTTTTCAAATCCAGTTATCGTTTGCTCTTTCAAAAATTGATCTAGTGGAACATTTTCTGGTATCAATGTATCCTCTAGAGATTTATGGAATGACAAACCCTGAGAAATATTTCTGGTTGTCATTTTATCCATCTTAGAATATGCATCATATGCATATCTTAATTCACACCATGATTTCGTCATCAGCTTAGTTACTGAGAGTCTACCATGCGATTTACTCTTAGTAATGTTATCATACATTGAAGGCAATCCTTGAAATGAATAAGATAAATAAGGGTGATCCTTTGAGTTTATTCCGACGATTGACTGTACCACATCATTTTTTTTTTGTAAATATTGCTTCCGTTGTCTTGTGATACTCTTGACAGTTTTTAAAGGATCTCTATCTATATTCGATTCATCAAAGAATGGTAATTTTGCTAATTGATCCTTTTCAATTGAAGTTATAACATAATTATTGTTATTATTTTTCGTACTATAAGGGCGGAGCTTACACAATAATATTAAAGGGTTACCATTAGTAACATTTCGACAAAGCATCACCAAACATTTTATACCAATACTCTCCTTTCTTCTCTTTCAATATATCTCTCTCTTTCTATATATTAATAACACTTCAAAATTGTTCAATTTATATAAAATTTCAATTATATTTTCATAATTAATAATTTATTTTTCAAGATCATCGAAACATCATCGAAACAAAACAAAAACAAAAACAAAGCAAAAAAAGTATATATGAATCATAAACAAAACAAACCAAAAAAAACGAGAGAGAATGAATATAGTAAAACGTTACATTAGATGTGTATTAATTATGCTTGTAGAAAAGGTATATATGTATATAAATTTAAAAGAGGTAAAAAAACAGACAAATCAAAACAATGAGAATAATTTTATCTTGATTTAAAATTTTTAAATGAAATTACTAAACAATTCTAATAGACCACCACCAACTAATAAGAATAGTAATGCATACATCCAATATTTAGAGATTGGTGGGTTTGAAGCAGCATCGCTCTTAGCAGGTTTAGCTTTACCAAATTTTCTATGCTTTTCAATATTCTTATTAAATTTTTCGTTTGCTAGTCTTTGCTTTGGTGTTTGGATAGCCATTGTGTATATATGTGTATGTGTATGTGTGTTGGATACCTTAGATGTAAAAAAATAATATATATATCTTGAATATAAATCGGTATATTTACCCGCTAACCTTAAAATGGGATCAATATACAATTGCAAGTCTATATATATATATATATATAATAAATACCAATGAATACCCTGCAAAATTAAATTAGTATCTAATTGTTCAATATAGTAACAGTAAGCAAGAACCACGTACGCCTAACAATAAATAACAATTGACGTGTCAGTTTTATGAAAAAATAAAAAATAAAACATTAGTGACAACAACAAGTCCAAACCCTAACCCAGAGAATAGTCATTGTAAACGGCCAACCCTAGTCACGTGAACTATATCACCTTACACGAGATCCCTTTTTATTTGTTCCTCTCCCACTTGAAAAAAATTTTAGAGGAGAACGACGATAAAATAATCCTCATCTTGTTCTATGCCTTACGGCTTACGCACAGAGTTACACGCGACTCTCATCCTAATAAAGTATAGTCAACCTACAAACTATATACTGTGAATTCGTTGTTCCAAGCAATCGTTTAAATTTTAAACGTTTAGAAAATGCCAAGCCACCCATTTTACTAGCAAGATAAAACAACAACAAACTAATTTCCCTGGTTCCCATTTGTTTTACTGCGATAGCTTTCACTGGGGGAAATAGATATATTGGAACTAGAGAAACCAGAGAACGAGAGGAACATGTAAATCGCGTTTATTGGGCGTGGATTCAAAAGCGCATACATTCATTTCACACGGGCTCAGTTCTCTCTACACACAAACGAAAATAAAGATGGCTGCGCAAATCCAAAAAGAAAACAAAAAAACAAAAATTTCGCGCGAAATTTTCTTTTTTGTGGTCTCACTGTTGTGCGGTCTGCTCTCTCCTTTGCTTGGTCACCGTGTATTTATTTACACTAAAAAAAACCGCCCACGGAGACAGACACGCAGACAGCGCAATACGCGAACTGCTGGTGAAAATCAACGGGAAAAAGAAAATCTGCAGACATTTGGCCGTAGAGAAAATGCCCACCTTCTTGTCGCGAAATGTCCCTTCTCACCACATTTTTAATATTGTTCTTCACAGACAATTCACAGCCAAAAAAGATAATTTATATGGAAGAAGCAGGTTTGTTTTGACCGTGTCGCAACAACAACAACAATAAAGTAAATATAACGAAATTTTTCAGCTTAACAAAGAAAGAAGACCAAAGGGACAAAGAGTGCGCACTTTCTTTTTTTGTTTATTAATTAAAACAATTTGGCTATTGAATATTTCCATATTTTTAACTAAAGATAATGGAACTCAACTTATTTAAATACATTACTCTGTTGTCTGATTTTTCTTTTTTAAACGTTGTAACAAAGTTTTCTTTTTTTTCTTCCTTTCGTTCATGCACATTTGGCTCTTGCGTTGGTTGGGTTTGTTTATTTATTTGTTTATAAACAATTACTTCTTTTTACACTTTTTATCTTATAAACTCCTTCTTTCTACTTTGTATTTTTATATATATTCACATTTAAGACAATTTATTTATATAAATATATTTATTCAAAAATTGCTATCTATCTCATTCGAACGAGTTATCCATTCCTTTTTAAAGAAACAACAAAGTAAAGCTTAATAATTACCCTATAATTTTTTATTTGTTTGTTTTCGTGATGAAATTTTCTAAAAGAACATCACTATTAAGTGCACTAACCGTGCTTACTTCATTATCTGCAACAGCTAGTGCTGATTGTTCCCTATCTTCAGATGGTAACTACTACTGTGCCCAAACTGACGCCGTCATCTATTCCAATGTCGGTTTTTCTGGTTCTTATCTAGATGTTACAAACATGGATGAATCCTCATGTGCTTGTACTCAAGGTAGTTCTACCAGTTTCTCTGGTTCTTTGGCCCCATTAGATGATGAAGTCTCCATTCATTTCAGAGGTCCTTTGAATTTGAAACAATTCGGTGTTTATTACCCATCTTCAAGTTCTTCTTCTTTAAAGAAAAGAGATGTTGAAGAACCTTGTGAAGAAGTTGTCTCCACTAAGATTCAACATAAACACAGAAGAGATGTTGCTGTTGAATACGTAGAAATTACTTCTACTGTCTGGGTTGACTCTAACGGTAACCCAGTCACCGGTGATGCTACTGCTTCTGCCACATCTTACACTCAAGTTAATACCGTTGTTAACCAAGCTACCGGCACTGCAGCAGCAGCTACAACAAAGGGTACTACCGCCACTTCTGCTGGTGCCTCATCCGCTTCTACTTCAGTTGGCTCTGTTTCTTCAGGTGACTGGGTTAGAGGTTCTTACTTCACTCCAGGTTCCACTACTAACTGTACTTTCATGAACCACATGGGTGGTTCTGCTGGTTCAGGTGTTTGGTCCTCTTGTTTTGGTAACTCCATCTCTTATGCTGCAGCTGATGGTATCTCCGGTGCTTCCTCTGCTTACGCTTTAGATGATATCACTTTGAAATCCGGTGAAGAATATATGATTTTCTCTGGTGCTGAATGTTCTGGTAATGATTGTGGTTATTACCGTGAAAACATTCCAGCTTACCACGGTTTCTCTGGTAAAGATAAGATCTTTGTTTTTGAATTCCAAATGCCTTCTGATACCGATGGTTCTGGTTACAACCAAGATATGCCAGCTATTTGGTTATTAAACGCTAAGATTCCAAGAACTTTACAATACGGTAACGCTGATTGTTCCTGTTGGGAATCTGGTTGTGGTGAAATGGATCTTTTCGAAATCTTGTCTGCTGGTTCCGATAAATTGATCTCTCATGTCCATGATGGTCAAGGTGGTGGTTCTCAAGATTATTTCCAAAGACCAGTTTCTTCTACTTTGAAGGCTGCTGTCATCTTCCACGGTGAAGATCAAACTATTCACGTTGTTGAAGTTAATGACGATTTCGGTTCCACTTTGAGTTCATCTACCGTCTCCGGATGGTTAAACCAAGCTGGTTCTGCCGCTGCTTTACCATAAGCTGTATTATTATTATTATTATTCTAATAGCGATAAATTCATTTTTTTTGTTACCACACTTACATCAGGGCATTTTATTAAAAAGTTATAACAACTTTTTTATTTCAGCGAAAACAAGAAAAAGAAGAGGAGACAATAAATCATCTTTCCACAATAATACAACCTTTTGTCCTTTAATTCATTTTTTTATTAATCAAATTTGGAATCTTTCCCCGGTCATACTCCTAAACACTCTGTATTAAACTCAACTTTCATTTATCTAATCTCCCCAAAAGACAGTGCTCATAAACTTATTATTGTCTCTTCCTCTTTTTTTTGTCACTTTGTTTGTTTGCCCATATTCTCACCATTGATTTAAGAGTGTTAGGAGCTACATGAGGAAAGATTCTGGTATTATTGTATTTGTATCTTTATATATATATATCTATGTTAATCTATATTTTTTATTTCTTACAATTACAGGTTTCTACATCAAATCATTTGGATATTTCCCTTGACCCTTCAATGTCTGTTAGTATCGTAATGCTATTCATTAAGTTTTTATATGCTGTCATTATTTAAAAAATGTATGTATGTATGTGTATGTGTATGTGTATGTGTATGTGTATAAATGTATACTGGATTAATTTCTTTTTTTATTGCGATCCAGATGATGCATTGGTATTTGAATTATTATCCGTCCCATTCTTTTCCAAATCAGAAACTGAACGATGGGCACAAGGTAGTGTAAATATATATTTTGAATTTTCTCTATCGGTATTAGTTGGCGTCTTAGTTAATAAAATAGGACTCACAGCAGGAATTTCCGTCATATTAATGTCATTTGAACCATAGTTAATTATCACCATTGGATCACCTAACGTCCAACGAAAAAACCTATTGTGAGTTAGTCTTTTATAACCCCAACTGAGTATGCTACAAGTAGTCTTCCATATTCCCATATAAAAGTTCCTAAAAACATCGTCATTGGAACATAACCAACAATAGATGACATATTGACCATATAGAATAGCAAATGCAATGATGAACCCGACAGTGATGCAAGATAATATATGATTACCTAAGGATTTCTTGAAGACTGCGTCATCTTCATGCCATGTAGCACCTTTAGTAATTGAAAAATAAGCATCCTTGTGCACTAAATAATCCTTGGGTCTAAGAATTCTAACGACATCGTTTTGCATAATATCACCTCTCCATATCTTATAACGTTTCCATACAATAGAGACAAATAAAGGACCTGTACTACCCAGGATAGTTAAATATGGGATATACCAATCCTTATTGTAATGTTGCAAAGAATTAATCAATTTAAGAAAAAATGGATGTTTAATACGAGCCCCCATAATATCATTCGAAATACCTAATGGAGTAGCCTTTCTCACAAATGCCACTGAGTTCAATAATGGATCCACTTTTCTATGACACGAATCATCTAAATCAATATATACACCACCAAAATGATACAGGGCAAAATATTTGATTGCATTGAATCTCTGCATTGGAAATTTATAATGTTCAAATGTCTTTAAAAACCAACTATAATTTTCCTTAATGAATTCATAAGCTTTTTCATCTGTCCATAATTTATATTCGTAATCTGGATGTAAATAGATGCATTTTTGTTGATTTTCTTTCCATTGTTCGGGAATATTTTCTGTCCTATAAACTTGATGTATAATCTTAGGTATCTTAGGTTTAGAGTCTATATTCACCCCAATAGATTCTGAAATTGATGGATTTAATTCATGATTTTGTAAACTCTCCGGAGAGGAATCATCGAATACGACTAGTAGTATACCGAAGGTGCAATATATTAATATTGCTAATGCAATTATGTTAAGATAAATTATCAGTTGTAATTCCCTTCTTATTCTCATTCCAACAGTTAATTATACGTTGAGTAAAATAAAACCAAAATGTAGACTATGTATACTCTAAAATAGACTTTTCTTTTCAATTAAATTTTGGTTTATCTCCCTCTTTTTTCCACCAGCCCTTTATTACAAAAGAAAAATAACCAATGCAATAAAAGAAAACAATAATAATGTCTTAAAATAATAATATTTGTTCTGTCACTTTATACTTTAATATACAATAGTAAAATAACCACTTTAGACTAGGTTAAGCAGTTATATCTATTTATGTAATGGCTTTAATTTATTGTTGTTGTTATTATTTAGTTTTGCCATTAATGTTATTATTATTAATTTTCATTGTTTTTTTCCATCCTTCCTTTACGTATCATGCTCTACTACTAACAATAATACCTTACAGTGTTAACAGAGAGACGCACTAAGAAAACAAAATAATTTTTCAATGCTAAAAAACTTCAGATTTCATTCGATATCCACCTGAACTGACCAGTGCTATCCCGCACAAACTGATCCCAATATCAAGAATCTCAACTTCGCAATAAATTTCTTTTAATTACCTGTTGGTCGTTTACATGCAGGGCAGAGGGCACACGTATTATTTTTTGTAGAGAGGTAAAGGGAAGCAAACTACGTATCTACCAATGACGGTCTAAAGGGTTGTTGCGTAATAAATGATGTGTTGTCTAAGCCATAATAAAGGTTATGTAACCCTCTCCAAATGGCCATTCATTTACTTCGCCGGAGACTATAGTGCTATACTTATTCTTCTAGAATAACGTTAAACGAAATATTATGATATTCTTACATGGATTGTTTTCTAGTTAGTAATTTTTTAAATTATGTATATTATGTATATGTACTGATAAATTTTGACTTGGAAGGATATGATTGTGAGTTAAAAAAAAAATTGACAAAGGAAACAGGTTGATATGTAACAAAAGTCAATTAGACAATTGAAAGTATGGATGTACTGTAGCTCTTCTAGCGCTGATTCTATTAATTGGATCGTAAGCAAGTAGTTTATCTAGAAGATCAATACCGTTTTGATCTAAGCTTGGGACCACTTGTGCCAAATCCTTTCTACGCCATTGTGGAAACGTTGGTTTGAAATCTGGTAAATATACAATATCAGGCCAAACATTTTCATTTGGTGTACCTAATACTCTAAAGATTTTGAAAATTTGATCGATTTCACTATCACCACTAAATATAGGTTTTCTGTTGCACATCTCAGCAAATATACAACCAATAGACCAAGTATCAACACCTGTACTATACTGTTTACCACCTAATAACACTTCTGGGGCTCTATACCATAATGTAACGATTTCGTGCGTGTAAGCCCTCAATGGAACACCAAATGCTCTAGCAAGACCGAAATCACCTAGCTTTAGGTTACCTTCTTTATTGATTAACAAATTTTGAGGTTTTAGATCACGATGCAATATTCTATGAGCATGACAGTATGCAATACCTTTGCATAATTGCATCATGAACTTCCTAATAACGTTATCTCCAAGTGGTTGGTCCTTAGGTATACTTTCCATATATCTCTTTAAATCTAATTCTAAAAATTCAAAGACAAGGTATAATTTATGAGCATCAGAATGAACAATATCATATAATCTTACGATATTTTCATCCTTCAATTCCTTTAATAGAGAAATTTCTCTGATAGCTGTACTTGGAACACCTTCATCTTCGCTCTCCAATCTAATCTTTTTCAAAGCAACCACTCTTTGACCTTGACGAAGATCCAGAGCTTTATACACAACACCATATGTACCTTCACCGACTTTTTCAAGTCTTTTGTAATTTGCTAATTCGCCACTCATATCTGTATTGAAGTAATAATACTATTATTTCTTCCACGGTTTGTTCTGTTAAAGGGTTACACTTGTCAATAAAAAGTAAACCTTTAATTTCAAAGAAAAATGTTTATCCTTGAGTTTATAAATATCCTTGCAATTTAAAACAATATCAAAAGAAATAATTTAAAGGTTATATCCATCATCAACTCTCCCTGATTTGTTATTATCACTTCTCTAACTCGAGGCACCAAATTCGCATTACTCTCTCAATTCTGTGTTTCGCGTTCGCTTTTCAGTTTTCATGATTTTCTATTTCCTAATACATCAAAATAATCATTTTTTTATTTTATTTGTGGAGGTTATTCGATGCAATCACTGGTATTTTATAGAGGCAACTATTTTTTTTTTTAAATATACATACATATGTTTTACGTACTACAAAGAATATTTCCTATACCTATAAATAGATCTACTTGTTAGCCTTTCTAGCAGCCTTCTTTAAAGCTCTAATTCTGATAGATCTGTGGAAGGAGTGATTGATAGTGTTGACAATCTTGGAGTAAACACCAAAAGTTTCATCAATTACAAACTCATATACGGCATGAGACCAGAATGGAGTAACTGTAGCGTATCTTTCTTGGGCACCACAACGTCTCCCAACGCTCTTTAAAGTGGCTGAAACAAATTGTTTTGGGTTTGGAATCATCATCGAGGTTCTTCTAATTTTAGACATGGCACTAGTAACCAAATAAGATAGCACTAGCTCAACATCAATCTTATCGCCAGAGAGTTCGCCTGCAAGTGCAGTAGACCAGTTTTGTAGGAAAGCCTTAGAACCACTGTAAGTAGCTAATAAAGGTGTTGGAATTAAACCACCGAAGGAACCCATCGTCAAAATTAAACCACGAGACGATTTCTTGTCCTTAACAGTATCCTTAATTATTGGTGCAATAATTTGTGTAATTAAAAGAGTAGCAGTGTTATTAATTGTGATAATATTTCTCAATTCATCTTCTTTGGTTTCTAAAAATGGCACTGGAATGGAATGTGATTGACCAACGTTATTAATCAAGACTGTAATAGGTAAGTTTTGACATAAGTTCTTAATTTGTTCGTAGTTTGAACTTTCATCAGCAGAGATATCCATAGCTAAAACTTCAACCTTAATTTTATATTGTCCTTCGAATTGAGTCTTAATACTTTCTAATTTACTTAGAGTTCTAGATATTAGGATCAAATTAAAACCACGTTGGGCCATTTGTCTAGCATATTCCTTACCGATACCATCACTAGCACCAGTAACAACACAGTAGTTACCTTTCCCAGCACCATATTTTGAGTAGTTGACGGATGGAAGAATGAATAAATCGAACATCATTGCAAGGGTACGTAGAATTAAAGTAGTTAACTTTAAGACACCGAACCCAAATACGCACCATAATAGTACGTTAACACATTTGCAACTACCTGCAACAGATTGAATTTCTTCTACAAAGGACATGATTGATTAATGCTATAGACTGTATGTTTTCCCTTTTACAAACGTACTATTCCCTTCTTTTACGTACTAAATATATCTCATGTACTACTTAAATTAATGTAAGTCCTTTCAATTAGTACATGAGATTTCGCCAGAATCTTTCAAGCGAATTTCCCATTTTCCTTACTTTTCGCAGCAGGCGTTTTGGTTTGTTTGACTGGCATTAGGGGCACCATCATTTTGATGAAGGAGCCAATGAATTTGACGTGTTGAGGAGAAATTTTGGTACCTATTACTTCTAATGTGACACAATTCATATATACTTCTTGATATTCATTAGAATTTACTATTAGGTTATTAGTTAATTTTAATTTTATAAAATGTATGCATAATTCGTATATATATTTATGGTGCGTATACGGATTTGTATTTAATGTTACGAAGAAGAAGCATCTTATTTGTCTTCTTCATCTTCGTTTATCCATTGTTGCATTTCACGTAACGATGCTATTGCTCTTTTTTTCTTCATCTTTTCTTCTTCAAATTTAAGTAGCTGGGAAATTCTATTACAACTTTCAATTAGTACTGGTTTGTTTTGAGCTCGTTTCCATAGTTTGTATTTGATTAAAGGTTTCAAATTTGATAAATTATCTAAATCTCTAATCTCTAGGACAACTAATTCTGGAAAATAATTATAACTGACTAAATAAGGAATGGACATATTAGTTATTTTTTTGCAATTATTCAAAGATAATCTCTTAACGTTATTCCCGTTATTCTTGGCAAATTCCCAAAGACCACTATCTGTAACATGGCAACCTGCAATACCAACAGTCTCAACATTAGTATATTTACTCAAGGCAACCAAAGAAACATCTGTAATTGAATGACCATTCTTATGTCTTCCTAAATTGATCATTTTTAAATTTTTACAACGAGATGCTATAGACACCACACCCACGTCAGTAATATTGTAACAAGCTCTTAGATCTAACTGTTCTAAATTTACAAGGTGTAATGATATTTCAATCATGAATTTATCATCTATTTTTCTATTACCTGGAAGCGATAATCTCTTTAAGTTTCTAAATTCTTTAAACCAAGAATCGACTGGCAATAAATTGGGACAAATATAAAATTGAAGATTTTGTAAATCATTGAAATGAATATTAGTATTATTATTTTTTGTTATTGAATTAAACCCCAATTGTAAGTCTTCAGTTTTGAAATGGTTTAATTTATACAGTGTAAGCGATCGTGGATAATTTTTTTGGTTCTTGTTAGAACCATATAAATTGTTGGAATTAAACATAAAATTGATTAATTTGTTTGGATCCCTGAATGATAAATTTCTTAATAAATATTTCATAGAAATATCGTGCCATAGTTTGTTAACTTTAGCACAATTATGAAGACTACCTCGTTTCATTACAGGTGTGACAGAGCCGGTAGAAACTGTCGATGATGTTGACACAATTCTGTTCGAAGAAGAAACTCTTTCAGTATCGTTTACTTGTTGAACTTCTATTAAATATAAGTTTTTAATAATAAGTTCAGCAATTTCTGGGATATTAAAGATTGGATGACATTCACCATTTCTTGATGGCAGTAAACTCAAATGAGCGAAATTATTTACAAAAGTTTGTTTAACAGCTAATTTATCGTACTGTTGATAAACCTGTTTTTGAGGACTTGGAATTGGAGATGGTAAACCATTATCGATGGAAGTATGTTTTGTATGTACTTGTAAAACAGGCAAGTCAAAACTGGTACGACTATTATTTTTAATTGGGGTATGACATGTTGTAGAATTAGCCGAGATGTTATGACCAGTATACTGATAAGGATGTCTTCTAGAGAGTCTAATTGGAGAGGTAGATCTAGTCAAAGCATGAGTCTTGATAGAGGATGATTGTTGTGGAGCAGAATTAGACCTCGAAAGAGAGGAATCTATGGAGTGTCTCTTTTGTGGTGGTTGTAGAAATTGATCAGCGGTAAATAAATTTTCTGATGATCTTTTATTGAATTTTGGAGAGTCATGAGGAGTCATGTGAAAGGTGATATTTAAAATAAAATGAATTGAACGGAAACGATAAAATAATTTAAAAAGGAGTGATATATATTTTGTCGACTGAAAAGTTAAATATCCGATACTTTTTGTGATTGATAAAGGTAATAATAATTATTAAATGAGTGACAATAAATTAGTTTTATATGTGGAAAAAAAACATATAACTAATTATTTAAAATTGAGATAGAAGGAAGGAATGAGAAGAATGAATGAATGAATGAACCAGAAGTATGGTAATTAGAATGTAGACTACTCTATAGTTTTTTATTTTTTGGTATATTCCATTTAAGTTAAATTAAGACAAAGATTATATAATCGAAATGGTAATAATAAATATTTCATACACACACATATATATACATATTCTTACATACACGAATTAAAAATTGAGGGTGCTTGATAATCGATGAAGTAAATACATCCTTTCTATAGGGTTATAGGACATCCATAAACAAACCAGAAAAAGAGTAAACAAACCAAGACAGGGAACAATTAAAAATGTACCTTGATAACAAAATTCTCGAACAACCTAAAAAGAGATGTACACACACTTGGTAAATTCCTTTTTTTGGTTTGTTTGTGAAAATGGAAATAATCAAAATATGTCACTCATCTCAATGTTGCTGTCAAAAATATAATATAAATAATACCAGCTATGTTCATAAATATATAAACAAATATCTTGTGGGGAGTCTTTGTATGTGAACAAGAAACAAAAATAGTAACTAAAATTTAGACTACAAGGGAATAAAATAAAAGAAAACAACAAGATGGTTAATTTGCATAGAGACAGAATAATGAGCTGGTTGTTTATCAATACAATATACAGGATAAATAAGTTACGAAGTACTTATGTGTGGCTGTTAAACTAGTTTTCAGTTTAAAAATAAAAGCAGATAGAAGCTTTAGAATTGACAGATCTTCGATGCTTTAATCATTATGTATAAATATTTTGCTGCGTACGTTATTAATACACAACGCAAAGCAAAGCAAAGCGAAGCGAAGAGAGGTGAGCCCAGCGTAAAAAGAAAAGTGAGACAGACGGAGAACCAGTCTTTTTTTTGCTAACAAATGAAAATGAATTTGCGCTGGTCAATTAAGTAGGTATTATTATACCAAACCAAAAAGGAAGGGTCCTTAACAAAGGGAGTGGAAGGAAGACTGAGAGTCAAGATAAATAATAATATACAAATAACTGTTTTTAATAAGGACTGCGGAAAACCTCAATTGAATATATGTTTGTTTTACAAGGTAAATAATCCAAGCTGGGTGAAAGGTAATTTTTGCCAAATTATAAAGCAACGTTTATTTTTATTTTTATTTGAAGCTGGGTTCAACATTAATAACTTTTAACCAAAAAAAAACAATGGTATATATAAAGAAGTATCATTGATTGAAAGTACTAACACTATATTTCGTGAAACTCAAATAACTATATATGTTTGCCAATATATATTATAGCAATATTAAAACAGGAACACATACATTAATAACACTCGGTATAATTAGTTAATTAACTATATCGAGGAGGGTAAGTATTAAATGCCTAAAATATATATATATACATTTAAAATTTTCTGAAATATCTTAATGAATCATTATTACTAACATGTGCCATGATAATTGTAACAATTAACTATCATTAAAATATTTATGGTGTTGCAATTGATAATGAGTAATATCACGAGGTTACCAACTAGTTAAAACAGATCAACACACTTCAATATTGAAGGAACAGGGGACCAACAGCATTAACTAATTACGTGATAGATGATCGATCCCTTTATTTACATCGTGCGCCTATCATCTTCGTAAGCCACATACAAAATAAGATTGTTGTTAGTTGATAAGATTTACAGGATTTTATTGTAATGTTTATGTCATTTAATAACTGTATGATGTTGCAGATGGTCATAAGATAAGAAGAAAAAAGAAAGAATTGTCTATCTTTGATTCCTATAGCAAGACTTTGTTTGTCGTGTTCACTTTCTGAATGTTTCTTTTCCTTTTTATATATTTTGTCAAAAGCAACAAAAAACGAAGATGTCATTACTAGTTGTCTGGATATGGTTAATGTTGTTTATTAACAGCAACATTTTTGTCAAAAAAATCACTGTAGTAATGTGAAATGTCTCCAAAGAAGAGGTGATGATATACGTGAAGGAAATAAACAGTTATAATGATCGCCTTTGTAGTATAGTAGTGTCTCTCACTGTTTGTGTTCAACTAGTATATCAAGATTAGAATTATTTATTTATGACATCAGTTGATATCATCGTTAATTGATGTCATAATGATATATCACATATATGTAAGCCACGTATGTTTGTACCGCTATCATGTGGGCTGGCGGGGGGATGTTTGTATCTGGCTCTGTATTATTTTCTTATTTCAGAGTAAGTTGCGCAAGTTCCGTCCCTTTATTTTAGTTTCCCCATTGTATTCTGGTAATTTAGTATAATTGTAATTAACGGAAGGTCAATGAGGAATTTACTAAGACAGGCCGAACAAGAAATATTTTCCGCTTATTGTTGGTTTTTCTTGTTGGGAGAACCAGGGGGGGAGGGGCTATTGTTATTATAGAACGGGAGAGACATGCGTGTTTTCTGTTTCTCCCTATATTTTTATCTCATCCCCACGCACTCGCATGTGCAATATCCATACAAATATATTTATACATGTATATATATGTCTCCCCCACACCATTCTCTAATAGGAAGTACCCTTCTTTGAAGAAGGAATGAAAATGAAGACCTAGTAGTTTGTACGTCAATTGCTTGCAAAATATGGTGTAATATAGAAATATTATATGAGAAATATCCCAAACGGTAGTAATATTACGTACAATATCAATTATATTGAGCATTAAAAACGCCGATCTTCCTCTCTCAGTTTCTTTCTCTGTCTCTCCCTTCCATCCGCCCCTTCTTTATACTATTAATATGCCATTGAAAATATCATTCGGACACTCCGAGTATCCGTTTTTATGGATGCTCAAATATGTCTGCCGTAAGAGAGAGGATTCCGCCATATATTCAATGTGTACATAGTAACTATATCGGTGCATATTTTCTAACAAACAGGGGTTCCACACCAAAGCATTTCACACACACATATACATATTGGAAGTGGCATTTGCACACAGAAGTTGTAGTAGTCGTTTCTTGCCATGCTTGAATTACTCATATAAAACTTAAAATCCTTTTTTGTAAGGAAACTGAAGAACAAATGACCAAATTTAAGACAAATCATATATTTTCTTCTTCCAATTCGGTGATTATGTGTAAACCTTTAAAGGAAATGGAATATTTGACAATTACTTCATATCATTTTTTGTTACTGATAATACTAACAATAAAGGTACGGAAGTTTCTGGAAGTGATTGCTACTCTGCTTTATGTAAGAAGACTTTGAAGAAAGGGGTCCCTTAGTAAGTAATCTTCGATACATAATTTTTTAAATTATCTAAAATTTGACTTGAAAAGGTTTTTAGGTAATTAAGTAATTGAGTAATCGAGTCTTGAGTAATTAAATTTCCACATTTTTGTGTACCTATTAGCTACACAAACTATTTGTAATTGTTATCTACCCCTTCTCTCTTTATGTAGTTATATATATATATTATTTTTTGAATTTAGGTAATTTATATATAATACATGATAAATTTATAATAATTATATAGTTATATATTTATAATTAGATTTTATTTTCTTTATTATTTGATATTCATGTTTTAATTACGATATCGATGAATGAGACTAATACCATGATAATGAATAATAAGAATAATTTTAAAAAATTCTCGTTTTCAAATATTTATATGAATAGGACTACTAGTGATAATAATGATAAGAACAATCGGATGCCTACAACATCGACTAGGTCTTCGAGAAATAATAATACTAATAACAATAATCCAATGACCCCAACAAAAGCACAAAGAGGATACGTTACACCTCCAGCTACATCGCCTTCTCAAAGACATGGAGCTCATTCTCACAAGAGGACAGGAAGCGTCAGTGGAAATATATTATTACTAACACCTCCGGATGAGAGTATAGATCCTCATCATCATCAATCATATCCTCAAAATTATACATCATCGTCATCGTCATCTTCTGTGTCGAATACTCCAACGAAAAAAACGTTTAGTAATCATAGTAATAATACTATGAAGAAAAAATCATTATCTGTGGTGGTGCCTAATGATATTGATGATCTGAATACAATGTTATCTCCAGGGTTTCATCCAATGAGTAATTTCTTACATAAAGCAAAGAGTAATGAAGAAGATGGTGAGGAAGACATTTCTTCACATAGTTATACACATGAATTATCGCCAAAATTGACTATACAAAATACAAATGAACAAATAAGAAGAAATTCTGTTGGTACTTATAGTAGTCTAACAGATTTTGTTAAACAAAATCATATTAATGTTGATGGTAGGATATTTGTCGATAGCCCACAAGCACCAAAGATAAATTTGGATATTTAGAAAATATGATTAAGATTATACATTTTTAGATGCACTTCCGAACGCGTCCTCCCTCCTGCACCCCCATCCCATTTCATGATAGCGTTCCAGTTAATAATAATATTACGAAGTTTCATTTTTCATTCATTCATTTCTATAATATAAATACCCCATAGATTTAATTGTTAATTTCACCTCTTTTTAATTTATTATATTTGTTTTACCTCTTTTGTGGGTATCATCATCATATTGATATATATATCATCATTATATAAGACGGTTTAAATTATGATAATATTTGACGCCCGGCATATACGCGGCTTCGGGGTAATTTGTTTAAAACCAGATTTGTATTTATATAAAAGAATAACACAATTTGATTTAATTTACAATTTTTTTTTATATTCGTTATCCTGTACAAAAGAAGCAAACACGAAGTGATATATCACTACACTACACGAATTAATAGGGGTATTCCATGGACTGGACAATCGAAGCCGCAAGGATGAAAGATCAGAAACCGGCAGGTGGATCTAGATCTATTGTGGAATCTTTAAATCAATTTAATAATATTGATAATGAATTTAATAACGAAATCAATTCAAAGATTAATAATTCTTTAAATTGGCTCTACGATATCCAACAGAATCATGTATCTGTATTATTGTCACCTGAACGAACAGAAAATTTGAAGCAGAAGGATAAAGAGAATGATCAACCAATTTTAACAAATGATAACGATTTCACACCAAAGAGACCAATTATTGATGATACTCCTTTAGAGGTGACTCCATTATCATTAAGACAACATAAAGATGTGAGTACTGAACACCAACTTCATTCAAATAACAAGTCAACTCATGAGACAAAATTGTCACCTTGGTCACCATATAAAGTAGATCAAAGTTTGAAAAGGACAAATAAACCCATAGATGAGACTGAATCAGAATCAATTGTTACTAATACCGATGATAAGAATGATAATACATCTAAGTTTACTATGATGTCATTGAATTCTACTTCCTCTGTTACTACAACTACAAAAGTTGATAATACAAACAATAATATTGCACATAATATCAATAACACAATCTCCACTACCATCGCAACGAATAAATCTCCTAATGTAACATTAACAAGAATGAGAAGAAGATCAAATATGTTTGTACCAATGCCAAAAAAGGATCCACTTACAGTTCATGACTCCATTAAACTTAATCAAAATCATACATTTTCTGGATCAACATTGAAAATTAAGAAACAAACAAATCTATCTCCAAAGAATCTTTTGAATTCTAATAAACAAATAAATAACAATCAATATTCAAGAAGTACCCAAAGCCCCATTGGCTCGAGAAATGTTTTTGATAGACTATCCTCTACATCAACTCAGTCATTCAATAAAAAAATCACTAACAAAACTCATATCATGAACAAAAAGCATACTACATCTTCAATAGATCTATCTGGTTCGCCATTAAGAAGGAACACAAGTTCAAGATATACTAGCGACAGCTCTAGAAAGAAATTATTCGAGCACAACAATTCCAATTGGCAAGTCAGGGAAACTTTAAAGAACATATTTTCTGTCGAGACTGAAAATTCTGAAAAAATTACAAAGAGGGATCAACAACCAAGGAATAACGTTAGACGTTCTCTGATACCAACATTAAATAATAGAAAATTATCTTTAGGGAAAGATAAACGTCATTCAATAAATATTGGTAGCAATGGTAATGGAAACGGTACAAACTCTTCTCAGAATAATGATAAGAATTTATCAATTATAGGTGAGGAGAAATCAACAAGAGTAAAAGAATCCTCTACTTCTACTATTCAAGAAATACCACAGAACCTTAACAAATTTCAAAGTAACGATCTAGAAGATACAAAAAGAGAACAAGTGAAAAGAGATAATGATCATAGACTAACAAAATTTCAATTATTACGATCTGAGGAACCCAACAAGCAAGATTTGAAAAAAAAATTAAATAAAAGATTATCTGAAGTTATGAAAACACAACAAGAATCTGAAAAACAAAAGAGAGATAAACAGAAAAAAATGTTAACAAATGATTTATCAACGAAACCTAGGGGTAAAAATTTCAGTGAATTTAAAAGTTTTGGAACGACACATAAATTAGGAAAAACAAGAAGGAGTAATACATTCAACAATATGAGCCAAGCATCTGATAATGAAGATGTTTCATTATTAAAACAACGAAATACCTTCGATACGAGGAATATCCTGGACGGATTAAATACTGAGGATTATAGAAGACGCGTTGGTGATTCTCTTGATGGAAATTCAATCTATGAGGGAAATCCGAGGGAGAAAGAAGCTCCCGGTAACATGACTCTTCCAGAAATATATTCAGATTCCGACCAAGAAGACACAAGCACATTAACTGAATGGGCTCGAGCACCGTACCTTCAAGAACAATTACGGCAGCAACAGAACTGGGATTTCAGGAAAATTTTTGGTCCCGTGGCACCTTTGCATATTGATGAGATATTTAACAATTCTAGGTTAAATAAATTCAAACCCTCATCAAATCTAGAAAAAAAATGATACCTCTCTCTATATATAAATATATTCTATATAAATATTCTTATTATTCGTATTTATTATACAATGCTAATTTTTTCAATTTAGGGCAAATTTCATAACCTTCTCTTTATTGCCTCAACTTTATCCCATTTAGTTATCCATTGTTCGCTTTCACTTTTTGGGACCAGATAAACCTTTAGCGCATTATCAAAGACTGGAACCTTGGGACTATCCTTCTTCAGGATGTCATGAATAGTTAATTTTTTGCCTGCTTTAATTAATCCGCCCGACTCAGTTTCCATATATGCAAGCAGTTTCTTGGGACTAAAGTTTTCATGACCTGGTTGTTCAAACCATTCATCTGGTCTACTCATAAGCATATCTATAATTTCTTGAATAGTGGATAGTTCACCAGTTTCGGCAATAAAATCAAACTCATCGGTAGTTGGATACATTATAATTGTTGGGTATATCATTTGAGATTCAAAATCCATTGGATTTTCCAATTTAACTTTAGCTTCTTTTAAGAATTCAGAGTGTTGATTTGTTGTAATATTTTTCACATTTCTTAATAAAATTGCATCAGTTAAAAATTTTTGAAGATTTTCCTTTTTCTCTTCTTCTTGTTGTCTTTTCTCTTGGTATGCTTTACGATCTTGATCTCTCTTTGAGATGGTAGCAAGTAAAGTCTGTAAGGACTTATTTTCACCATCGATTTTCAAACCAAACTGAACAGCTTCTATAGCTTCCTCTAATTTATTTAAAGCAAAAAACGCTTTACCCATTCGGAAATAGCATTTAATGTTCCTTGGATTTAAAGCTAAGGCGTTCTTACAATTATTAACACAACTTCTATAATTTTTCAATTCTAATTCACACATAGCTTTATTAGAAAATAGTGATTCGTTGACAGAATCATCTTCACATTTAATATTGATAGCTTTATCATACATATCTCTAGCATCCTTGAATCTCTTGACTTTGTACAGATCGTTCCCTTGGTTTTTAAAATTAGTAGCTATTTCATGAGGTTCACCTTCGTAAGCCATAGCCTTCAAGGCTTCCAGCACTGTATTCTCTCCACCGTCACCATTAGATTCATCCAACTGAGTCATGAAAAATGGCATCCTATTCAATTCTTCAAGAACCTCATCGGTGGTTTTATCCTTGAATTCAGATAATTGTGGGGGTAAAGCCAGGTCATTTGGCCCCGGGATATACTTCTCAGGTTTCTTATACTCTTTAGACATTTGGCTCAGTGGTGAATTGTACTATAGTTTTGATAGGGTTGATAAATATGGACTCTATCTATTCTTTTTTGTAATGGCGATGAGATGAGGTTGATTTTTAGTATTAAGTAATAGTATGTTGTAGTCTATAAAAAAAACTTTTTCAAGAGAATCCATTTTTTTTTTGGTAGTGTACGGCGAAACATTGGTTCTTCTCTTAGAGAGGAGTACACATATAGAGCCAATACAAGTAGCATAAACTGAATCCACCCAAGCTATGAGATTGAGAGAACATTATCAAAATCAGAAGATATCTATATATATATAAATGAAATGTATGTAAACAAGTATAAATTAAATGTATGTAAACATATATAAGTATAAGACTCTGTCTAGTTGTTTTCTTTTCTTTTAAACTTAAGAAACAGAAAACAGAATATATACCAGGTAACTACAGACCCTTATATTACGTTTAATGAGAGTATTCTTCCCAATTTGGAGGTCTATCCATCTTTTGGGCAGCGTAGTATTCCTTACCACAAGCATAACCCTTGAATGTGAAATCGTTCTTCTGTTGACAATCACAATTGTTTTCGGCCCATACTCTATCATCGATCGGACAGTTATCATAAGGTGGATGATGGTACCCAATATTAGAGAAGTAATGAATCTTATCTTTTGGTAATAAGATTGAAGCGGCAATTGAATGAACTGGAGCGTCACCCCATCTTTCATAGAAAAACCCACCAGCATGATCCAAAGCATCAAAGTATTCAGTGTAAGCTGGAGATCTCCATAGATTCAAGTTTGCAATTTCGAAATTGGACCAGAAATGACACAAGTTATAGTGTTCACCTTTGTCTCCACTTATAAATTCCATCAGATTATCCTTATCGACGTACTCCGGATGTTTTTTAAAGAAATCCATCGAAGTTTTCCATAAGGTTGGAATAGTAGCTAAATATTCGTGAATAGTAATAGTGAAACCGTAAACTTTTTCATTATCTTGCATCCATTTGAAAACATCATATTTAATGTCACAATACAAGTTGATATCTGGTTCCACTCTCCAATACCAATCATAATCATCCAATAATTTATGTCTCCAGAAAAATCCAGATTGGAAACGACACATATGTCTATAAGATTCAGAGGCGCCATAAATAATGTCGGCCATCTTAATACGAGTATCAGCAGCCTTGGATTGGTCGATATAGTCTGGGTAAGACCAATGTTCCTTTGGAATAACACCAAATTTCACAACGGAGGTTGGAATTTCGTGTAATATAGTTTCTTTAAAATTTTCAGTGAATTCCTCATCATTTAAAAATACCCAATCATACATAAATTGTTTATTGAAACGTTCTTGAACTTTACGGATAGATTTAACAATACCATCCAATTCAGAGTTACGAACCAATGTAACAAAACAAGCCTTTGGCCTATTACCACGATTTTCAAAACTTGGCTTAATGAAATCCATGACACTCTTCGACATATCTTCGATACCAGCAGCATTGGCAGTGTCCTTTAGAGCCTTAGCTTGTTCGTCCAGTAGGTCATCGGGTATTTCGTCACCTGTCAAAACCTTTTCACCATTCACTTCAGCATTAGATTCGGCTTCCATTCTTTGAGATTCGGCTTCCATACCAGCTGCATCAAGAATAGTATTTGATATACTATTCCCAAAGTTTGCTAATGGAGTACTGAATGAGGATATATCCAGTGGTTGAGGCATATATTCTTTAGTCGAGCTATGCGAACTTAATGTGATCAGCAGTATTAGAAACCCACCTACCATCAAGGTAAATCTGACCAGACGTTTACTTAAACGTAGCGCCATTTCTTTCTCTTTTATATCTTAATACTCTACTTGTTGTACTGTGTATATCACTGCGAAATAGATAAACCTATACTGTTTGCTGGTCCTTTTAAAGTAGTAAACTTTGTATTAAATAAGCTAATGCTGTTGTTGTTACGATGAATTTTTCAATCACTAGTAATGAAGCAAATACATAAAAAATCTAAAAACAGTTTACGTGTAACAAAAGAATGAACTCGAAATTCTGTTGCTGCGCCAAAAGACAGAAAAAGAAAAATTTTCTGGCCGTGGCGAGTGATGCCCTCCCAGTGGCATTTGTTAAGGGAATTATTCGTAATAAATAGTTCTATAAGTAGCAAAAGAAGTAGGTGACGATGATAGTGGTTCGATCTGTTTGTTGTCGTGACGTATTCAGGATGAGTTTTGAATAAACAGGATATTGCTCGGTTACACTATTGTTAGAATGTCTTATAATGGAATTGGGCTACCGTCTGCTAAGGGCTCTTCCACCTCGGGCCACATTCAAAGGTCATTAGCATCAAATGAGGACAGGGATAAGAATAGAGGCAAAGATTATCTGAAGAGGCAAGCAGAAGCCAAAAAATTAAAGAATCAGGGGGGTGTAAATCGCGTGAAGAAGATAAATATAACAAATAGTGATAATGCTAATGCTGTGAAACGTTACTCCCTAAGAGAGATAGAACTACGAGTGTCAGAGCTACGTGATAGTTTAGAGGATAAGATGGATGCATCTTCGGACAATGAATTAACGCCAGAAGATATCGATAAACAATGTCAACAATTAAGAGAACGATTGAAAAAGGAGCATCGCACACGTACCGCATACACCAGCAGAGATAATCGAAATGCAATGAACGATACTACTACTGCCACGGCCAGTTGAACCATGAACTAGAAGGAAAGAAAGTAAAAAAAACTAACGCCACTAAAATAGAATCAACATCAATAACTTATTGATCCAGTCATTCACTGATGCATGACTAACAAAGTAATAAAATGAGGTCATTTCGCTCTTATCGCTGCAATTACAGAAAAGGGAAAAGAGAAGCGAGAAAGGAAGAAAGAATGCGGCGCGTGTTCGGTTCATTGCATTGGATGAGATCGCATTGGAGGAGATTGCAATATATATAAAGAGATAAACATAGATATTAAACGGTGGGTACTTGGAACACTTCCGAATTTAATATTCTCTATATAATTACACAATCACATAAAACATTTATAAGTTAGTTAATACACAATATGTCGGAATCTACTGCTTTGTTGGGGAAACGCTTCCGTACAAATCATATACTCCGCAACAAAAAGTTACACAAAGTTTTATTAGCAATCCTTACAGTGGTTCTAATTACATTATATTCTTACTTTGAACCATTCCCTACATCCTTCGGACATCCTAAACCTCAAAAGAAAAACTTAATCTTTTTCGTCACAGATGGTATGGGTCCTGCATCTTTATCCTTAACTAGATCGTTTAGACAACTCACCGAAGGCTTACCAATAAATGATATATTAGAACTGGATCATCATCTGATCGGTTCTTCTCGTACTAGGTCATCGGATTCTCTTATTACAGATTCTGCAGCAGGTGCTACTGCTTTCTCATGTGCTTTGAAATCATATAACGGTGCTATCGGAGTATCTCCATTAAAAAATCCATGTGGCACCATTCTAGAAGCAGCTAAATTAAAAGGTTATATGACAGGTTTAGTAGTGACTACTAGAATCACAGATGCTACTCCAGCTGCATTTAGTTCTCATGCTGATTATCGTGTTCAAGAAGATCTTATCGCATTACATCAACTTGGAGAATATCCATTAGGTAGAATGGTGGATTTGATTATTGGTGGAGGTAGATCTCATTATACTTCAAAAGTACGTAAGGATGGTCGTGATCTATTACATGAATCTGTTGAGAATGGATGGCAACTCGTTCAAAATCGTAAAGAATTTGATTCTCTGCAGTTAGGTGATAATGTAACATTACCACTTTTAGCATTGATCGCTGAAAATGATGTTCCATTTGATATTGATAGAGATCCTAAAATGTATCCATCTTTAGAAGAACAAGCTTTAACTGCAATTAAAGCCCTTACAGAAGCCACTAAGGATTCAGATGAAGGATTTTTCTTATTGATTGAAGGTTCAAGGATTGACCATGCTGGACATCAGAATGATCCAGCGGCTCAAGTGAGAGAAGTTCTTGCATTTGACAAGGCATTTAAATCTGTCTTGGAATTTGCGGAGCAATCAGATGTTGAGACTGTTCTTATCTCCACTTCAGATCATGAAACTGGTGGTCTAGTTACTGCTAGACAAGTCACAGAGTCATACCCTGATTATGTATGGTTCCCACAAGTTTTAGCGAACTCAACTCATTCTGGTGAACATCTGAAATCTTTGATCAATAATTTCAAAGGTAAGAAAGAAGAAAAAACAGAATTCGTTAAACATGAAATAATGGAAAATCATTTAGGGATCAATGATTATACCGAACATGAAATTAAATCATTAGTCTCAGAAACAGATGCAAACAAAATTCAAGATTTGATTAATATTATGGTAAGTTTCAGGGCACAAGTCGGATGGACTACTCATGGTCATAGTGCTGTTGATGTTAATATATATGCATATTCCAATAGACGTGAAAGATGGCATGATATATTGGATCATTTACAAGGTAATCATGAAAATATTGAAATTGGTGAATATATGGCTAAATATTTGAATTTAGACCTAAATTCAATTACAGAGTTAGTTAAGGATACACATCATTCTCCAGATGCTAAAGTTGCTTTATTCGAAACAGAACACGATATATATGGTCATAAACTAAATTAGATTTTGCTTTCTTTCCCTCTGCTCACAAAAAGAAAAAAAAATTATTCATTTTTATATTCGATACCACTTTCATACATTGCATTAAATCAAGAAAATCAGAAGAGGGAAATGAATTAATATAAATATGTCACTACTGCCAATTTTTATTGAATTATATTTATAATTTTACCTATATTTTTGTATTTTCATCTATTTATTTATTAAACACGCTTTTTTTTAATTAGTATTATTATAACTATTTAAATTATCGTCTCTCTATATATGTTCTTTGGTTTGACAAGACCAATCAACTATGATATACTATATAATTTGGTAGAGCAAATAGATTATAATTGAGTCTCTTAACCATCTTCGAGAAACCTTCGGTATCTACAAAGTGGTAGAATGGGAAATTTGGAAACATCGCTCCATCTCTATGGACATCAGATTGAACCAATGTGCATGCCATTGATACACTATCCATACCTATTGCACTTAGATGGGATTCTTTCGTATTTTCTTTCTCCATAAGATGATTGATATGCACTCTTTCAGTAACTACACCACCAATACCTTCCATAACCACATAATTAGGTGGAAACGTGTTGAGTTGGAGTTGCCAGTTACCATTCTCAATCCAAGTCTTTGAATTCTCATAATCATAGGAAACCCCTTCTTTGATGTTTTCTTGATGCTTTTGTATGTTTGCTGTCACTACTGGTTTCTTCACTGAAATAAGATCCTCTATCAAGGATTCTGGTGTTTCGGTAATCTCTGAACCTAACCATAGGATATATCTGTCTTCTGGGCCTATGGTCGATGTGACTAATTCGTTTTTTAGAGTAGCTAGATATTTACGTTTTATAAGTTCCTTCTGTATCTCATCATGCCCTACCGTAAGATAATCCGGAGAAGCATTGGCACGTAATATCGTAATCTTCTTAAATACACCGTTTTCTTTTTGCCCTTGGATATCCTTTATTTTGGTTTCCAGTTTCTTTAAGACAGCATCGCCTTCCTCTGTAGGTAGTACCATTAAACCTAACTCCAGAGATTGTTTATCGAAGGATAGGTTCAGTAAATTACTCCAATATTTTTCATTATATGTTTCCACAACAGTCAAAACTAACACTTTATTGGTGTTGACAATATCGGTCCTTGATAGGTAGTTCAAATTATAATGTATTATATGTTCTTCTACAACACGCCCACTATCAGGAATGCTATTGTCTTCGAGTTTTTTATAGGAATATTTTGGAAGTTTAAACCTTTTACTAAATGGGAAATAATAAGTCTTTTCTCTATTGTATGAGTCTATAGTATATTTAGACAACCAGTCTGTTTTCAATGTACCGTCGTCAGACTTAAAGAATAGTAAACATAATGAGATGAATGAAAATAAATAAAGGAAATATTTAGCGTTTAGTGCTCTATAACTACTGGATAACGCAGTCATGGCTGCCTTCAAATCTTATCCAATTAGTCGATTGTATGTGTAGGTTTTAATTTCTCCCTCACAAGGCTCCCGAAAATATATATAAATGTATATGTATATGTATCTGTATATGTATATATTCATATATATCTTACAACTATCGAAGAATTGATTTATTTTACAAAATTAAAAGATAATACTTTTAGTAGTACTAAAAAACTAAAATACTTGAATAAAAAAAATGAAAACAGCAACATTACCAACGAAAAAATATACCTGCAACAACTTTCACCTACTTAGGGCAGGAATAAAGGAATTAGGTTCCATAATATTGCATATGTAAGTTACTTGGTGTCTAACCTAATCTGCTTACCTGTTCTTTTCATTTCTATTTTGGGCGGAAAACAGAGATTTGCTGGCGTCGATCTATTTTTTTTAGTTACTGGAAATACTTTTCGCGCCCAGTCTTAGTGTTCCGTACAGTAAATTATGCGTAGGACACACGTCTCACGAATCCATATGTCAACAACAGGAAGAAACTAAAACAGAAATTCATTAAAATCTCCATTCATTATGTATGTATTGTTATGATAAATTTATACTTTCGTAGAAAAATAGCTAATATATATACAAATATGTATATGTTGTCGTGCACTTATGTAATATGAGCAAGCGTGCTGAGAGATGTACAACTTATTGCTATTGCAAAAGTTGACTTTCATCCCATATCCTACCACAAATATTCATGAACAATTGTTTCGGCAGATTGTTAATATTGTTGGAACTTATATTCTTTATTCCACTTTTCGTCGGTATACTATTCTTTGGAAATTCAAAGCTAAATATATCGCTCATTAGACGTATTTCACCTGTCATTATATCATTATTCTGTTGCATCAGTGCAGTATTTTCGGAATTATGTTCATTTTGAGAAACGTCACGAAGTGTAGTGGTTTGATTAGTAACAGTAGTAGTCTCATACAGTTTGGATTTATTACTTTGTGTTTGAATATTATTATTATTTTTAGAAAATTTCCTTTTTTTACCCTTAAATGGAGGTGGTGTGGTATTTTGATATGCTGCTGGGTTAACATTGCTATTATTATTCGTAGTAGACATATTGTATGCTGTTATTGATGGAGAATAGGTATATGGGTACGCCCCTTGAGGTCCAGTAATACCAAGATTCGATAGGGTTCCCCAGGGTGACATAGGATACATCGAGTAATAATTGAATTGTGGAGACACTGCGCTTATTGGTGTGTTGCTTGTCGCTATCGGGTACCTAATAGTGTTTCGCAATCTATTTGATTGTGGGTACCATCCTTGCAACGGAACTTGTAAACTTGCACTACTAATTGGGCCATGTGATTGTATCTTATTTGGAGTTTGAGTTTCTTTCCCCAGGTATACAACTCTCGGTTTAGCTAATTTCTGAGCTTTTTGAAACGTTGTGACGTCTGCAGGTGCACTACGAGGTTGTACGACCTTAGCTTGAGATTGAAATCTACTTGATACAGCTGAACTTGGAATAGGCTTAACAAATTTGTCATTGTGGCGATGTTTCTTCTGTGTATGAGTATGTTTTGAAGTTGGCGAAATATTTAATGGTGGTGGAATTTTTCTTCTTTTTAATGACTTAGTGTTATTGTTTAAAACAGGTGGCACTTGCATGGATGCAGATGTAATTCTCGAAGATGTCGATGATGAGCCAACACTACTTGATGTAGAAGAGCGACTTGATGAGTAACATGACGAAGTATAAGAAGAGCATTCAGAGGCAGAACTGCATGAAGGTTGATATGAAATTGAAGCTCGCATCGACTGTTGTGGTCCAGATTTAGAAGTATCTGATGAAGATTCTGGTCTTGGTGATAGCAAGTCAGATATATGTCTCTTTCTTGTTGATTCTACTGGATTACTCACTGTAGATAAGGAAGACCTAGGTCTTAAAATATTATCATTATTGAAGTTATTACTTGAAAAATTTGTCATTGGATCATTTATAATTTCATTTTCTGTGTTATTTTGAAGAGGGGTATTGCTTATTGTGGTTAATTTTGTTTGTTCGTTTAATGGGTCTTTATTTAACATATTCCTAATTTCTTTACCTTTAGGTTTCTCTACAGGATCGATTATATTTTCAACTTTGGAGATAAATCTAGCTGAAACAGATTCCGTCATTTATAATAAAAGATTTATGTGGGAATAAAATTCAAATGGAGAGAAGGAGATTATTATAATGTGTCTTGATGTATTACTAACATATAAGAAATCTATGTTTATGTAATTTGCTTTGATTTAAAGAAGAAGAAAAAGTAAATAGTGGTACTTTTAATAATTTTTTTTTATTTTTATTATACTCTCTACTTTTGTATATTTATCAAAAACAATATTTTAAGGATCTTAATGCTTATCGGGTATTATAGAATGTGAATAATGTAAATCACAGTACTATTCAGGAGGAAGCAAAAAAAAATTAAAAAAAGAATGAAAAATAATTTACTTCTTGGTATTCGGATCTCTGTGATAGATGGGACGCCGTCAATATGCAGAATCTAGAAGGGGAATAAAGGAAAGAGGGGGGATGTAACTGGTGATCTTTCTTTGAATAACTAATATTATTTATTTATTTGGTTTGGCTAATAGTTGAAGAAATAGTCTAAATCATAAAAGTTTAGATTAGATCAAGGAATAATATATAACTTGATAATTATTTTCCAATTGATGATGGTAGTTAAGAAAATGATTCTTGAAGTAGAAGTGTAAAAAATATATATTCAAGAAAAATATTAATTAAACAATCAAACTTTGCCGATCATTTATGAAAGATAGGTTATATATATATATATGTATACGAGGACGATCATAAATTATATATAAATATACTCAGAACAAGAAGTTTAAAGAATTAAATTGGTGAAACGCCAATGCAATTTAAAAAGAATTAAGATGCCCTTGAATTAGAAGATAACAGAAAGTGTCTTACAAAAATTAACTTTATTCTTCCTTTTTTGGGCTGAAATCATACGGTTCAAAGTTAGTATTAGAGTAAAACAGAAAAATATATATATATATAATAAAAAAAAATACGTATACATAGCATGTTGCTTCAACTAAAAGAGTATTATCATATGAAGACTATTTGACAAATTCTTCCTAAAGTAGAAGAAGACAATTACTTGTAGGCGAAGATAAATGATATAAAAAAAAACAGCCCATCCATCCATCTATCTGTCCATTCTTCTTAACATCACCGAAAAGAGTTATAGATTGAATATAAAACGTGGTAATAAACCATAAAGAGACTCAACTGAAGAAAAACGAGAGAGAATTAACTGTATGTTATGTAAATTAGTGCATATTGGTAATGAAACATCAGAAATTTTCTAAGAAATGAAAGAAGTACGTATGTTCTACAATCCTAACAAGGTAAGACGAAACAAGAAAAAAGAAGAAAGGTTTGGATTAAATGCAATAAAATATGAGATCTCAAAAAATGCACAAAGTAGAATAATAAGGAAATATAATGGATATAAAACAATTTTGTTGAACCTTTTTTTCCCATCTCTTGTCTTCAGAGTAACGAGTGAATTGAACTTATTGTAGAACATAGAGGAGGAAAGAAAATCTACCTTGTTTCAGTAGAAAGAAGGCACAACTAAGAATATTAAGAAACAAAGTTTTACACTTACTATAAATTAGTAGTTAAGTTTTACCGATCCTTCTTAGTTAGAGGAGTACAGGAAGAATATCAAGAAACATTATTTGCAGTAGGTAGAATATTTTTCAGTTCTTCTCAGGGTACATTCAACAATTGAGTAACATAACATTTTCAAGAAAACGCGAAATTTTTCATTTCAGCGCAAGAATGAAAATTTTGTTGGTAAAAGAACTACAAACCTTCAGAAAAGTACGAAGACAACTTGTTTTTTACATAGATTTCTGCGTGTTTTAAATTATTATTTTATTGTGTTTTTTTGTTATAAACGATATCAATATAATAAGAATAAGAATAAGCAAAATACTTATTAATTAAAACGATCGATCTTTAAGTCTGCCGGGGACGTTTTTTTGAAATTTATTGTGTGAAACAGAAATAAATTTTATTATTAGAAGGGAATTTTGTAGATCTAAAAAGGGAACTATTACGAAGAAAAAAGTATAATATACCTTAAATGTTACTCGTATTATCCCAATTAGGTAAATACTACTTCTTATTTTTTAAAAAGAAAGATAGAAAAAAATACAACCTATGTTAAATTATATATGTATGATCTTGAATATTTTTTTTATTTCTATACACTATTTTGTATTACTGTCTAAATGTTATTGATACGTCATAACGTTTTTCAGAACAAGTAAAGTTTTTTGTGCTTTTGGAGTATCGTATATCATTTCTCGTTCAATTTTGTATTTTTCTTGATAAATTTAAGCAGAGAGTAAATTTATACAGTTAAATGAATATCACGTGTATTTTGGGATCTATGTCATTAATTGTACAGCTAATTTAAAAAGAGAGTAAAATGGAGAAAGATTAAACTCTAACGACGATTGTATAGTAAAAAGAGAAGTTTATAGATGTTTCTACTTATGTGAAAAGGTAAAGAGAGATCTGTATATATAAATAATAAATGAACGGATTAATTATCTAGTTAGGATGATCCTATATTTCTATAAAGAATGATACACGTGATTTTTTTTTTTTTTTTNTTTTTTTTTTGAATTATGTCTATACTAATTTGACACTAAAATTTGTATGACATCTCTCCTCTCGTATAATCTCTACGGCATGAACAGTTTACAAATTCAAATTATAGTAACCATCTTATTAAGTATAATCAGGTCTAAACACTATATATTTCTTATATGTGTATGGTTCAGGGTAGTATCTCCTTGTAGAATATTAGAGATTGATTCAGCTTTTATGTCTTTTATATTAGATTGTTTATATAAAGTTTTAGTATTTTTACTAATGATGATGTATAAGAAAATTACTAATAAAATGACGCTTATTTATTTCTGAATTATTCTGAATTACTAGTTTATAAGAGATAAGTCAATGAATTATATTATATCATTAAACATATAAGTGTTTTCTTATTTGATCATACACGGGTTTAATTTATTCGTTAAAGTGTTCAATCCGATATCGCCTCTCTCCCCTCCCCCCCTCTCTGACTGATCTTCCATATTATTTTTATGTTATTATTGCCTCCCTTAATTTCCTATCAAATTTTGTTTATCCATCGCGCCGTGGATTTTTCATTTTGCCTTTGTCCTTTTTGCAGCCTTTTTTTATTTCCGCCGCCACATGGGGTCCCTACTATAAGGGTAGTATATATTCTTAGTAATAAAGCACCACATATAAGAGACATCTAGACTTAGTTAGACTCATCGATACACTCATTATTATTATTACAATTTAAATCGCTCACAAGTACAACTCATGATATTAATAAGTTGAATTAGTTATTGACATTAACGTTTATTCTGTCAAAGATTAAAGATGAGCTTACTCTTAATTCTCTTGCGATGGCTAGACTCATCATTATTATTGAAACATTTCAATCTCTCGCTTGATATATGTAAACTTAAAGATGAAAGTTAAAATATTATTAATAATGAATGACTTGATTCATTGATATAACGTAATATATCATTAATAATAATATATTGTAGCAAATATTGAGTAGAAGTTGTGTTACGTTCTACTTTATTATCATTTTTAGTAAAAATGAGAAAATATTGGAGTAAATAAAGGTATAGTACTGACTCAAGCGGTAAATCGTTTGATTTTATTTTTCGCGAGGTAATAAGAGGGGAAATTATCACTTTTTTGTGAAAAAGTATTAATTTAAAGACGATAAAAAGATTAAAAAAAAAATTTATCCATGATTAAGTACCACTTTTCTTTTTATGTAAATCATATATAAACGGGATGAATATTATTTATTTCAATTAATAAAATCTTGTAAGAACTTATTCTATATCTTTATCGTTATTATTATAATTATTAATAATGAAATTACCAAGTAATAAACTTAATATTTTTAATAAAAGATATTCATCTACTATTAAAAATTCAATTAAAAATATAAAAAAACGACCCACTAATAATTTATCAGCCAAAATGTCTTGTCCAATGAAAAACTTTGACGTTAATGGTGTTAGAAAGGACAGAATAGTCACCACTTCTAACGGTTATCAATTGAATTCATCGTTTGCTACTCAACGTGTCGGAGAACATGGCCCTCTATTGTTACAAGATAATGCTTTATTAGATAATTTAGCTCATTTTAACAGAGAAAGAATCCCTGAAAGAAACCCTCACGCTCACGGTTCTGGTGCTTTCGGTTATTTTGAAGTAACTCATGATATCTCAGATATTTGTGGTTCTGCAATGTTTGACACAATTGGTAAAAAGACAAAATGTGTCACTCGATTTTCTACTGTTGGTGGTGAAAAAGGATCTGCTGATACTGTTAGAGATCCAAGAGGTTTTGCTACAAAATTTTATACCGAAGAAGGTAATTTAGATTGGGTTTATAACGCAACTCCAGTCTTCTTTTTAAGAGACCCTTCAAAATTCCCTGCTTTTATTCATACTCAAAAGAGAAATCCACAAACTAATTTGAAAGACGCCGATATGTTTTGGGATTATTTAACTACTCCGGCTAATCAAGTTGCAATTCATCAATTATGTATCCTATTTTCTGATCGTGGTATTCCACAATCATATAGACATATGCATGGTTATTCAGGACATGCTTACAAATGGTCCAACAAGAAAGGTGAATGGCATTATGTTCAAGTTCATATCAAATCTGATCAAGGTATTAAATGTTATACTTCAGAAGAAGCTGCAGCCATTGCTGGAAGAGATCCTGATATTTGTCACAGAGATTTATTTGAAAATATTGAAAATGGTAATGCTCCATCTTGGACTGTATCCATTCAAACTATGACTGAAGAAGAATCTAAGAAGTTACCATTTTCAGTATTCGATTTAACTAAAGTTTGGCCACAATCCCAATTTCCTTTGAGACCTGTTGGGAAGCTTGTCCTAAACGAAAACCCACAAAACTTCTTTGCTCAAATTGAACAAGCTGCTTTTGCTCCAAGTAATACCGTCCCATACCAAGAAGCAAGTGCGGACCCTGTCTTACAGGGGAGATTATTTGCTTATGCAGATGCTCAACGTCATAGAATTGGCCCAAATTATAACCAGGTGCCTGTCAATTGTCCTATGGCCAAAGGTTTCTTTAACCCATTGATTAGAGACGGTGCAATGAATGTCAATGGTAACTTCGGTAGTGAATCTAACTATTACAATACAAATAGCAAATATGAATTTTTGGAACAATCAAGACCAATTCAAGAACATCAAGAAATTTGGAAGGGTCCAGCAATCCCATATGAATGGGTTACATCTGCAGGTGATGTTGATTTCATTCAAGCAACTAACTTGTATCGTAAAGTTTTAAGCAAACAAGACGGTGCTCAAGGTAGACTGGCTCATAACGTTGCCACTCATGCGGCAAACTGTAAATCTACCGATATGCAAAAGAGAGTAGTTGACATGTTTACTAGAGTTGATCAACAACTTGGTAATGATATTAAGACTGAAATCAGTTCTATCAACTCGAGTAACGGTAAACCAAAATTATGATTCATTAAAATAAAGGATATCGATATTAACTTTCTCAGTACGATTTTATTTATTTATTTATTTATTTATTTTTATCTTTATGATAATTTTTGCTATTGGAGTCTTCATTTTTTCTTTCTTCTCAAAATTGATTGTCAAAATGAAATATAGAATATTTTACCAAGGCTATGATTATTTTTTTACCTAGCAAGCCTCATAAAGAATTGAGTTCTCTTAATTATTTATTTATAAGTATATACTTATAATTATAATCTTTATTATTAAATATTATTTGATATTTGTTTTATACTTGTTTATTATATATTGACTCTTCTATATTTGTTGCAATGCCCATCTACCATTAATTATTTTCCTACCCTCATCGCGTTGGTTTTGCTTGGTCCAGTTTACCCTATGTTACCACCGGCGGAGTGATAAAAAGGGATATATATGCATATAAGAAAGGAACAACCATTTAACCAACAAGAAACATTATCCATGTTCAGGACAATAACACTCCTTCATCAGTACATCTAGAACGCATAAAATAAGCACCATATATTACTAATCAAATAATGAGTTCACCTATTCTCCATATTCAGAATGCTTACAATCAGTATTTAACTATTGAAGACGGTCAAGGAACCCATTTGCAACAATGTCTCGCAGAGACTCAAGAATTTAAGACGCAGTTGAGAAAGTTAAAAGCACATTTGAATAAACATATATTGGAGACGAAGAGTCTAGAATCAAATGGTGGTGAAGTCGATAAGACTGTCCAGGAGAAGTTGACAAAGAGACGGATTTTGATTCAAGATAAATTAAATAAATCTTATAAACAATGGGATCATTCCATTAAGAAACATACAAAAAAATCAAAGCAAGGCTTAATCAAATTCAATACCCTGGGATTATCTATGTTTCAAACGTTTAATATTGATGATATTTATAATAATAAGATATCTGATAAGCATAGAACAGAGTTGCAAGGAGCCATTCAGAGTCATATATCCAGATATTGTCTAAGTGATATCCCTGTTCAGGATACAGCTGGATTATTGAAGTATTTGCAAAACGTGTATAATATTTCACCAGAGATATGTTCCGACTTCATAAGAATGGGTCAAATTTTATTTGATTTGACACATTGTAATTATGAAAGTTGTTGGGATTGGGCATATAATGAACAAGCTAATAATCATTCGCATGTCATACAGACTCTTAGATATAAACTATACATTGTAAAAGGTATGCTAATGACAAAGACTCATCCAGTTCCGGACGTATGTCAATATTTTTCCGACAAGATACCCAAGGCAGCATTTAGTAATAAGGATCTACAGTATGGGGAAGATGCAGCATTTATTCTTACCCAACTTATAGTTCATGATAATATTAGTAACTTTCAACAAAATTATGAAACATTTGTGGATGCCTGTAAAGAAACGTTCACGCAGGAGTATTGTTCATTACATAATTTACCAAATGAATCACCTTTGTCGTTAGTTATTATGAGTGGTATACTATCATCACAATTCTTTATGAAGTATGCACAAATTAAATCTAGTGCGCATATTGGTTGGACTACATCTAATGAACTTCCATTTGATGTTGATTTGCCTAGCTCCTTAACACATTTCCATCCAGTCTTTATTTGTCCTGTGCTCAAAGAAGAGACCACGGATGAAAATCCACCATATTCTCTTGCATGTCATCATGTCATATCGAAAAAAGCACTTGATAAATTATCGAAAAATGGTACAGTATCGTTCAAATGTCCTTATTGTCCAGTTCAGAGTACGATATCCAAAACAGAATTAGTAAGGTTCGTCATGTTATAAATTTATAAATCTGTCCCGATTATTCACCACATTGGTCTTGACGTCGTAAAGTTAATTTGTTGTTATTGTTTCTAAAGAAACAAAATTATCATAGCATATTAAATAGTTGAGTATCTATATCAACCCACCTCTCATTTTATATTCTTCAAAATCTCCATCTATAATTTTTCCCGATTTATTCCCATTATCACCACATAACCATCCAGGGATATGATCGATATCAATCATACCTTTATCACATAATTCATGTATACCACCGAATATGTCTTTACCTGAGAATTCAAAGTTGATTGTTACTGGTGTAGATAATGGGTCATCATCATCGATATGATTCTCTAATGTAAATTTTATTTTCTCAACTGTAATATCATTATCATAACATGGATCTCCATTCAACTCTTTTCCATGAAATCGTAGCATTGATTTCTTTTGTAGTTCAAGTTTATTGTGATGCTGTGCATGTGGTGTCAAATCATCTTTCCCAGTAATAGATTTATGTATTTGAGTATTACTTAATGGAGAAATATCAGATATACCTTCACCATAAGTTGCCCAAGTTCCCATCGAATTACCAGATCCATCTATACCTGTTGTCGCATAAATTTGCGACAAATCTTTTATAGGATTTGAATTTCCATCTCGTAAAGTGATATATTCGGTATTATTTGAACTGATCATGGAATGTGTATAGAATGAGTCAATCCTTGAAGTAGCCATTATAGCATCTTTAACAAGTTGCATTATCAATTTAGCAAAAATATCAGATATTCTATAATGAGTATGAATAATTATTGGTGATTTTGATATTGTAAACACTATATAGAATGGAATTTTCTCAATGTAATGTGTACCATTCCGATTACATTCAAACATCAATACTCTAAACATATTTAATGGTAAAGATGGATGTTTCTTATAAAAGATATGGCATCTTTGATTTTGTTTTCTGAATAATGATTGCAACGTTTGTAAAAATTCGATTGGTACCACAACAGGTGCAAATTTTTCAATATCTGTTTTATATACTGTATGCGAATTCCAAAGATAACTTTTAGGGTGTTGTAAAAGAATTGTAATGTCTAATTGAGCTAATTGATACATATTTAATCCATTTTTCCAATATTTTCGAATAATAAGTTTTGCTAACTCCGGTCTTCCAACTTTTGTTTTTAATAATATTTCTAAATGATCCTTAACATTGTGTCTATTTATATGACCATGTCTAATTGGAAATCTTTGCATCCATTCTATAATAAGTTTACAGAGCGTTATAACTGGTAATCTTTTCAATTTTTGGAAAATTACATCATTTTTCTGAATTGGAGGTATATCGGTATCTTCACCTGTCATAAGCATAGTATGTTTTGCTTCTTAAGATTGTTATAACGAAACAAAGAAAACGAAGAAAGAGAGGTGGTCCCTAAATCAAGACTAAGAATGTCTTATAAACTATCTGATCGATTAGAAATTCTTTAAAGCTTAGTTTGTTGACATATTGAAAGTTGTAACTTTTTCGCTTTGTTATTATTTTGATCTTATTCTTTTTTTTATTTTCGCGTAGTTAAGTATTGATATTGGATCAAATACTTAAAGCCGCTGCCTTTATTCATTTATAGAAGTTTAAATGTACTCAAGTCCTATGCTTATATTGATTAAAAAGCGGAAGATAAGATCTACAAAGAATAACGAGGTTATAATAAATGTTTTCTAAGTATAACATACACTGAAATACATATATATATGTATGTATGTTTGTTTTTTAAGTAGCCTAAAAATGTATAACCGTTGTGTAACGGAACCAGGGAAGGAGTCGAACACAAATACAATTTTTCCAATGTATACATATTATATTTCTTCTTCTTCTTCTTCTTCTTCTTCTTCTTCTTCTTCTTCTTCTTCTTCTATCAATCTCATTCTTAGGACTACATATATACGTGATCCAATTCTGACAAACTAATCACAGTATTCAGTTTGGAACCTACACATAGAAAATGCTGAGCTTTTACGATCTTGGTCCTCTCCCTTTCCACATTTTATTTTAGTGTAGTTACATACTTGAACTCGTTTCCATTTTCTACTCATATTAGAAATGGAAACCCCGAGAAAAGACTGTACGCAAGACAAAATCGCACGTGACATGCCGCCTCAAAATGACAGATTGTGTAAGAAACAATTACTCATACACAATAAAACAATAACAATTAAACAAACGAAAAAACACCGAGAATATGTGTCACGATCTTTTGTCTATTAACTTATGAATAGATATTCCATTCAAAGGGAGTTGACCATTTGTTACAACAAGTACAGTCTAACTATCCTTTTTAACTATGGATGGAGTGGATAGATAGTGCCACAGTTAACCCCTCCCTCAAACAAAATACGTAATATACAATATCGAAATCAAATAATGTATATACATATTTATATAGCCTAAATTAAAGGGATAATAGCAGGTATTAATTCTTGCTCTTGCTCTTGCTCTTATTGTCGTTGATATGGTTTTCCCTTTCTTACAAAATGAATCATGATATTCGCTTGACAACTTATATATTGTGAGCCACATATCAGTTATTTTCTGATGTTATCCACTCTTTGAGAATATGACCGTCTTGTTTTTAGTCTTGGCTATTCGACAGGGTAGACTTTATTTTAATTATTTTATGGAGGAATTTAAGTCACGTTGATGATCCATTTTCGACACATGTGTTGTGTGTTTTCTTGCTTTCTGTAATATGTGTAATTATCATACCTTTTTAGTTGACTGTATTTTAGGTTCCTTAATTGTACAATTTTAAACATCAATTTTATATCTATACAATTAAGATAACAAACTTTGTTAGGTTGTATTTATACCTGAAGTAGGAGAATCTATTTAACATAGATACTACTAATGATTTATTCTTTTGAAAAGAATATAATTTCTTATAGTTGTAATCCAATAGTTTAAAAACAAAAGGTAACTGTCGTGCGTTTTAAATATTATAGTACATGATAAGATAACTCTCCTTTTACTAGAATATAAGATAAAAATAATCAGTAACCACACAAAGTTTTATTTCAACAGCTTACACATACATGACAGAAGATGAAACGTTCTTTAGACGAGCTGCCGAAGCTATCGTTGCCACAACTCTCAATTCTGCAAACGTAGATCCTACTATAAGAGAATTGTTAAAACGAATAACGGTAAATACAGATGTTGATATTTTTAATATTAAAAGGGATGCAAATGATCAAGGTAATGATGATATAGTTTTACAAGAAACTACTGAGGTTTCATATATAACAGAAAAGTCAACACGTTTAGAATCATTGATTACCGCTGGAGTTCCTAATAAAACTCAAGCAATGGATAACGCTTCTGTATTATTGGATTTTTATACTGGTTCAACAGTAAGTACTATTAAGGATAAAAAAGACACCCATTTGAAAAATGTATCAGATAATAGATTGCATCAACCTAGAAAATTTAATGAATTAGCACATACTCAAATATTCAATAACGATAATGATAATCATAGTGTCAATACCACCACAAGTAATAATCCATCTGATATAGACACCAGACCATGGAAAAAAGTGAAATCTTTAGAGGGTCAACGTGAAGGGAAAGAATACCCTTGTAATAAATGTCATTTAATATTTGGTAGGATTTCGGACTTGAGGAGACATGAAAAGGCACATCTACCGATTTTACCAAATATTTGTTCTCAATGTGGTAAAGGCTTTGCAAGAAAGGATGCACTTAGACGACATTTTGATACTTTAACTTGTAAAAGAAATCGAAGTAAATTATTAAGTATTGGGGATGCAGACATTAGTCGGATTATACAAGGTCCAAAGAGAAATGGCAAATGAGTCAAATAGAGCATACGTATACATATATATATATATTTATTTAATTTTATCAATTTATTTATTCACTTCATGAAATACTCTCAAGCTATAGGAATTGTGTGTGTTTCCTTTGAGTTTTCAAGGATATTTGCTAATCAGTATATGATATATCATTAAATACAGTCTAACGATGTTTCGATCGGAAGATGATCCGATCTGGCAATCTATTTACTAAAAAATTAATATAAAATAATAATATTCTATATAATAATATAATTACATATATATAAATATTAATATGCTATTGTATATGGTAACAAATATTATTGGATATATTTGATTAAGGATTTGTCATTGTATTTAAGAGAAAAGAAAAATATTATCGAACCAAAATGGATTGGTTCGATATTAAAATATTAAATATTTATTTTAACTTTAATACATTTATTCGACATCAGCATCGAATGTTTGGTTTTCAACTAGTTCTGGAATAGCTTCATCCTTGGCTTCTTCACCAGCGGCACCACCTTCAGCTTGTTGTTGTTGCAATTGAGCAGCAAGTTGGGTTAGAGCTTGGATAGATTCTGGACCCATTTGAGAGATAATACCTGGGAATAATTCTTGTAGACCCTTTTCTTGTGGTAGACCGTAGAAGACGGATGTATTGTGTTGTGGGGCATTTTGGACACCAACCTTGTTGAAGTGTAGAACGTTACCATCTTCCTTGAAGAAGTTAGCTTCAGCGACGTTGTCAATAGTGACAGCATGTAGCTTAGCTAATTGAGCTTGCAACTTGGTGTCATCTTTTTGGGAACCAGAACCAGAACCGGCCTTCTTGGTGAACTTTCTTCTGGTACCACCGACCTTGTTGTTGGCAGATAGCTTTTGTAGCTTAGCTAGTTTTTCTTGATCAATTGGCATTTTATTTTTATTTGTTTTTGATTGATGTGTTACACTTGGTTAAGGCAAAATTTAGTAATCATTTAAAAACGAAATTCGTAAGGTAATAAGTTTTATAATTGTTAATATCTAAATTATTCTTACTTAAGCTGAAACGTAAACACTTTAGCAGCTGCTCAATCATTCATTGTCTCTAGGAATTATTGACAGAACTTCGTTGTCCATGCTTGCGTCTTCTCAGGTTGTTCACGACGGCGCACACATTTTAATTTTTCAGTAAATTTTTCAACTTTTTTTTTTTCTTTCTGCGATTTTCATCTCGATTGAGTTTAAGAAAAATTTTCATCGTTGCTAATGATATAGTTCGTATTCAGTGATATGAAATTTGGATATATATAGATATATTGCTATGGTAACAGGTTTTGCCATCATGTTTTATTTAAAAGAAAGAAAAAACATAAGCAGATATAAAGTTTATATTTATTAGTTACAGAATGATTATATTTAAAACATTAGAAAAAAGATTATATGTTATTATATTTGTAGTTAGAGTCATTATTTCTTGTCCTTGTTTTTCTTTTTACCAAATAAACCAAATTTCAATTTCTTCTTCTTGGTACTGTCCTTGGATGTATTTGCTTCTGCTTCTTCGATATCATTGGATACATCTTCTTTTGAAACGTTATGAGACCCATTAAATGGTGTTGGTTCCATATTGGTAGGGATGGTGGTCTTATCTAATGGTGTAACCAATTCTGTTTGAGAGTGAATCCCTAAGCCAAATTGCATAACAGGTTTCTTAATGATAACTTCGTCACTAGAAATAGTAGTAGTATTTGCCGACGAATCCTTGAACATTTCAGGTTTATTTGGTTTTGTAGGGGTATATAAATCTGGAGAACCGGTGAAGTTGTGCAATTTCGTTGGTCTTGGCATATCTATACCATTGTTATTTTTAGATTTCATCATATTTAGACTAGTTCCAGATGTATTCATCGTGGTACTGTTACCTGAGAAGGATCTATCCGGCATATATCCATTATTTGGCATTTGATTCATCACAGCACCTAAACTAGTACTAGATGCATTACCTAAAGTGGTGTTTCTATTCATTCTGTTTTTTCTATTTGTTCTTACAATAGGATGGGATCTCATATCTGGGCTTTCGAATGATGAATTCATTTCTAAATTACCTGAAGAAATTGGATCAACAAATTTGTCAACAGTCATAGTTGGGGTATTTCCACCAGACTTATTGTTGCCGTACGGACTAAACACAGGAACAGATTTATCTGGTGGGGTCATAGTCCTTATATGTGGCAGATTATGCATCGGTGGTTGAGCTGAGAACGCAGTGTTATTGTTATGATATAGGGCTGGTGAGGCTTGAAGTTGTGTTGGATATTGCAAAGGAGATTGGAACTGTGGGGAACGTTGTTGTGAAACGAGACGTCTATCGAATGCATCTTGACGTTCTTGCAGCTCTTTTTCTCTTTGTAGCAAAATTTGTTCTCTTGTAGTTAAAGATCTGTCGGCGTCCATGGTGCTACTGTTTGCCAATGCTGAACTATCGCCTTCCATAGCTAAATCGGATGTTTCATGAATACTCTTGAATTCGTCATTGTCATCGTTATGGTCATTGTCATCGTCATGATCAACAAACTGGTCGGTGATAGGTGAGTTGATGACCCTTGAATTACCATTATTGGTTGATGTGTTCCTCAAAGAATGTTTCAAATTTTCGATTTCTCTGTTCTTTTCTTGAAGGATAATTTCGTATTCGTCTTTCAATTTATGTATCTCGGTTTCTCTAATTGATAATTGATTTTTCAAATACATTTCATTACCTTTCAATTCATTTAAGTTGTTATTGTTTTTCTCTAGATCTAAAGTCAGGTTCTTAAAGTCATTACTATATTGGTCTCTTGATTTCGTCATGGTGACTAATTGTTGTTTATAACTTTGAACCTTCTCTGCACGAACAAACCATTCTGATGAATCATTATTCAATTTTTCCAATTGGGACATGGTTGTGTATAAGAATTCCAAATATGGTGTCTTAATATTGAAGTCGTCTGCTAATAGGATAGGTTGTAATATTAATAGATCCAAATTTAACTCAGAAGTACGTTGAATAAAAGTGTATAAAAGAGAAGGAATTTTTTCGCTCTTATATTCCTTCAACCAAGTACTAATCAATTTGTTTTCGTTTTCCATGTTAGGGTCCAGTTTCACATTCATATTCTTACTTATAGTGATTAATTCAGTTATAATACCAGAAATTAGTGGCTTGGCCAACACTTCTTCCACTAATTTTTTGGAATCGGTTTCTTCGAATATAATCAATAATGAGTCTAAACATATTTTAGGGATGGCCATGTTCCATTGCATAGAGAGGAAATCAGTGTATGATTTATGGCAATTGGAGATAGTGTCTGATGGGAATAATTCTTGTAGTAAAGTTTCTAATGAGTTTAGGGACTTCATTACATCAGATGGATACTTGGAAGGATCTTTTAAGGATAGGGGGTTCTTTTTCTTGGTTGTAGAGACGTTTGTTGTCTTTCCACCGATATATATATTATTTTTATTATTATCATTATTTTTAAATTCCTTGATATGATTGTTAGCCACTTGACGAATATCATAGTTAGTTGCAATTGCAAAGACATCCAGGCCAGTAACTTCTTTTGCATTTCTTAAGAATGATTCTAACTGGATGAATCCACTACTCTCTATAACAATCTTTGTTTTCTTTGAGAATAGAGGTTTTAATTGTTCAGGCATAGAGGATAAATCCTTTAATGACTTTGCACTTAAGATTATCAAATCTAATTTGAGTTCCTTTGTTTCATCGGTTTCACCAAGTGCTTCGGTCAGGTGGGCAATAGAGGTGAAATGATTATCAATTACCAAATGTTTGTTACCATAGGTCTCTGTTTCAATATCATATATGTTTGATTTCGAGTCGCTAACATGATACAGTTCAATTGACTTACCTTGTTGGAATCTAGATGTATAGAATAATATATTTGGATTGTTCCCAACAAGTAATACCTTGGTGGTGGAATCCTTCTTTATACCCAAAACCATCCTTTGTTATTGTTTTTTTCCTTCAGATGTATGTATGATGGATCGTGAGAAATAGCAAAACTGTTATTACGATTATTTTTATTGTATGTGTTTGATGGATCTATTAACTACAATTCAATGTAATGAACATAAAAATGTAAGGTGAAGATGATTATCTACTTTATTAGATGTTAATCTATAAATAAATAAATAAATAAAACAAAAAATAAATAAATAAACAAAGTTGTTGTTATATTTCAATCTAGTGTTTTGCAGTCAAATAGACGACGAGTTGAGATTATTATTAATAATAGAACGATGAAAATAAAAAAGTATTATAGTTCATTGAACTGTTTCGAAGAGCAACTAAAATCAATTCAATGACCCCAGTAACATTCACGATATTTAAGAGAAAGAGAAAAAAGAAAAAACTGCTTATTGGAAAAGTAAATATAAACAATCGTTGACGCATCAACCTGATTTTACGTAAACAGAGAGAAAAGGAATCAATACAAGAAGAAGCGTATTTTTCAATTCGAAAGAAATCTCATTAAACAGAATTTACGCTGGGGCACATAAGGGAAGGCCATACGGATAAAATAAAAGTAAACCGGTCAGCTACTAATATTTTTCCTCTAAGATCAAAAAATTCTATTCTAATCCAATCCAATCCAAACAGACTCTGGAATGGGAAGAGATGAGTAAAATTTTCAAGTTTTTTTTTGTCTTTGAAATAAACTTAAATTCTATCCTAGGAAATATATTACAGCATTGCACAAAAGAAAGTGACGTAGGATATCCTACAATGTAAGAGAGAAAATATTTAATAAAATAGAGAGAGATTATGCTAGAATTTTAGGCAGAAGAGAGAGTTACTCGTATCTTCGAATCTGGCAGCTAGGAATAGTTTGCTGAGTGAGGTATTTGAAGAAACTTTCCGTAATACTCCTCGGAATCACAGAATGCATTACAATGCTTTATTTATGAGATTAACTGGTTATAGATATTTATTGATGCATTGCTTCGTTCCTCTTATTTACCCATTCTCCTCGACAGTTTCAATCAACCAATTACTGCGTTAGTTGTTAGTTATTTCCTCTCTCACTTCACCATTTTGTTTGTTTTTGTTATTTTCTTCGATTGGTCTAAATTGGCGTAGTGAAATTAGAAAGGGCGGAAATATAAGTATTCTCAAAACGCCAACGCTGTGAAAAGTTAAAGGCCCAATATGGAAGTTCAGCAACAGAAGGAAAACATATTTCTATCTTGTTTTGGTTTGATGTAATTCCAACTTTAAAATGTTATGGGTGATGATGATATGTTTTACGAGGGCAAGAATGGTTTGTCAAAAGAAAGAAGAGATGGCTGACATTAAAGTTGCTTGATATAACAACCAAGATTTTGTAGAGTAAAAAAACTGATTGCAAATGGTCACATTTGGCCGATGCAATAAACTATGTTAGAATGTTGATATAAAAAAACCTTTTGAAAAATAAAAATACCAGCAATAACATATTCTCAATTTTGGAATTGTTTTCTTATAATTGTTGTTCTTGCAATGCTGGTAGTGGTATGGTATATAAGACGAATGAACACAAATCGCATGTGAAGTAATGTAAAAACAAATAACTCAATGAGATAGATTTGAGTATGCACAAATGTTTGGCTAGATATTTCTATTAGTGAGCTATTCAAGGTAAGAGTGAATCTACTGTTATGTACGCCTACTTGTGCTCTTCAATTCTTGTGAATCTTAAAATAGTGATAATTATTTTATAAACGTATATATATATACATTTTTTTACGTTTTGGGTGAGCCAATAACAATAGTGCACTTCAAAATTGGAAAAAGAAATAGAAAAATAATTAACAACATTAATACATTTTTATAAAGAAAGATGTATTATAATATATCTGCCATGTAATACAGATCTTTGAAGTAACCTATTATCATATACACTTTTCCCATTTGACACACACTCAATATTATTATATCTTGTATCTTGGAGATCTTACTACCTTTAACAATGCGCATGTGTAGTAAAAAGAAAGAAAATAGAAAATTAGCGATGAGCAAGTTAACAATCCATTTCTTTTACAACATCTAAATAGGCTTATTCATTAGAAAGACAGATTATATCATATATGTTTTAATGATTTTTTTTTCTTAAGTAACAGTTCAACCGTCCAAAATAATAGATATAGTTCTATACGCCAAAACATGGGGTTTGCCACTGTCGGATACCCTACAAGACATCATAAGAGGCGGAGACTGCCGGACCATCAAGACTGTCCAATTTATTATCACAACCACCATAAGAATGTAAGAACTAAAAGAACTAGAAAGATACCCAATGAATACTCCCTAAAAAATATAGATGATACGTCCACAATACCACAAATTAAGAGACAATCTAAAAAGAGAATAACGATACAAGATCTTCCATGTGAGATTGTTCAAAAGATCTTTATCTTGGCAAATGATACGACCACTATGCCACAACTAAGCAAGTTTTTCTATAATTGCTTACGTCCAACGGATTATTTAATTCAGAAGATATTCATTGAACGATATTTTTTTAGTCCTAAGAAATATGGGATAGAAAGATGTCTCCAGGATGATGGATACTTAGTTAATCCTGAAATATTTAATAATACTTTATTCGCGGGATATTTTCTTACCCATATGTCATCATTAAAAGTGCCAATTGATTTGTTTGCTCCAAGAAGTCTTGTTCCTTATTTACACGATGAGAATCTACCTGATGATTTTATATTCGATATCGGCCGGCTCGGTAAAGGTGAATTTGATCTTCCGATATATTTTTATCATAATTTCGACGTATATTGCAATAATCCTTCGATTTTACAGACACTCTCCAAATATTTCACAATATCGAATGTACCTCTTATTTTGGAAAATTTTCTGGATTGGTCATTAAGCGATGGAGTGCATTATAATGTCTCTACAATTATAGAAGTTCTTATATGTATTGGGTCATTTTTAAACTCAAGAAACATTAGTATCAACTCACAGCATCTAATGGTGATAACTTTACATAGATTATACAATTATGATATGTCTGATCCTGTTCACCATTGGCAAAAACTTTTCAATTCTTCCGATCAGGAAGAAATCAACAAGTATAAGCAAGAATTTGTTCATCAAATTATACAACTTTTCTATGGGACGACCAATAAGAACGGAACAAAACTCTTATCAGGGAATGAAATATGGCAGATCCTTGTTGGTCTTTCGAATATGAAACTTATTGGTGTCTTCACCAAGTATGGGGTGTATCCAGAGATTTCCGTAATAGGTACTTCTTAAATATCGTATATAATAAAAAGTTTCAATAATTAAAACACCGACAAGTACATAAAGCTTACAATGAAATATTAAAAGCAGTCCATAAAGTTAGCGACCATTCTATCGTATTTTCCAATGATAGGTAGCGTGAGAAAAAAAGGACAACCTTCTATCATATATTACACTTCCATAATTTATACAAGTATTACTTTTCTTCAAAATCATTTATAATAAATGATACATATATTGGCAGAATGAATCTGACTCAATCAAATGCATGTATACTTTTATACAGTATTACTCCCTCCTTTTAAGATACAGAAGCAGATATCGTAAATAAATGCATATATATATATATAGATACACACTGGTTGATCTCCAGTTTCATCAATATATGTGTACTTAGCTCTTATTGTCCTGTCTTCCTTTAAATTAACCCTTTTATCAGCTGAAATAATCACTGTTATTTGTCCTTACTATACGTTGGAAGGGAGAACTCTCGATAAAGAAGCGTTACTTATAATCCCGCCTTTCTTTCTGCACAACTTAAGTCCGTCTAGCGGGGTTAAGAAAATCTCATGAACGTATTATGTACGTGCCCCGCAACACACAGAGGCTTACTTGAAGTCATTGAAAATGAGTTAAAAACAGGAACGTTTTTAAACAGAATTTTCAAAAAGATAGATAGTACTCAACCTATCCTTCTTTTCATAATATCTTTCATGTAAATGGATACATCTTAACTCTCCATATAAACTACTAGTCTATTTAAGAATAAGTGTTCTCAAGTTGATTGTACTCCTTTACTGAGTTCGAAGTAATATCAAAAAAAGAACTACGACCAATAAGAATAAAATGACTACAAAGTTGGATAGTTCAAAGAGAACGAAAGTCATTGTTTTGGCCGGTACTTCTGGTACAGGTAAGACTACTGTGGCCTCCAACTTATTAGAACATTATATGAAACAGTTGCCAAACTTAAAGTATTTAGAAGGTGATGATTTACATCCACCTGCAAATGTAGCCAAGATGTCTTCTGGTCATCCTTTACAAGATGAAGATCGATGGGATTGGTTGAAAGTTGTTGCCCATAAGTCAGCAGATGTTGCTAGGTTATCTCATGGTATTTCCATCATTACATGCTCTAGTTTGAAAAAGAAATATAGGGATTTAATTAGATCCACTGAACCTGAAGTTGATTATTATTTCATATTCTTGTATGCTAGTCAAAAAGAGATATTTTCGAGACTTGATAATAGAAAGGGTCATTTTATGAAAGCTAATATGATGCAATCACAATTCAATGATCTTGAGTTACCTGTTCCAAATCAAGAAAAAAATTGTACTGTAATTAACTTTGAAGGTAAGCCAATCGATGTTATTACTGATGAAGTTCTAACGTATGTTGAAAAGGCTCTATGTGATGAAGATTTTTAAAAATGAGATGAAATGCAAGATTATATTACTATAATGAATGAGCTATTCGTATATATTTAAGAACATTAAGCATTTTCATTTACATATATAAAAATGAACTGTAAAAATGATATTATGATTTAGTAAATTATTAACAAAAAAGAATTTTTAAAAATGTGTATGTGTATGTGTATGTATTATGAAATTATGTATGGAATGCGAATAAATGTGGAATGTTAAAAAGAAGGGTTAATTCTAATAAATAAGAAAACTGAACCCTCTTATGTTAAATGATTTCTATCTTTCATGTTTCTTAATCAAAAAAGCATGGAAATAAGGATAATAATGTGTAGTTTTCAAAAAAAAATTAAAAAAACACACAGACCGTATCCACAAACCAGGTGGATAGGTAGAAAATAATGGGAGTAAAATGAGAGTGTGATGGTGACATATAATAGTCTATAAAATGGGGAAGAGGAAGTGAATATATTGCCATCGTTAAGTAGAGGACATATTTAATCGTATGTCTTCTGTATCGTTAATGGAGGAAGAATTTTTTTGTTCCTCGTGGAAAATAGATGGATAATCGCTAGTATCTGATCCACAAATAGTAGCGTCTGATGAAAGTCCTGTGTAAGCCATCATACTGACGGCACTTTTAAAATTTGGTTCAATCTCTAATGTCTTATCGCCTAACGTAACACAACTATTTATATCTTTAGAACTTTGATATAACAGTGAGGTATCTTCGATATGATGAGCTTGAGGTTGTTTAATAGCATCATTATTTATGATTGCTTCTTCTACATCTACATCTTCTTCCTCGTCCTCACCATCATCTGATAGGTAGTTGTAATAATTGGCGTTTGTATTATCATCTGCAGCAGCAGTAATGGTAGAATAATACATTAAAGTATCGTCAATGTTTTCGTTGTATTCGGAAACAACACTTAACGGGCCGTTATCATTAGTGAACGATTTAATGGAACGTACTTCCATCATCAGCTCGTCAACGGATATTCTTTTATATGGATTGATTTGCAAAACTTTTACCAAAAGTTTATAAAGGTCGTCAGACAATGGTAGTATTTTTTGTAACACCTTAGGCTCTTTAACGAAATGGTAGAACGTTTTATCTTCAGTTTGATGAGCTTTCAACCATGGGTTTCTGATACAGATCAAATTAATCAATAGAATACCCAGAGACCATACATCACCTGAATTAGTAGGTAATTTCGCAGTTTGTGAAGTACAATCATTAAAATATAAGATTTTTTCAGGAGCAATATAATAAGTACTGCCAACATTAGTATTTGGAGATAAATGAGGAGTTGTCGTAGACAAACCGAAATCACATAAATATGCATTATTTTCCGAATCTAAAACGACATTTTCAGGTTTAATATCACAATGATAAATTCCATTTTCATGACAATATTTAACAGCTGAACAAATTTGTAAAAAGACTTTCTTAATTAAATTACTATCATTGTTAAAAGTGTTCAAATGAACGATTGAATTGAAGAGATCAGTTTGATAATAATCCATTATAAGAAATGTAGCAACAGAACTTTCTAATACTTGATAAACTGTGACTACATTTTTATGAGAATGAACCTGTAATTGCATCCAAATTTCATTATATTGTGGAATTCTTAATAATTGATCAGGTGTTAGATCTTTAATAGATTGTAAATCTACCGCAGGGATATTTAATTTATTATTATTATTTTGAAAGAAAAGTATTAATTCTTGTTGTAATTCCAAATTTCTTTTTTCACTTTCTTCCTTTGAATAAGTCTCTAAAAATGAATCTATTGAAGATTTAAGTATAACTTTCATAGCAAATTCAAATTTTGTTACTGAATCGTATACATGAAATACCAATCCATAAACACCAGAACCTATCTGTCTTATAATTTGAAAATTATTCACTTGGCAACCTTCGAGTGGCATGTTTGTTTGTTTGTTTGTTTGTTTGTTTGAAATAAAGAGTATAAAATGAGGATATTAATATTTTTTAAAAAGAGTGAGTAATAATATGATGATAAAATAATGTTGTTGTTTGGTTTCCCTTAGTAAGTAGTATTAATAATTCCTTGGTGAAATAGTTAAACAAGAGAAAAGATAAAAAATAAAATTAAGAAGGGAAAAACCTTTTTAAAACACAATAGTTCAAGTATATATATATATATATATGTATAACGTTCTAACTTCGGAAATACTTCACTATGTATGAATGTGTTGAAGTTTATCAACTTGGCAAAAAAAGAGAGCAAAGGATTGTCAATCATAAATTCCGAACAAACTTATGAAGTTGTTCCATGTAAATTATAATGAATTAGATGATACTATTTCAAGTTCTGAGTTTCTCTCGTTAATTAATAAAAGTAAGATGCAATGTTTCTAAACTGATATTGTTCCGTGAAGTAAAATACCTACAACATGTTTTAACTTAGAGGATAAATATAGTTAGTTGTACGTAATATAAAGAATGATAATAAAAAAATGAATAGAAAAGCTTATTAAGGGAAAAAAACGGAGGCTCCTACACCGAAGTGGGGGGAGGGAGCATAAATTCCATAAATTCTGCTTACAAGTTTTGCCTTCTTAACAAACAAACAGAAAAGGAATACCAATTTGATATAATTATTAATATTGCATATTATAACGCCAAAAAGCTACTAAAAAAGTCCAGGTAGATTTAACTAAAGAACGAAAAGAGCACACGAAGATTTCAAAAATCCGCTAATTATTTCGGGGGAGGGGGGAAGAAAAAACGGACGGAAGAGAGAATTCCTTGCTCTCTGTCTCTCTCACTCTTCCTACAAAAATATAATACGTAATTTCCAGTTTTCAAATCACAAAATTGAAGCTGGAAGAAAAAAAGAAATGCTTCTTCTACGTATTTCATTAAGGAATTAAAGACATACGTGGTCATCCTTACTGAAAACAATAACGACAAGTTAACAACGTAGAATCAAATTCCCCTGCCTGTATGTTTTGGGGTCACCAAGTTACCACCTGTAAAATATGTCATGCCCTGTAACAATGTGGGAATTACTTGGACAGGATACATGAGGCAAGAGGGAGGGGGAGTAGAAGACTGGGGGGCAGGCGGACGTAAGATACTGAGTAAGATACTGAGTAAGACAGTGTAGTAGTGTCGGTGATAATTTATTGGGAAAAAGTAGGGACCACTACATTCCGAATTATTTATTTATTTTCGTAGTTTGCTAATAAATCGGTGCTGAGAAATATATAAATAATTAAAATAACACCAAACAATACCTCCCCCTCCCCCCCTCCCGGAAAGACAGGTATCACTAATGCAGTAGTTATGTTTGATTGCTTACACTCTTTTGAGAGAGAAATTGTTGTAGGAATATATAATTTCGGAATAACAAACAGTAGAATAACTCAACACTATACGTATATATTATACATTACATATTACACATATACATATACATTTACATTTACATTTACATAAATCAGTTTGTCCAATATGGTTAACAGATAATAATAATGTCATGCAGCTTTCCTTATTGCCTCCTTTGATATCCATCCCTCTTTTTCTGTCTATTTCTCCATCAATCCAAAATAATTAAATGGAGATTGAAAAAAGTTTCTTTTTTAGACTAAAGTTCCGTAGAACACCTCTCTTTCTTCTTATTTTCTTATTTTTGTTGCTGTCCGACATTTTCTTGAGTAAAAAAACTTTGTAGTTAACAAGATCGCTCTGGATATGTAGTGGATTCATTTGAAAAAATTTGTTTTCTGAGTATAAAGAGGCAGGCAAACAATAAAATAAAGAACATTAGAAGAATACACCTTTGTCCAATTTATTTTCGATAGGGGGACACAATAGACTCGGGGAGAGGTAAATACGCCAAATACGCTCAAACCAGTGCAAATAAATTTGTTTTATTTTGGTGTGTGCTGTTTCTTTGTCGTAGAAAAGAATAAATCTTTGGTCTTTTTCAGGAAGTGGGTTGTTCCGAAAGAGAAAATAACTCTAATCTGTTTAAAGTATCCTACGGGATTAATACGAAATTTCCAGTTTTAATTTATTTAAAATTCAAAAGATCAAAAAAAATATTAAAGTTCTTCAGATTTTCTTTTTAAAATATTTCGGTCAACGGAATACCGACAAGCACAACGTTTGTAGAAGTTCCGTCTTATAAAATGAAAGTGAGAAAAGAAGAATACGTACAACATTTTTCAAATTTAATTACTATTTCTAATAGTCCGGTTATTTTTTGCATTTCAAAAAATTTCGAGGCTTATACACTTAATAAATACGGATTTTTTTTCAAGACAACATAATTTTATACGAATCGAGCTCAGATACTTATAATAATAGTACATTAACAACAAGAAATTATAATAATTGGTTAATTAAGGATGTCAATCTCTTTTAACAAACTTTTTGAATTAAAATAAATAACTAGAGAAGGGATCATCGTAGTATTCGTGTTTGGTTAACTCCAGTTCTATTTTGTTTTTTTGCTTTCTATATTACCAGTAAATAATACTTGTCTTATCAATTATAAGATATATTTGATCGTAGGGTAAGGGGTAAAAACAAAAATAAAATGTTAGTATAATATGGAATATGTATCAGAAAATATTATATATACCCGAATCGGGTCACCGACATTGAACTTAGTGGGTTTTTTTTTTGTTAAATTCATACAGAAGAATATGTATTGCGATATATTGAGTTGCTTTTGTTTACTTGCATATATGGACTGTAATAACGCCAGTTTGGTATATACATTCATATTTATAAGTAAATAGAACGTGGCCATGCATTCACTCTCTTTTTAAAACAAAAATAAAAAAAATCCATACTATGATATTGAAATATTATGTTACTACATATGTGGGTGGTAAGCATATGAATATTGGAAAGTAATATGTAAAATGTGGCAAGTACAGAAACTGGAAAATTATTTTGTTTAATAAACAATTTATAAATCCAGTTTATTTTTTGTTATTTTTTTGTTGTAATTGTTCTTGTCTTACATTGTTAGGGGGAGGAGCAATAACTTATTTTATAAATGTACATTGGTATGCGACAATAGTGGTTATCAAAAAAAATTGAGTTCTTCCGACGTCACAAACTAAAATATTTGGTGCACTACGAAAAATCTCGTCAAAACAAATTAAACCAGCATACTACTTTAAATTGTAATTAAAGAACAAAAAAATAAAATAAAATATACCTTGCGGAGTCACGTACAAAGAGATATTTTGTTGTTTGTGTTTTTACTTCCCTCGAGAATTGTCTTCGTGTCTTGTTTAAAATTTTTTTGAAATGACGGAAAATTGTTTTGCATATCTGCCGGTTCACTAAACCTTTTTTTGTTTTTTTTTGTTTTGTACGAAGAAATCTTCGGTACCTAGGTTTTTCCGTCATCTGTCTTCAAACTTACATTCAGGAACATCTTTCTCCTTTGCATTCAGTGACAGTTCAGTTATTAACATCTCAAAAAAAAAAACATTTTATCCTAACCAAAGTCTTGTATGAATATCTTAGGTAATGAAGGTTGGAAGCTAGTTCATATATGGTCGCATAATTCAATCCTAGTTACCAGAAAGTTCAAGTAAATTTCGGAAAAATGACCTAGAATGTATGTTTATCAAATATTCTATTTTTTTGTAAAATAAATGTGTACAGTTAGTTGTTTGGCACTACGATTGCATATTTTCAATTCTATCTCCCCCCCTCCCCCCTGAGGCTGAACTTTGCATGAAATACGAATTGATCTTACTCAATTGATCAATAGAGTCTCATGTTTGTTTACTGTTCAAGAACAGGAAGAGGTCGCACCCCCCCCCTTTAGTTTTTTTACAGAAATAAACGTCCCACTATTTTCACACTATACTTTTATTAATTTGCAAAGTCGGATAAATTAAACAACAAAGTAACTATATACTTTAAACTAGACCTATTAAATAACCATGTACCACATTTTCCGTTCTCTTTTCCAAAGCTTATGTGGATAAGTATGAAGATAGTTAAAATGTTTTGTATATGTTTAAAAGTTTTACAAATAGGAATCTTACTCCCAATTCGTTTATTTGATGTTGTTCTACGTTTATATGCTGTAACGTTACACTTTCATAATTTAAATTACAATATTTGATCTGATTTATTTTGATCTGGAATAACTTCGAATTCTTCGTTACGGAAAAAAGATTTTGTAGCTTGGTTCACATTTGTAACAAGAAATGGATATTACAAATATCTATGTTACATACACGGAGAAAAATACTATACAAAGACGTCCCTTTATGATCTGTTTTCTATCATTTCCAAAATTCCCCTCAAATTTTATGCATATACCCCATTCTTTCATGTATGTTCTACATCGACTTAGAAACGTGTTACTTTTTTACTTAGGTTTCAATTTATCGTATAGTGAACCAGTACTATTATACCTTTTAGATATTCTTGATAAAACTAGCACTCTAGTAATAAGGCATTTCCTCTATTGGCAAGGAGTTAAATAAAAATTATTAAATAATATATATTTATTTGATTTGTTTTAAGGAATCGTTTTTCTCTTTCAATTTTCGGAAAATTTAACCCCTTCTCCTATAGTGGGGGGATTCTCATTGATGAACAAAACTTTATTTCCAAAAGAGACTTTTTATTGTTCCGAATGTCTAAAGTAAGCCCCCCTTATCTAAAGACTTCCATTTGATTTCTCCTTTAAATCATTGATTTCGGTTTCGGTTTCGTATTCTTGGATATAAGAAATTCAATACATAATTGTTTAGAATCATATATTTATCAATAAAACGGAATTTCTTATTAAAGGATTAAAATCAACAATTCGTAAAAAATAAATCAAGATTTGTTGATAGTATGCAGTTTTAGAAGGAAAGAAAAAATGGTGAAAGTAAGATATTTTTAGTTAATAATTGTATCTGTCAATTTTTGCTCTAATCTCCTAATATTTTTCATAATATTTACCTTAACTCCGTTCTTCTTTTTAAATATATATCATTATTTCAAACGTTTACCTCAATAGTAAAAATGTCCAATGTGTAAACAAAACGTCATCTATTTAGATATTTGCAAAAAAAAGTTACAATTTCAAATGGCACAGAATACATTATTTCAGATCTGTTTTTCTGTGATATTATATCATATCTATTTTGTGTTTTTATTATAGCAAATTGTTAACCATTCGTTTTACAGCTTTATCGAATAATTCTGATTTAATAGGCATTTCCATAGAATAAAATGGATCTTTCATAACATAATCACCATATAAACAATATATCTTTCTTAAGAAGTTATCAGCAACTTGACTAGCAATATTTACTGCTTTTGTCCTATCAATGCTTCCTGTCATTGTTGTACCAGCATTGTTCGACAGAACGTTCGAACTTAACGCGACAAATTTTAACCCTGTCATTGTTTGATATATATACATAGTAAATTGGTCAGTACTCAACTGTCTTAACCCACTTTTGTTCCAACTAATAAACGGTTCTTTAAAGAAATCTGGACCTTTATAACTACCAAGTTTAACCGGTACATTCGAGTTTCTATTCTGTTGAGGATTGCTGTTTTCCATCCCCACCATTGGAATATAGGGTATAACATAATCGACATTATTTTGTGTTATTTGCAATGCCTTAGGTGTTATTTGACTAGTTATTGCAAACACACTGTGTATCGTACTTGCTATGATTAGAAAATCGTTACTATTCAATTTAGACGCAAAACTCTCTGAAAAGTTTCTCTGATAAATCAATCCACCAGATTTGTTGATAATAAGTATAGACTCGATTGCCATGTTATTTTGGTATGTATAGGTTGAATTGTGTATTCTTGTTATTCTTGTGCGAACGGTTGCTGTTGAGTTTGTCCTGTTCTCTCTCTTTCTAATGGTGAGCGTTAATCATCTCTTTACAAAACCAAATATATGTCATATAGGTTTGTATATAATAATTTTCTTCACTTTCAAATTGAAACTTTCCATTTTCCATATTAGAGAGCACCACCGCGGGACTTTTATTTTTTGTAATCGCTATGATACGAAATATGCTTGGCGTATATTATATTACAGATATCTCTATATATGCTAAACTCAAATTATTATTTAGTCTTTTCAATATGTGAAAGTTAAATTATTATAAAAAGATTTATATGTGAATTTATCTTGTCTATTCTGAATCTTGTCCATGGATAGATATAGAGGTATGGTCATTGCTCCAGTTGGTATTGCCTCGATTATATGATTAGTTGTATCAACACATGAAGTAATGAATGAGGTTCAAAGTTTTGATCAATGAATTATTAAGAATAGTAATAATGATTTGGTAGGTTGTTAACTTTTTTTAAAAAAATAATCTTGTGTACCATTTGGTATTTAGTTTTCTCATCAAATTAGCATAATATTGAATTTCACCCCAACAATCTCTACCAAAATTACAACCAGCCATATTAACCACAAAATCATGATCTTTTTCGTCGTAAAAATATCTAGGATCATCACTGGAATCAGAACATGCACCCGGTGGGAATGCGTTGATTGATCTTAATGGAAGGAAGCCAATCTTGGAACGGATCCACGCTTCATTGGCATATAGGGACTCTAAAGCATCCTGTTCTCTGTGTTCCCATACCATATGTTTTTGTTCGTATGTGATTGGATCCCACCACATATCTAGGAACAATCTAGACCAATCACTATTTTTGATGAAGAATGAGCCTAAATTGAAACCACCACAATCCTGTGTAATTAAAAGGTCCATCTCTTCTGAATAATCTGTATATGGTTGATCAAGTTCTAGGTTCAATGGATTGAAGTTCTTTAATGTACGATCTGTAATCTCATCAATTCTATTGAAAATGTGATCCTCTAAGGATTTTTCAGGTTCCATAATTAAAGTGTCCAAATCTAGCCACCAGAACCATTCGGTATCTGGAAATTCTCTCATTGTTTGTTTCAAGATATCAGCTTTTTGCCAACCTTCTCTAAACTCATGTGAATATCTCTTGGTAGTAGCTAAATCTTTAATAGTTAAACCATAACCGTGTCTCTTCGCATATGCCTTCTTGTTCGCTATAGAAATATGTTCAATGGCCCATTCTTGTTCGTTTTTCCATCTTAAAACACCACCACCTTCATTAGCAGCTAAGATAATGACGAATCGTGGATCCTTTGATCTTGAAAACCATTTAGAATTCATAGGCTTTCCTATTGATTCACTTGTAGAGTCCTGATTCCTTTGGTCTATAAAAGTGTCTGGTATAGCAGAATCTGTAATCCAAAAGAAAAGAAACACAACAATGAATAGGATTAGCAAAGTTTTCTTGGATTTCCCAATCTCTGAATGAAAAAAATTATGTACTCTAAAGAAGTTCAACTTTGTACGTTTAAGGAATGTTAAAGATTTCTTATCATTATCTTCATCATTATAACGATTAAGACTCTTCCCGTCATCATATTTCATATCCAATTCAGACATTACAGGCTGTAGTATATGTTCAAAAATGGAGGGTGTTTGTCGATGTGCCTGTTGATTAACTTACAACTATTGGTGAATTAAAATTTCCAGTCAGAATTGATAGACACCTCCAAATGTGTATGTATCCACCTCAGCAATCACTTTCACAGTCACACTGTCTTATGTATTGATCAATAGTTATTGGACTGCAATAATCAGAAACGATTACTTCTTGAAGTATAAGTGTAAACGTGACAACAGCTGTCAATGAATTTTTCATTGGCATGTTATTTTTATTTTTTTTTCTAATTCTACTACCTAATTTCCATGATGCGCCAGAGAAAAGTTTCCTGATAATTCTTTAATTCTGGGCTGCGACCAATTTTCGTTTTGTCGTTCTGCATATTGTAGGAAATGTCACTATAAACGTAAAGCTTGATCAATTACGATTTAATTCATAAATATTTAAACAATAACAGATTAGATCGAAATTAGAGAGTCAGAGACTATCATGATCACCTGTCTAGTTTAACCTATGTTATTAGTGTGTGAGAGGACAGTAGCTATCGTTAATTTAGTATTTCTTGAAATATTTTTTTTGTTTACAGTAAAAGTGATCAATTTAAATTGACGAACTCCAATAAAAGTAGAAAAATATACAGGATAATGATGAAATTAGAGAAACAAATTAAATTGCAATTTGAACATGCAAATATCAGTACAAACTATGAATATATAAAATTATAATAATGCGTTGAATTGTGCCAATTTATTCAAACTTTCTTAGCATTGCCTATATAAAATTAAAATGCAAATTCGCCTTTGAATTGTTTTAAATCCATGCCAGGTTTAACTTTCTCTAAAAGGTCATTTCTATTCATAGCAACAAATACCCTCTTTAGAGTTTCGATAATATTATCATTATTCCAACTATTGTAATCATGGTCCTGTTTAAATTTCTCTCCTTCAATTTCATGCATCGATAATGTAGTCAACAGATGCTCAGCTGATTCTTTGTAACAGCCTATGTTCATACATGATACTGCCAAGTTGTAACGAGCCCTGACAAAGGACGGTTTTAAATTTAAAGCTTTATGATATGCCGTAATGGATTCCTCTGATCTATTTGAATTGGCTAATGCAGCTCCTAGACGATTCCACATTAACTCATCATTGGGATTGGCCTCTAATGCTCTATTGAAACACTCTATTGCAACATCATAATTATCATCAGCATAATAAAGAAGTCCCAAACATAATTCGACGTCAGGATCTACTTGTGGTAATTGTTTAGATAAACCCAGAAATTTCTGTTTAATCTTTTCTCCGATTTTGATATTTTCTTCCATTGATTCATCTATTAATACACTAGTTTTCTCATTATAAATTTCTGTGGAAAGGTCTACATTTGGATATTTGGTGGTGATCCATTGATTTAATATAGTGAGTGCACTCATATCGTAACCTTCATTGATATAACTAATTGCTAAGGTTTTCATAGCCTCTAGATTTTTACCATCTAATTTTAAACATTTCTCCAAAGCACAAATACCATTTAATTCTTTCTCATTTTGAATTTGTACTAAACCTAGTTTTAACCATGCATCCACATGGTTAGACTTCTCTTGTACAGCTGCTTCAAAAGCCATTGCAGCCTCACTTAACTTTGCGCCATTTTCCATTAATATGCAACCAATCTTGTAAGCATTTGGATTATTTAGATATTGATTTTTAGAGTCCTCAAATTCATAGTTTAGATTACCTGTCATTCTACTCAACATATACTTCGATCTGTCAGGCATAAAATCCTCGCCATCAGCATGAATATCATCCCAAACTTTCTGGAAGTCGGCTTGATATGTATCATCAATAATAATATCTTCAGAAGCATCCATCACATCTACAGACGCCTCTTCCTTCTGTGTACCTTCTTGAGTTCCTTTCACGTTCTCATCAATCTTCAAATTCTGGGAAACCTCCCTTTCGAGATCACCAAATTGTTGATCCCAATCTGTCTCCGTCTGTTGTCTTTGATTTAGTTGAGGTTTCTGTTGTAAGGTAGATGTAGGATGTGATCTATATTCTTGGTGAGGTCTATTTCGAAACATTGGAGATCTGAAACTATTCATAGTTGAATTTAAATTATTTTGGAGAACTCTTCCTGAAGTTTGTCTATCCATTAAATTTCCTTGATGATTTGTAGTGTTAAATTCATCAGACCATTCTTTTTTGGTAGGTACATTCTCAAAAAATTGAGGCTGTGGTACGTGTTCGTTTAATAGACCAGATGGATTCCAAGTCGGTTCAGTTATTGTTCCTATTGGTGCTTGACCGAATTTCATGGGACCCTGGTTGTTAATCGTACCATTTTGAAAATTATTAATTTCCCTTAAATTCCTCTCTGATACTATATTTTGAGAAGATTTTAATGACACAGAGGAACCTGTCAAGGTACTTGATGATCCTAGACCAAAATCCACTCTATGAGGGAGTAGATTATGTTCATTTTGTTGAGTATGTTTATTTAAATGAACTAACGGGTTATTATTTACGGAACAATCGGCGGCATTCATCTTTTATCCTGCCAGTAAGCGTCTCACTATATTCTAGATTTATATTACGCACTATGTAAGATAGATAGATATCTGAATAATGTATTCATAAATTCAATAAATCAAAAGAACGTTTACCCAACCTCCTTTTATATATAAATAAAGTTATGACTCTTTTAAGAGCGGTTTCAATGAATGCTGCCGCCACTTAAGATTCTTGTCCATCTCCATTTTGGAGATTTTTTAATTATTTTCCCATCGGAAATTGTAAATGATGAGCCGACGGAATAAAAAAGAATAAAATATTAACTGATTGACAATTTTGGTTAGAGAAGTTGACGTTTGGGACTAACTTAATGGAGTGATAGGTACCACATATTATTAAAAATCTGTTTTCTCCAACGATATTGTAAGGTAACTTAGTTGAATAGGAGGAGGAATACTAATTATGGCTCGACCTGTGGATGTATCACAACTATTGACTAGTTTGAAAGGAGATAAGAATGGAAATAGGGTTGCGAAGAATCCTTTAAGGAAGGCAAAATTTTTAAGTAAGAATGAAAGAGAAGCCCTTCTTCGAGATAACAGGAATACAAGTAATAATATAACAGTTACAGAAGATGTCAAACTTCTTGTTCATAATAAGAAAATGGTGCAAGATGTGGCTGAACAATCAGAAATTATTGAATCTGTTAACAAAGATGAACCATCTTCTATAAGTCATAATAGTAACAAAAAATTGAAATTCAATTTTGACTGGCAGAAATCAGACGATACATTAACAGATTTTAAACCTTTGACATCATTAAAAGTTAATGATTTGTTAAAAGTCAAAAATGTGACCAATGACGGACTCGGCAAGATCGAGGAATCCTACCTGGGTAGACATTGGACTCAAAAGGCTTTTAATGAAATGACAGAAAGAGATTGGAGGATTCTAAAAGAAGATTTTCAAATATCTATAAGAGGGGATTCAATAAAACAGCCACTCCGAAATTGGAATGAATTAAAATTGATTCCCAATGATTTGTCTAACATTATAACCAATGATTTACATATGGAACACCCAACTCCTATTCAAAGGGCAACTATTCCAAATTTCACAAGTAATGGGAATAGATCTGTTTTGGGTGTTGCATCGACCGGTTCCGGTAAAACATTTGCATTTATCATACCAATACTTACTAAGTTGAGTCTAATGCCAGATCAACCAAGATCCATTAAAGTTCTAGAGGGACCTAAGGCACTTATATTAGCTCCGACAAGAGAACTAGCACAACAGATTAAAGCTGAGGCAAAAAGATTGACTGACTTATGGGATAAGCATGATTATAGAGTTGTCTCGATTGTTGGTGGACATTCGATAGAAGAAATTAGTAATGAACTCTCTGATGGTTGTGATATTCTCGTAGCCACACCAGGTAGATTGATAGACTGTTTGGAGAACCATGCGCTAACAGTTGGATCTGTATCAACTGTAGTATTAGATGAAGCTGATAAGATGATTGATCTAGGGTTTGAAGACCAATTGACCACCATTCTTAATATGTTAGAGATGAATACTACAATTAAAAGGGGAAGGAGACAGGTTGTAATGTTTACTGCAACGATGATGCCTCCCATTGAGAAGATCGCTCGTCAATATTTGCAAAACCCTATCAATATATCAATTGGAAGTTCTGAAAATACTATACCTAAAATTCAACAGAAAGTTGTATATGCACCAAATGACGATTTGAAATTTAATAAAGTAGTAGAACAACTTAGAAATACTAACCCCCCAATAATAATATTTATTAATCACAAGAGAGTTGCAGATGTCCTGGCAGAAAGACTGAAAAAAGAGACAAGGTATAATGTAGTCACGCTTCATGGTTCTAAGAGTCAAGAACAAAGAGAAAAATCATTAAGTGCATTAAAAACTAATAAAGCGCAAATTATGATTGCAACGAGTATTGCTGCCAGAGGGTTAGATATTCCAAATGTATCGCTAGTTATTAATTACGAGATGCCAAAGCATTTTGAAGACTATGTTCATAGAATAGGTAGAACCGGTAGAGCTGGCAATATTGGTACAGCTATTACATTTATTGGTGAATATGAGGATGAAAAGACTGTGGAAAAGTTACAAAAATATGTTGCAACTGAAAATCCGTTACGTAATAATGAATTTGACAATCGAATTAAAAAATTATATAAAATACATGAAGCAAAATCGGAATATATAATATATTGATAGATAGTCCATGAATAAATAGAGTTAAAACAAACAGAAATTTGATTGGAATAAAAACAAACCACTCCCACAAGTGGTTGGTAATCGGAAGACCGATGGATCATCGATATTCGTAGTTTTGAGAATAAAACCTACAAAAAATATCTCCAGGGGGCGAGTCGAACGCCCGATCTCAAGATTTCTTGTAAAATTACAGTCTTGCGCCTTAAACCAACTTGGCTACCTAGAGATTTATAAGAAAGGCGAAAACCTTGCAGTATTTGAGCAAAAGATATTATCCGGGTAAAACAAAATGTTTTAAATTAAATCTTGTAAATTATCAATGTTATTGTACATCATGTAAACTTAAATTGGCAAGAAATAAGATCTATATTAAATTTGGATTGTGAACATCTGTAATATATAAAATACGCCTGTATAATTGTAAACGTAAGTTTGAGATTGAGAAGATATGATTAGTATTCGAGTTGAAATTATCTGACATAGCTATAGATATTCAAATGTATAATTGTGTCGTTTATTTTATGTTATTTAAAGTAAGTCTATATAAGGAAGATTGTATATTCTGTTAAACATAGTTACTGTTGTTAAATTGCTCATCTTTTGCGCATAGTAACGTTTGACAATGTAGCTCCAATATACCCAATGTAGGGGGAACGAATACTACATTATGCAGTATATATCATGTGATATTATATATACGGTAGTGCAGTACACTCTAAATTCTACTTTTATTGGCTAACATCTCCTTCAGATAGGTTAAGCTAATGTTAGCCTTTTTAGTGCTGCCGCTACATTTCAACAATTAAGTGTACATAGTTAAAGTAGAGCAAATGTTATATGTTAATCCTTTCTATTATTATTAAGTGGGTGTTTTCTAGTATATAAAATTTATAAGACGAATGGGTTTTAACTTAAAATGTCAGTTCAGAATTCTCTATCTTTAGATATGTTTTTACTTCATTATTTCATTATTTCAATTTTCATAACTCCCATGCTGTATTGACATCTTTAATGAAGACTTACCCAGTTAATTACTTTTTAGTAAATTAATGCCTCACAACTTACAATGAAATTGTATTCATTTTCTCATGATACTATTGGGTTATTTTCGACTTATTTCTTTTAGTTTATCGTTTGACTTATCATTGAGAACAATATAATTTATCTCAATGATAAATCATTGAAATTTCAACTCAAATGTCCTTAGGAAATTATAAAATGATTTCCTAAAGATAATGTTGTATAAAACTGTTATATAATCTTAACTTTCAACTGGCGTGTTTTTCTGTCCATAATTAAGAAAATGTGTGAGAGAGAGAACAAAAAGTCAAGAAGAAACCTGATATTAGATAATAGTAAGGAAGGATATTATATTTATATTCTGGTCATGGGAGTTAGTGGTATAAATACTTTATTAATTATTTATTTTTTACATTGTGTCTCTATAATTTTTCACAGCATTCGCTTTTGGAAAGGTTTGTTAATATATAGTTTTGAATCGTACCAGCACATAGTTTATATGATAGATATTCTTCAATTTAAATTCAAGAATGAAACCGATTCAGAAGTAAGTTATATTATTGGAACAAGTTTATATGTTTTTTTATACTAAAAAAATAACTGCTAATGTATTACAGAATATGTTGAGTTAACTCTGCTATCATATTTTCAGTACTTAATGTCTGTAATAAAACAATGGAGATTATATTTGACGAGATGTCATGCTTTTAGACGGAAAAGTGCAACCTATGTTACGTTTTATATAAATTTTTCTTGGTAGCAAAATTGTTGATATAGGTATACCTGTACAAAGGTACTTTGTCCATCATATGAGATGCCACCCATTATCCCGAAGGCTCAATACCTTTACAAACTACCTTAAGGTTTGCAGTCAGGAACCATCGTTGTAGAGAAGTACTTTATTTCCTTAAAATTGACCAAGGATGCATCTTTAATACAAAATGTCACATAAATCGATATTTCTGCCCTGTTGAAGTAATGCCCAATTCCCTAATCGTTTAAAATGACCGATATTCAAAAAATTTGTGAGCTAGAAAATTTTTCATCTTTCCCCGATGAGCAACGAAATAATTTTTCATTTTCTTCACTTTAGTAATTGAAATATCGAAGGAAGGATTGATACTACTACATATAAATCATATTATTAGTTGATATTAGTTTATTAGATTGGAATTGATTAATAAACGTCAGAGTTACCAAACAAAGTCAATAATATATCATATAAATCAAAAATGGCTAAGGAATCCAAAGAAGTTAAGTCCGAGGACAACTATGAAACCAGAATGCCAGCTGTTCTGTCATTTGCTAAACCATTAGCCTCTAAGAAACTAAATAAGAAGGTTCTAAAGACTGTTAAGAAAGCCTCCAAGGCCAAGAATGTCAAGAGAGGTGTTAAGGAAGTTGTTAAGGCTCTAAGAAAGGGTGACAAGGGTCTAGTTATCATTGCTGGTGATATTTTCCCAGCTGATGTCATTTCTCATATCCCTGTTTTGTGTGAAGACCAATCTGTCCCATATATTTTCATTCCATCTAAGCAAGATTTAGGTTCTGCTGGTGCCACCAAGAGACCAACCTCTGTTGTTTTCATTGTACCAGGTAGTAACAAGAAGAAGGATGGTAAGGCTAAGGAAGAAGAATACAAAGATTCTTTCAACGAAATAGTAAAGGAGATTTCTGCTTTTTAAGAACTTCAAGCATTACTCTGATTTACTGGGCATATCTTATTTTATTTTCGAATCACAACTAAACAATTACATATAAAGGAAAAAATTCATAATAAAATCTTCAAAGATTTTATCTTCATATATATCACTGTACAATCAATTTTCAATCAATAACAATTAAAAGTATTAAAATAGCTAATATATGTATACTTATCAGGACTACATAGAGTAGGACTATTTTATTGAGTATCTCTCTGTTCTACATCAACTATCAGATAAATCATCGCTCTATTTGTATATAATATTGTTATTTATTTTTTTACTTAGCGAACAAATCCTTATAATATATAAGTGAACATTTGGTATAAGATAAATAGCAAAAGAGGTAAAAGGATTGCTATCTATCTAAAAGGCTATTGATAGACCGGAAGAACTTTGATTACCAAAGTGTAATATTGTGTCTCCATTATGTCTCAAAGAACTGGATATTCGGACAGAGTACTAACTAATAGGAAAACACAAGGAACGTTAGGTAAGCGATATAATAAGAAAAGTGCATATTCTGATCATTTTGAAAGTCAAGATATTTGGAAGAACCTTGAAAGAATAAGACATTCAAATCATCTCGCAGGGAAAACTATAAAAAATAGTTATATATGTCTTCTACTTCAGAAAAAACTTGATATAACGTTACTCACTAATTGTGTCGATGAGCTGCATAAATATATCGAACATGATACTTTGGAGTTGCAAAAACAGAATGAATCAACAGCTATATTAATTTTGAAAAACTTTAGTATTTTGGATTGTTGTCTCACAATAAGTGTCATATCAAATTTAACTTCTGGTAGGTCGCTTAGTTCGTTAAGTAAATCATATTTTACTGTCCCAAATGATATTGAACTAAATTGTACTTTGTTTTTCTTTTCCAATTTTAAACATTCTAAAAGTCGACTAAGATATAGCAAAGAGAATATCGATTTTAGAGTATCAATAGCACCATTTGGCTTGGTCCAGAAAATTAGCGAAGTCCATATTTCAACTAGTGCAGGTAAAACTTTGTCACATTTTATGCAAGGATTGGCGAACTTTATATCAGAAATAAAATTTGGGAAACATCCTCAAAGGATTGACAGATATATTACAACACGTCTGGCTAATTACAGAAAAATATTAATCCTTAATATGTCAGGGCTAAGATTCCCTGAACATGATATGTTTGATCCTACGGAACTAGAGAAAAATAGACAACTTTTGACACGATCTCAAGAGAGTCTTTCTGAATACAAAGTTAATATTCAGAAGTATAAAAAATCACTTGTATCGACCTCTATAGAAACAAAAGCTGGGAATACCGCCAATGCTGAGCCAAGTCAGAATGTTAATGCTCACTCTATGGCACAATCTAATGGCAGTATCAGATTCGATTTAAAGAATGAGAATAACAACATTGATCATACCCAGGTTACAACGACCACCTACCAAGCATTCCCGGAAAAACGTGGATTTCTCTCTCAAGATCAAATCAAAGAGCACTGTATAGCCAATATATCCGCGTCAAGGGATGTTGTAAAGAATAAAGATGGCAATGAGATTTTCAAGATGTATATAAGGATACCAAAACTGAAATATATCGATATGATATACCAAAATCTCAATGACCTTAGAAATCAAACTAATTGTAACATTGTGGTGTTGAATTTAAATAATTTGGCAGAATCAGAACCTTGGCTTGCATCATTAGATTTAGCCAAGTATACATCTGTAACACAACCTCCTCATCCAAGTACAGTGAGAGTTGTTAGTATCGGAGGTGTTAGTGAATACATCCTCAACAGTTTAGATTTGATTTCAGGCATTATGAAATCCTAAATGACAAACTAAGTGTCTTCTATGTGTATCTGTGAGATACAATCAAGTCAATGACTATGAGCTGGATAATCACCTAAATATTATGGCTAACGGTCATTTTTGTATATATATTCCAATTAGAGCGTAGCAGATCATTAAATGTCCTTTTTTTTACCTTAAAAGGTGAAAACTTCATGCGATGCTCCCGCGTAGTAGAAAATTTCACTGTGCTTTATATATATAAAACTAACTAATTCGATGATAATTAATTATATTAATATTTTAAATTATACATAAAACAAGCATATACAATAATCTAATCTATTGGTTAAATTCAATAAATCAACTTTACACTAACAATCATCTTCAAATATATTTACATCAATTTTATTTGAATGTTTTCCAGTGGAACGGGAAATAAAACTAAGAGGAAATCATTTTTCCTCTTTGGAGGTGATACTAAGACGGCATTAAAACCAACTCACACCCAAACGATACCTACAACTCACACCCATCATAAAAAGGTTGAATCAGCGTCTATTGATGGAAAACATATTCCAAATGGTAGCCTTCAATCCAGTAGCATACCTAAGTCTGCATCTTTATCTTCAAAACCAAAAAGTATACCAATAAATAAAATTGTTCAAGGGCAAACAATAACGACAAGTAGTAAACCAAGTGTGGAGCAACCTATGGTTAAACCTAGAGAAAGGGTTAAACGTCCACCTCCACCTATGGTAAACATGGAAGAAATACGATCATCTGCAGAAAGAATACGGTCGATCAACCTAAAGGATGAAGATCCACAATCCGAAACTAATGCAATAAAGAAGGATACTCAAAACTTGTTATCAAGGGATACAATGCTTAATGAGCATCATGATAGTGGTACTGGTCTCATAGAGCGGGAAATAGTTACTAAGAATACAGATATTGGATATATTTACCAACACAAAAGAGAACGGTCGAAGGCTGAAGAACTTGTTGATGATATTGACATATATCTAAAATCATATAAGGAGAATTCAAAGTCACCTAGTCCACATCCACTAAATACTACTCAACATGCGTTCGATCAGAATGTTGAGGATATTTTTGTCCCTGAATCGGAGAGCCCAATGATCATCCATATCCCAAGCAATGATACAGTTGAGGAGGTAAGTCCTCTAGATTTTAATAGTAACTTGAAAAGTATTCCTAAATTATATGAGAGTTCCGATGAAAGTGCGAGTGAAGGTATTGATAGTGTTTCTTGTCACGATCCAATCGTTTCCAATAATGTACCTTTAGATGGTGTCGACAAACAAGATAATTTTTCGTTTACTGGATCACGTAGTATTATATCTTCAGAAAGGTCTTCTTATCGAGAACAAGTAGCTGCCCCCCCTGGAGTTCTTGATGTTGTGTCAGTTGATGACTATAAGAAGAAAAATGCTAATCCTTTTATGATAGATACGGAATCATCTCCAGAGATAATGCCCCCACGTTTAAGAATAGCCAACACAGGACCACCAAGTCCAGTATCTTCAACGTCATCAGACGAATATATTCTAAACTACGATGGGAAACCTCAGAATTCAAGAGCTGCACCAACAGAAGGAACAGTCGATTTAGAACCTCGACGCCGTTTTAGAGTTGTAAATGAGGATCGTCCGACTTTCTATGCTCCTTTCGACGAAGATAGTGATGTATCATCTTTTGAATCTAGAAACAGTTCCCATAAGAATACAGATGGTGAACCTGGCATTCCTGAGGCATATGAGACTCCACTAGAATCTCCAATACTCCAAGATTCAATAGCAGAAAGTATAATAGAAACAACTGATAGCAGGATTACAAGTTCCATCGACCTAACTTCTTCTGATTATCAGGTGCCCGATAATACCCGTTCATTACATGCTGAATTATTGAGGTCACGCGATGGTTTAGAGAGCATAGAGGATAGCAGTATTAATAAACTGCCGGAGACACCCAATTCGAAAAGTGCACGAAGTGAATCGCCTGTCCATGATAGAACTCTTAAATCTGAAAAGCCAGCACGATTAGTATCTAGTTATGTGGAAGAATTGAGATTAAAATATTATAAGACATCGAATTTCTTAGAGGCACCACCTAACCTACCGTCATCTCTCAAACAGAAGAATAATCTTATTCAGCCAAAGAATATTAGAGTTGCCATTAGAACTAGTTCGAAACAGGTTGGCATAAAACATGGTAGAGTTAAACAGAAGTTACTTGCTTTAGAGGCAAATACTGGTGATAACAAATCTCTAGGGAGTTCAAACATTGGTGTCATCGATCACACCAAAGAATTCCATAAATTGCTTGGTAAGGATGATGTTGTTCCAGAAGAAGACGAAAATGCGTCAGAAGAATATTTAAATGAGATTCCAGGTGATGACGCGTACGATAGTGATGATTGGATGGCCCCTCTTAGAGAAAAGAAAGGTGTCTCAAAACCCAGTGATGTCACAAGAAGTAATACAACTGTTAGTTATTATACTAGGTTACAAAATAGACCTAGAAGTGGGACTGTTGATAAGATGAAATCATACAACTACAAACTCCCAACAAATATACTGGATGAATATAATGCAGACCAAGAAAAGAAGAACGATGAAAACTCTACTAAGAGAACTCCCTCGACGAAGAGTTATGCATCTTCGACATTTATGGATAGTTATTTACCTGATGGAAGACTTTATGTCGCCAACCCAGAATCTGACGAAGAATGATATCTCTTCATCAATAACGTTAAATATATTATATATAGAAAGATAACCCCATAAATAGACTTATAGATATATCAAAGACTTTTTTATTCAAGCCTGTCTCTTATCTCAATAATTTTATATTGTGCCATCATTACCCTCCACTTCTCGCTATTTTTATTACATTTTTTTTCTAGATTCTCGTTCTCTAAGCGGACAATAAAGGATTATTATACATTTTACTTCAAACGTGTTTTGATCTTACAGAAGAAAATTACGATCAAGGATTTTTAAGTTACACGTTACTACATATTAGAAATTAGGAAGAAACCTTCTGTATTGTTCATTGACCAGTGTTTTTTTAAGTAGTAAATTTATTTCAACCAATTGAATATCTACTGAGGATCCATTTGAGGAAAAAGAATGTCTGTCGAAACTAAACAACCAGCGTACACACTAGTTTTCGACCCTTCTACTGGTGGTGAGAGTTACACCGTCAGTGAATTGCAAAAGGCCTTGGAGAAAGGTTCTGAAGATGAGAAAGTTGCGGCCATGAAGCATATCTTGGTAATGATGTTAGATGGTAACCCATTACCAGAATTGTTGATGCATATTATCAGATTTGTTATGCCTTCCAAGAATAAGAAATTAAAGAAATTGTTATATTTTTACTGGGAGATTGTCCCAAAGATGGATGAAGAAGGTAAATTAAGACACGAAATGATTTTAGTTTGTAATGCTATTCAACACGATTTGCAACATCCAAACGAATATATTAGAGGTAATACTTTGCGTTTCCTAACTAAGTTAAATGAACCAGAACTGTTAGAACAAATGGTCCCATCTGTTTTAACATGTTTAGAATATCGTCATGCCTATGTTCGTAAGTATGCTATCTTGGCTGTGCAATCGATCTACAATGTTAGCGAGCATTTGATTCCTGATGCTAAGGATATTGTCTATAAATTCCTAGAAGATGAAATGGACCCTATCTGTAAGAGAAATGCCTTTGTTGGTGTTGCTGAATTGGATCGTGAATCTGCTTTGAAATACTTGGAAGAAAATATTGTGAACATTGAGAAGATCGATCCTTTGTTACAATCTGTTTTTGTTGAATTCATTAGAAAAGATGCAAACCTTACTCCATCATTAAAGGATCAATATGTTGCTTTATTATTGGAATTGTTGAACGCAACTACCTACGATGATGTTGTATTGGAAACCGCACTAGCTCTAACCCTTCTTACCCCAAATACTACCATATTGAATGCAAGTGTATCCAAGTTGACTGATTTGGCTGACAGAGTTTCAGACAATAACGTTAAATTGATTGTGTTGGATAGAGTGCAAGATATCAACAACAACAACCCAGGGACCTTAGAAGAGAGAACTCTAGACATTTTGCGTTTATTGAACTCAGAAGATTTAGATGTTCGTTCAAAGGCTCTGGATATTTCTCTAGACTTGATATCTTCGAGAAATGCAGAAGATGTCATTCAATTATTGAAGAAAGAATTGCAAATTACCGTTACCAACAACGAAAAAGAAAACGCCATGAAGTATAGACAGCTATTAATTAAGGCAATTCGTTCCATTGCTATCAAATTTTCTGAAATGGCCGAAAGTGTGATATCTTTACTATTGGAATTTATCAGTGAATTGAACTCTGTTGCTACATGTGGTGTCATTTCTTTTGTGAAGGATGTCATTGAAAAATACCCACAACAGAGATCTGTCATCCTAACCCAATTGGTTAGTGCTTTAGATAACATTAAGTCTGCTAAAGCCTACCGTGGAGCTCTATGGATATTGGGTGAATATTCGGAATCTTCTTCAGAAATCCAAGCATCCTGGAAGCATCTACGTACCAGTATGGGTGAAGTTCCAATCGTTCAATCGGAGATGAGAAAATTAAACAAGAATGACGAGGACAATGGAGAAGAAACTAAAGATGAAGAAGCTGCAAAACCGTCCGGTCCAGTTATTCTTCCAGATGGTACATATGCCACCGAAAGTGCATTTGGTAATGAAGATATTTCAAAGAAGGTGTCTAATTCAGAAAAGGAAGAAAGACCACCATTACGTCGTTTCATATTGGGCGGTGATTTTTATACAGCTGCAATTCTGGCATCAACTATTGTAAAACTGGTCTTGAAGTTTGATAAAGTATCTAAGGACAAACATGTTATGAATGCCTTGAAGTCTGAAGGTTTATTAATTTTGGTCAGTATTATCAGAGTTGGTCAGAGTTCATTGGTCGAACGTAAAATCGACGAAGACTCTGCGGATAGAATAATGACTACTATCTCTATTCTAATGGATGAGAATGATCCAAATGAAAAGTCTAGTGAAAGAAGTTTGTTGGATCTTGCCTTCATCGAAGCCACAAGGGAATCTTTCAAAAACCAATTATCCCTATCTAAGCGTGCTAATCTGAGAAGATCTGTTAAAGATGTTGTCAAGAATGCAGACACCATTGAGACCGCTATTTCTTTCAGACAATTTGCTCACTCAAATGTTGGTGCTATTGAAAAGGATACCGTTGAAGAAGATTTGAATCAAGCCATTCATGGTGATGCTTCAGATTTCGCTGCTAAACAAACATCTTCCAGATTAAAGAAGATTGTCCCATTGACTGGTTTCTCCGATCCAGTATATGCTGAGGCTTATATTACAAACAATCAATTCGATGTTGTATTGGAAGTCTTGTTGGTTAATCAAACTAAAGACACTTTAAAGAACCTACACGTTCAATTTGCAACTCTTGGTGATCTGAAGATTATTGATAATCCTCCAAGCACCAATATCGTTCCTCACGGTTTCCACAGAATTACCATTACCGTCAAGGTTTCTTCAGCAGATACCGGTGTCATTTTTGGTAACATTATATACGATGGTGGCCACGGTGAAGATGCCAGATATGTTATTTTAAATGATGTTCATATTGATATCATGGACTATATCAAGCCATCTGTTACTAGTGATGAGCGTTTCCGTACGATGTGGAATGAATTCGAATGGGAAAACAAGATTTCTGTAAAGTCTGATCTTCCATCTCTACATGCATACTTAGAAGAATTGACTAAAGGTACAAACATGGGTGTTTTGACACCACAAGAATCATTGGGTGAAGACGACTGTAGATTCCTAAGTTGTAATCTATATGCCAAATCTTCCTTTGGGGAAGATGCTTTAGCCAACTTATGTATCGAATTGGATAGCAACACACATCAAGTCATTGGTTACGTTAGAATTCGTTCTAAAGGTCAAGGTCTGGCCCTTTCCTTAGGTGATAGGGTTGCATTGATTGCTAAGCAAAGTAACAAGATCGAATTAAGTCGTATTTAATATGTGTATTACGTAACGCTTACTAGGAAACAATTACAATAAATAAATAAAAAAGTATGATATAAGCAGCAATTATGATCCCAGACTTTGATGAACTAGCGTTCTTGGTTAGGCAATCATGTGAGATATGTCTTATTGAGTTTTATTTACACGAGATTTATATATATATATGGTGTTACAACAAATCTGCATATTACATTCTTTGTTCATTTTCAGTGTTGAAAGGAATTTGTAAACTACTAACCAAGGTTCTGGCTTGTTCGTTGGTTTGTGCAGTAGTATTTACATTAATATGCATACCAAACGTCTTTGGCCATAAATCTTGGTTCAAATCAATCTCTGGGAAAAATTTCACCTCTTCCTCGTCTAAACCAAATGCAATACCACCAAATCTATCCCCTGACGACATATTAATACCTTTGTACTCTCTAATTCTTGGAAGAACAATTTCAGAAAGAGTATTTAGAAATTGGGACATTTCGTAACCTTCCAAAGTGACTTTTGCACCCATAGCATGACCTTTTCTAATTTTCCAATTTGGAACATCTGATTTTGAATATATAATCTTTGGTTTACAACCAGTTAACTGTTGTAATTGTAATGCTGCACTAATGGTTAACATTTCATTATCTCTTGCTTCTCTGACATAACAGTTGAGTGTCATACTTTTTAAGCCGGGAATATTGTTCCATTTGATTGGATGTGTATCTGGGAGTTCTGAATTTGAACCCTTTGGTTTTCTCATTGGCCTATTTATCTGGTATGGAGACGTACCATCCCATTCCCTATTCTTTAAACCTTTTTCAACAGTTGCATTATGTTTGTAATTTATTAATAGTATATCAGACTGAAGAGTATTTAAATAATGTTCCTTTAATCTGTCTTGACGTGTATCCTTTGGTTTGTAAGCTGGAGATCTTATATCATCTTTATCAAACTTCAAGCCATCAAATCTTGTTGTTAACTTGGATTTATCGATCTTAATCAAATGATGCACAGGTTGAACCAATGAGCAAGCTGCTTTGTTGTTTGGTGGAGTTGTAGCAAATTTTCTAATTGCTGATTTGGAACCAACTAAGGTCCTTATACTTGATATTGTATGCACCATTTTTGCTCGTAACCACAGGGAAATGCTAAGTAACAATAGTTATGGCTCTAGTGACACAGTATCTAAAAGTTGTTCAGAACAAGATGATCAACTGGTTGTAGCTAAATTACATCCATAAATATTTTATAGTTTTATTGAAACCCTTTATCGAATCCAGTTCATTATCTATCACTTACCACTAAAGAAACTCCTTCGTCGAGCAAATTCGCGAACTACAAAAAGACATGAAATTATCAAAATGTTATCGCTTTGTACGACACATTACTTCAATGACATTACCTATAGAAGTTCTCAACGCTGAAGACAAGTATAAAAGTTAGAACGGTTGTAGTCATTCTATATTGTTTTGATTGGTATGAATTGGATATGTTTATTACAAAAATTTACATCAATTCATCAAGTAAATTTGACTACTACCGCTGATATTTAATTGTAGGGCGCTAGAATAATTTGATATCCTATCCAATTATGGAAAATATATTAGCATAAGAACTTGTTCCCATTCATATGCATGTGGGTGGGCGTGTATTTATATGAATATATATATATGAAGTAAATACACGTTTTCTTGTAAATCTTGTAAATTTAGCTTCTACATAAAGAATAAATCATTTTGTTTGATGGTAACAAGATCGAAAAAAGGACTATAATCGTTTTGCTCGTCTTGCTTGTTAGGAATTGAGGCAAAATAATATCCTTGAGAAAGTATTTAAACAAATAAATTAACTTAAAGATAAGCACCTTCCAAAGAGTATCTTCATCAATTAATGAATTTTGTTCTCCTATTAGAAAGTATCGTTTTAATTGTATTGTATATGACATCAACTAGACCATTTGATAAACCTATTCCAAAGAGCCCTGCAAGTCCATATCCTATTGTCACTGACTTCTGTGATATTGTAAGTGGTTTCGGTAGGGGTTCGGCAGAACTTGGTATTCCAACCGCCAATATTCCAATAGATCAAATACCTACAGCAGCTAAGGACCTTGAACAAGGTGTCTATTTTGGTTTTGCTCGCATCCAACCCATTGGGAAAGAGGAAAGAACTGAACCAAGAGAAAACCATAGAGATGTAGAATACAACTATGGAAAATACTTGGAGGAGTCCAATGGTGACTTTGATGTCCTTCCAGTTGTGTTCTCGATTGGTTCAAACCCATTCTATCATAATAAACATAGAACATTAGAAATTCATGTGATTCATAAATTTAAGAGAGACTTCTATGGTGCAAAATTAAAATTCAATATATTGGGTTACATTAGGCCAGAATTGGACTACATCTCAGCAGATGCACTAATTACTGATATTAATAAGGATATTATTATTGCAAAACGTGTGTTAGAAACTGATGAATATAAGAAGTTTATGCAAGTTCTTTCGTAGAAAAACATTTTGAATGACGTCTATAGAAATCAAATAAATTGTATAATATATAAACCTTCCATTTGATATTTATTGAGTGGGTTTTAGTAATCGTTCTTAAATAGGAATTATCCTGACGGTTTTACATGTTAAGTTGATCTATATATTGTGGGAAGTAAATGCGGGCGAACTCTTTAACAACATCTAATGTTTCTTCATTCCTGGGTATTTGAGGCCATATATTTTTAACAATTTGGTCCCTTCTTTGATCTAGAGGTCTGTCAGTATCCAATAAAATTAGATTACAATAACTTTGCCAGAACAATCCCTCGTTAAGATAATCATCCTGGCAGTTTTCCACCACGTATTTAAAGATTTCTTTTTCTATAAAGCTGAGGTTCTTCTTAGACTGTAAAGACATTAGATGTGTTATCATGCTATTTTTGTCATCTCTTTTACCATTGGCTATTAATCTTTTCTGAATCTTCTTTAGTAGGTAGTCTGGTATTACCTTGGACGGAGTTTGCTCATATCTACTCAATGCGGCTGAATTTGCAATAAATATTTGAAATTGTATGTAATCCCAAAAGAGTTTAAAGTCTTTGCAACTTTCGATATCGTTTTCGTATAATAGATTCAGACCTTGAAGTAAGTTGTCCAGTGTATGCATTTCATCAAGAGAAATTAACAAAGTGCATAATATATGTATAATCTTAATCTTCTCAAGAGATAGTTCCATTCCTCTCATTAATATTATTTTGGCCATTGTTGTATTTTCCACTATGTCTATCAGCCAATATGCGTATTTGATCCAGATGATATCCGTATTAGATAGGGCTATCAGGGCTCTCTGGAAGTTTATGTAACAGAGTTCAGGTATACCCAATTCAATTGTATAGTCTAGATATTTTAACCAAGTTCGTATTTCATTATCAGAAACAAGATTTTCAGCAGTTGTATAATATTGGGTGCTTAACTTTGATTCGAACAAATTGTATCTTTCCATAACTTGAAGTTGTATTACCATATATAATTCTTTGGTAAATTTTTTGATTGCTTTCTTAGCATCCCTTAAATATGGACCTCTTCTTCCAGAATGGTCTCTATCAATCTTTAATTTTTTCGATAAATCATCCTTATTTATAAATAACGTTAATTCTGATAAATCTTTAATCTCATCTATATAGTTCATCCAAAGGGCATAAAATGTACTAAATGAATGTAATGGAATCTCGAGTACTTTTCTTAAAACTATGAAATATCTTTGTTTAGTTTGACAACGTTGTTTCAATTGTTCTAAATACATTTCCCAAAACACGCCACTATGATAATGTAATCCAATATATTGTTCAGCATCTTCATATTTTTTGAATAATTGTTTTTGGTCTATAACAATTTCGTTACAAGTTCTCAGATATGATACCCAAAGTACTAGTGATCTTTTATTATGTATATGTAACGCATTCTTAAATATTTTATGGAATCTAGATAGATGGCCCAATTTATATTCAAATAATGCAAAATCAATATGGTAATTTTCCAAGTATGGGAAATTGAGTAGCATTGCTTCATAAGTTGATCTTATTAATTGTAATGTATTTTTATCTATAGTCTTATTTATTGGGGAGGCTACAACAATTAGATAATTCAGTAAATTCTCCCAATGGATTAAAGATTTGGAATAAGTGGTAGTATTCAATGAAAGTTTCGAGAACTTTTCACTGTTGATAATGCTGCTATATTTATCCATCGTTATCGACTCTAAGGGTCAGAACCAGTCTGTTTGGTACTGGTATCTCTGTTTGTCTCTGTACAACACCTTATAATATAGTCAATATTAAATTTTAAAAGTATCTATATATTTTATAAAAATTTAGGCATCGCGTTAAATTATCGAGAAAGAAATATTAACGAATATGAAGAATGACAAGGCAGTTGGTTATATTATTTCCCATTTATGATTTTTAATGCAAAAGGGACTTACTGTTGTTATATTATGCAATTAATTTTAATAGATTAATAAATACTTAAGCTTTTCTAATGAGGAAATTGTAAATAAATAAATATGGATGGATACAAAAGGAAGAAAGGATGGGGGGACCTCATTAATCCTACCTTCAGATCCAATATCGTATGTTGTTATTGAGATCAAATGTTCTACAACTTAGACTTAACCCAGCCTTCTAGGCCACCCTTGACAATAATTTCTTGTAAGTTCTTACCCAGTTCACTAACTTGTTGTTCCAAGATCACAGGGCCTTCCAAAGAGCCTTCAGTTACAATGACCTTTGCGTTAGGAACATCCCATCTTAGGAACCAGCCTGTTCTCTTAGTCAATTCCTTTGGAGCATCGGCATACTTAGCACGTAATTTTTCGATCAAAGTTGGGATCTCTAAAGTTAATAGTGCATTATTAATGGAGTTTCTAGAGAATGTATTACTGAAGGAGCCTGCTACGACTAAGTTGATCCCTTTAGCCAACAGCGAGGTGGCAGCTTGTTCTCTGGATGAACCAGTACCGAAATTGAACCCACTGATGACAATATCACCAGCTTGAGCCTTTGAACCAAATTCAGAGTCATAGTTTTCCATACATACTTCTGCCATTTTTTCCTTTGGAACATCATCTTGATAAGTGTACTTACCTGGGTAGATACCATCCGTGTTAACATTGTCAGCATCACAAAGGACCAATTCACCGGCAATTTCATTAGGGAATCCATCAAGGATCTCTACAGCAGATGAAGAGCCTGAAGTTGTAGTCTTTGCATCTTCTGAAGAGGAAGCAGAAGTGATCTCGCAGGTGGTCTTAACACCTGATGCGGAGAATGGAATTGTTTGTCCAAAGACTTCTTCAGGAGCACCGATCCTACCAAGGATTGCCGAGGCAGCAACCACAGCTGGAGAACCTAAGTAAGCCAAGGCGTCCTTTGACCCCATTCTACCTTTAAAGTTTCTGTTAGTGGCACTGATCCCTACTTCACCTGCTTCCAATAGTCCTGCACCTAGACCGATACAAGGACCACAACCAGATGGTAAAGGTCTACAACCTGCAGCTAACAAAGTTTTCCAAATACCTGCATCCTTAGCATTTTGTTCGATCTCTGAAGAGGCAGCAGCGATATAGAATTCTACGTCAGGAGAGACTTTATTCAACTTGTTGATATCACCAGTTGGACAAACGACTTTAGCGGCAGCCTTTAAGTCTGAAAGACGAGCATTCGTACAAGAGACCAAATAAGCCTTGTTAATCTTAATGTCTTGTTGAGCTAAGTCGTGTACAGTATTGGAGATCTTCACACTGTTTGGACCCGATACGTAATGAGTCAAAGTTGATAAATCTATGGTCAAAGTCTTGGCATAGGTAGCATCCGAATCTGGTTTCATGACATTTGCACGTCTTTCCAATTCTGCAATTGTCTTGTCATTGATACGAGGATGGTTTGGGCCTACGATTTGTAAACGTTTCTTATAGAAATCAATCAAAGTAGAATCTACAGGGAATAAACCTGATAGAGCACCCCATTCAGTAGTCATATTAGCAATTGTCAATCTATAATCCACAGGCAAGTTCTTAATAGCTTCTTCTCCGGTGAATTCAATAGCGTGATTCAATACTTGATCCTGATTAAACAAACCACATAATGCCACGATAATATCTTTCCCGGCGACATTTGAAGGTAATTGACCTTTCAATTCTACTTTAGCCACAGGAGGGATTTGCCACCAAGTTTGGCCCGTGGCCCAAATTGCAGCGGCATCGGTTCTCACGACTGGTGTTCCAAGGGAACCAACCCCACCATAAGTATTTGAATGAGAATCTGACGCTACAGTTAAATTTAATGGGAAAGCATAACCTTCTTCGACCATAATTTGATGGCCGATACCTCTTCCAGCGGGATAGAAATCTATACCATGTTTCTTTGCGAAGTTTTCAATATTATGATATTTCGTTAAATTTTTTTCAGATTTATTTTGGATGTCATGATCCAGAGCATTGACAATTTGACGTGGATTAAATATTTTAGTAGCACCCAGTCCCATAAATTTCAAAGCTACGGGCCATGAATTATCATGCGACATACAAAAGGATGGTTTAATTGAGACGTAGTCACCTGTATGTACTGTTTTCCCCTTTGTTAGATTAACAGCATGTTGTTGAACGATCTTTTCAGTTAAATTTTGACCTCTTAATAATCTTGCAGAGACATGCAGACTTCGTATGTTATTATAACGCAGCATTATAAATATAGTTGTGTGCAATTTATATTTATATATAGATAGATAGATCGGTATAGATATTAAGTTACTGTGAACATATATATATATAGGGATGTATATGTTGATAATAGCAAATTATATATATACATATATAAAGGACTTATCTCTGCTCTTTATATATTGGTTGATTGAGATTTGATATAATTGTTTAATAAGCAAAAAATTTCAGTTTTCACTACAAAACATACGTTATAGTCTTGCAATATTTGATTGAGTCAGCGCGAGTAAAATTGCATGTATGCTGTATTTCCCGGTGGAAAATAGTACCAATTCCCGAGGTAACAAAAAAATATGAGAAAGAAGTGGTGTGTGGGTTTAACCATTTCATTTCATATATATCGATATATACTGCATACAACCCTAACCTAGGTCTCTTTTCAATATAAACGCAATGCCGTGTCCAGTGATGTCATATTACCCTCACGCGTCGTGGCAAGTGACCAGCCGGCATGCTATTTTCCTTTTCCTTTTCCTTTTCCTTTTTCCCCTTAAATGGAAAAGAAGAAGAAGAAAGTATCGCTTTGTCAGTTTGCTCATTGTAACGGACGCACCATAAAATACGAAGTGCATATAATAAGAAATGGAATACAGAATAAAGTGGGGGGTGGCAAGCAGTGGGAGCAGTGGCAGTGGCAGTGAACGAACCCGCGCGCTTAACTTCCATAATAAAATTCTTTTCGAAACTTTTTCTCTCTTTCGCTGTCCATAAGAAAGTTGCGTCGCCTGTTCGTTCGTTTGTCCTTAGTAAGAAAACAAGCAAATGTGTAAGCATAATTACTAAGAGAGGGTAGCCTGGTGATAGCTACATTACCCAACACAACATTTTCACGTCTGATAGTGAAAAACAGGCGAAACAGCAAACGCAAACGCAAACGCAAACGCAAACTGAAAGACGAAAGGTGAAAATTTTTGTGAAGAGAAAAAAGACGACAACCGGCAATAGATATTGATAACAACGAGAAAGAAATTTTCCACTCTTTGCCACCTTTGTTCCTATAATATTCGGTACTACCACCCGCTTATACATAGCACACATACATACATGTATATTTATATATATAAAAGAGAGATTGATATAGATCAGTTTTTAAAGGGAATTTCTTTGACAGTTTCATATATATATATATACTTACTTTAGTTCTTCTTGTTCTTCTTCTTTTTTTTTTTGTTGGGTTGTTTTTAAATTCTGATTTTTATTATCCATTCATATGCATGTGGGTGGGCGTGTATTTATATGAATATATATATATGAAGTAAATACACGTTTTCTTGTAAATCTTGTAAATTTAGCTTCTACATAAAGAATAAATCATTTTGTTTGATGGTAACAAGATCGAAAAAAGGACTATAATCGTTTTGCTCGTCTTGCTTGTTAGGAATTGAGGCAAAATAATATCCTTGAGAAAGTATTTAAACAAATAAATTAACTTAAAGATAAGCACCTTCCAAAGAGTATCTTCATCAATTAATGAATTTTGTTCTCCTATTAGAAAGTATCGTTTTAATTGTATTGTATATGACATCAACTAGACCATTTGATAAACCTATTCCAAAGAGCCCTGCAAGTCCATATCCTATTGTCACTGACTTCTGTGATATTGTAAGTGGTTTCGGTAGGGGTTCGGCAGAACTTGGTATTCCAACCGCCAATATTCCAATAGATCAAATACCTACAGCAGCTAAGGACCTTGAACAAGGTGTCTATTTTGGTTTTGCTCGCATCCAACCCATTGGGAAAGAGGAAAGAACTGAACCAAGAGAAAACCATAGAGATGTAGAATACAACTATGGAAAATACTTGGAGGAGTCCAATGGTGACTTTGATGTCCTTCCAGTTGTGTTCTCGATTGGTTCAAACCCATTCTATCATAATAAACATAGAACATTAGAAATTCATGTGATTCATAAATTTAAGAGAGACTTCTATGGTGCAAAATTAAAATTCAATATATTGGGTTACATTAGGCCAGAATTGGACTACATCTCAGCAGATGCACTAATTACTGATATTAATAAGGATATTATTATTGCAAAACGTGTGTTAGAAACTGATGAATATAAGAAGTTTATGCAAGTTCTTTCGTAGAAAAACATTTTGAATGACGTCTATAGAAATCAAATAAATTGTATAATATATAAACCTTCCATTTGATATTTATTGAGTGGGTTTTAGTAATCGTTCTTAAATAGGAATTATCCTGACGGTTTTACATGTTAAGTTGATCT